AGCAAATGAGGTGACTTGAGGAATCTCCTGATGAGTGCCACTTGTGGGACCTGACTCAATGCCCCTGACTGTAAGAACAGGAGAACGAGAAGTGCAGCAGCAGACATGGGACAATCACTGGTCTTCTAGGTCGGTCAGTGTGGATGTTACTTAGAGGGACAAAGAGGAAGAGACCAATCTGTGTCTCACATCTGAACCAAGTCTTGCCTTTGTAGTAAGAAGCAGGAGCTAAAAGAAATGGCAAAGCCTTGGAACACACCCAGTGCAAACATAGGTCATCATCCCAACAACTGAACTACAAACGCAGTTGCTGCAATAGAATACAGTGAAGAAAGGACACACTGCTGAGCACAGCGATTCTCTTTAGGATTATCAAGAAATCTTGTTGCTTTCTTGGTGCTTTCATTTCTCCAAACTTTCCAGAATAGAATCCATTCTATAATCTCCTCCCCACACCCCCAAAGAATATTATTTTAAAAGATCGGAGAGATGGGAAAAGAAAGTTCCTCATGCGTACATGCAGATCTGTGCTAACGAAGGGTTACCCACAGGGTTGTGCAGTGAATCAAGTGCCTATGGAGCCAGGTTCCCTTGGCTCAAAGTTCTTCTTAGCAGTTGATGTGACTTTAGAAAAATTTCTTAGATTTTCTGCAATTTGTTTCTTTTTCTATGGCATGAGATTCGTGATACCATTGTCATAGGACTATTGTGAGCATTAGATGAACTCACATACGAACAGTTCTTAAAAGTGATTGGAATGCAGTAATTGCATATTAGCTCTCGATACTTATTCCAACAGCATTGTCATTGCACAAAACACTTAAGGACCACTTTTGGGAGCAGCATCCTCATCCAAGTCTGCTGCAATTTGGACACAGCTTGTCCCAGGGTTCACCTGCTGGAAACTGGACTACTGGTGTGGTACTGGACTTTTGGGGAGGTGGTGGTTAGGTTTTTCTTGAGGTTTATTTATTTATTTTTACTGGAAAGTCAAATCCATAGAGAGGACAGAGAGAAAGATCTTCCATCCACTGGTTCACTCTCCAAGTGGTCTCAACAGCCAGAGCTCAGTCAATCCGAATCCTGAAGCCAGGAGCTTCTTCCACATGGGTGCAGGGTCCCAAGGCTTTGGGGTATCCTACTGCTTTCTCAGGTTATAAGCAGGGAGCTGGAAAGGAAGTGGAGCAATTGGAACACAAACTAGGGTATATAACGCAAAGACGTTAGTCATTAGGCTGCTATGCCGGTCCCAGGGGTTAGGTCTTAAAGAGGGATTACAGGTGGTTGTCCCATCTCACTGAAGTGTATGCTTCATTTCCCAAGGACAGAAACAGTTACTGAATAGGTGGCTGCAATCAATTTTGGTTTCCTCTGTTTGTTCTCTCCCTTCCAGCATGTGCCCCATCTCTGCTTCTCTCCTTCCCTGTCCAACTCCCTCAGTCTCTGATTCTCAGTCCCCATTTCCATAAGCACCAGGCTGTGCATGTTCCACTTACTGGTGCATGTTTCCATCTTGTGACACCCCCTGACATGAGGCCATCATCACAAGGCAATGCCAGGGAGAAAATAAGATATATAGTCTCGGGTCACATAACAGCAGAAAATTAATCAGAATAGATTGTTAAACCGATTCCTCTGAATCATATCAATATAAAAAAAATTCCCTCCTTTGAAGATGTGCTAATTCTAAGGGGTACTCAAAGTGGTTTGGATCCAAAGTAAGGCGTACTTACAAAGCTGAGTTCTTGATATTCATGCCTCATTTATCTACTGCTCATGAAGGAATTTCATACAACACACAGGTACACACAGCTTAGCATCATCTAGGACTTAAATCAATCCCTCGGTAACTAACTAGGCTCTGTGTCTGCTAGTGAGAGATTGAAAAATAAGTCCCAGTTATGAAGAGTCTTCATTTGGTGAATCTTGAAGGCTTCCTGGATTGGCACACAACCAAAGGACAAACCTCATCAAAGGCTGATTTACATTTAAATCCAAGTCTCTCTTCTTCCGCAAAGTTTGCTGATGCCAAATGTTAGATATGAAATGTCATTGTTTTCATACAAATATTCCTTAACATTACCAGTTGTCATTTTGGCATTAAATAGGGTTGCGACACTACAATTATAACATTAGCATACTTAAAAGCATAACATCATTGTTCTTCTGCAAATTGTTTCAACCTCAAATTACCCTACACATAATCTTCTTTTTAAAAAAAATTAATGGGGCCCTGGCATCAGAGCCAATTGGGGTTGGCTGAAAAGAATAGCACCTTCTTTCCCTGGGCCCCTCATGGTCTTGTGATTGCCCAATTGTTGCCTGAATAAAAAAACACAAGAGTAAGCTGCACTGTGTACAAAAATAACGGTGGGTAAAACTTATCCTGAGCATTCTTTTCCCAAGATATGAAGTATTTTGATAAAAACCTAAGTGGATTGTTGAAAAGCCAAAGAATTCTCCATGTCCCTAATTACTGAGTTATTTGCAAAAAACATTTTCCAATTTAAAAAATGGGCTTCAGTGTTCTATCACCAGTAAGGAATATTGTGTACCACATAGATGACTTTGCAAAGAAGTCTGAACACACTTCTTTATATCTCCAAAGCCAGTTTTAATTTTTCTGGTGTGAATCCTGCAAAAATCCATTATATGTGCCCTCCCTTTAACTGAGAGCATCACTGTAACAGACCTCTATTGGACCACAGGGCAAAATTGCATGGCAATTAACTGCATGAACCCAAGAATGGAATAAATCCAAGTTCTCTTGACTGCCACTTTAATACATGAGGCATCTTAAGGGAAGCCACTCATGTAAAAACTAATTCCCTTCTATTTTCTATTAAAACAAAGATTAATACATAAATCACAAAATTTTTCTTAAAAGGTTTTCTATAAACAGGTTTAATATAGGAGCTGAATCAATGATGCAGTGTTAACCTTCTGCCTGGGATACTACCAACTTATTGAAGTGAGCACCAGTTCCAGTCCTTGTTGTGCTACTGTTGATCCAGCTTGTTAACGCACCTAAGCAAGCAGTGGAAGATGGCTTCACTACTTGGGCCCCTGTCATTCACGTGGGGAGACCTGAGTGGAATTTTGGGTTCCCCACTTCTTTTTTAAAATAGTTATTTATTTGAAAAGTTACATAGACAAGGCAAGAAACAAATCTTCCACCTGCTGGTTCCCTTCCTGAATGTCTACAATGGTTGGGTCTGGACCAGGCTGAAGACAAAAGACTTGAACTCCATATGGGTCTCCCATATGAATACAGGGGCTCAAGGACTTGGGACACACTGCACAAGGTACATTAGCAGAGGATTGGGTCTGAAATGGGGACTACACTAAGGTCTCAAAACGTGTCCTCCTGGAACCAAACTTTAAACCAAACCACAACAGAATAACTGGGCAGAACTAACAGCTGTGCAGCCAGCTGGACTGACTGCAACCTAATTGGAATGCATTTTCAACGGTGACAGAATGCCCTCCTGAGGAGTCTGCTGGACAATAAAACACAGAGAGAGGATTCAGTACCCAACCCTTTCCAGGAAGGAATGAACTTTCAAGCAGGGAACTCCATTGACTAAACCTTCTTCCAGTGAAATGGGTAGAGGGAGTTGTAAATCGAAGGCTTTCGGTTCTTATCTCATATGGAGGCAGCATGTCATGTATTCATTCAATAGTTGGACATGCACTGTTCCAGCTGGAACCCTCCCACTTCTTCTATTCTTCATCCACATTCACCAAACCACCTGCTGGTTGTGAATGACTTCTAAAGTGGCTCGCCCTCCTGGAGAGGATGCCCAGGTCATGCTGACATCCTAAGAACAGACCTATTTCTCACAAGGAACTAATAAAAGGATATGATTTCACTGCATTTCAGTCTCATGAGCTTGGTTAAGGCATGACTGGCTTTGAGAGATGAATTCACACTTACGTGGTAACAAAACAAGTTTCCTAGAACTGAAAACCTGAAAGGAGGCAATTCACTCAGGTGATGGCACTCTATATAAAATTTCTCTTGATGCAATATTTGGAATGATTTCTTTCTGACACTGATTGGTGACATGGGGGAGTGTGACAGCATTATGCAAAGCAGGATCTGGGGTGAGGAATAACTGGGATGGAGGCTCATTTTCCCAAAAAAATTCAACCCCTCTGAGCCATTTTCCTCACCTACAACGATGAATAATGCATAAGAGTTCTGACTCAATGTTTAAACACAAACATAAGAGCAAAAATGGTGATGATGGTGATCTGGTGACGAGCATGGTGGTACAGCGAGTTAAGCTACTGTTCACAATGCAGGCATCAAGTATGAGTTCCTGTTGCTCTAGTTTCCATCCAGTTCCCTGCTGATGCACCTGTGAAAAAAGCAAAACATGGCCCGGCCCAACTGCTTCGGTCTTTGCCACCTATGTAGGGGAGGGAGATAAAGTTTCAAACTCCTGAGTTTGGTCTGGTCCAGCACACTGTAAGTGCCACCCGGGTAGTGGACCAGCAGATAGATCTCTTGTCTCTCCCTCTTTCTGTCACTCGTACCTTTCAAATAAAATACAAACAAAACTTTCTAATCCCCTATCCAGTGTCTACATCCTCCAATACTGATTCACAGATCCATCCACTCTTAGCAGTTAAGAGCAACATTCTTCACAAGGTTGGGTCTATCTCCTGAAAGCGATCAGGCACAAAGCTCTCTCATGCTGTTCCCATATCTCCAAGTTGAGAATTACCTTCTTAGCAAACTCTTAGCAGAGGCAGTTACAGCTTTAAGGGAACCACTTCAGTCATCACCCCTACGGAATAATTCGGTTTACTTCAAAAGAGTGCCCAAGGCAGCCCCCGCCCACTCCGCAGCCAACACAAACACATTGTGTTCCTCAAGGACTTGCCACCAAAGACCAGTTTGTTAATAACAAAATTATACCAGGTCTTAGTGATCTCTCATCTATAAAATAAACAACCTTTTGAAGCAGACGAATTGAATGGCACTCGGAGACTGCATTAGCCATCTTTATTGCACTCAAAAGAACAACGCGAGACATGTATAGAGAGTAGATTTTCAAACAGGTGTCTTCCTGACCTAGTTAAATTTTTATTCAGTGAAAAAAGTTGACATTGAGACAAAGATTATCTTAAAATTGTGCAACAATATAGTAAAACCTTCAGCAGAAGTCAGTGACTTGGAAACTTATCAAGGCAATTGAAATTATAAATACCTAATTTCACTTTGGAATATACAGTGGGTATACAGTGTTTCACTTGAAATGAGAGCAGAATCTGCCTTTATTTTGCTGCAAATACTTTTGATTTTGCTTACACGTTTCTAATGGTTTTTAGCAAGAGTTTTTAAATGAGAAGTGACATGGAATATCTGAGGATAATGTCCCACTTCCGCGTTCATGCTCATTCCGTTTGAACGATTACACATGAAGCTAATACCATTCTTGGGTTATTACTTGGCTCTGATGATTAATTCATAATATGGCTGCTCAGAATCAGTGGGCAGAAACCTATATACAATTAACCCTCCCTCAATCTGTGTTCACCGTGGCATGCCTGAAAACATCTGTGTACCCAATCTTATGTATCTCTTGCTATCCCATATCTCAGGCTTGCATAGAAAGTAGTCTATATAAACGTAATGCACTGGCTTTTATTACACAAAAATTGTACCTGAAAAGCAGCACACACTCCAGTTAGGAAACAGAACAGAACAGGAATGTCAAGATACAATGCCAACAGAAAGAAAGGTTTTGCAGAGTCTGAAGGTAAACTTGTAAAATCAGTGTGGGGCTGCTACTCACTCTGGTCCCATCTCTAACCTCTGAGGCACACCCATGCTTTAGCCTTCTGAGAAAGAAGAGAATTCTCAGGAATTCACCAGGAGCCCTCTAGTGGGAAAAGCTCAACCAACCTGATGGGATGTGGATTCTGCCTGAAGGAAGTTCTGGAAATGCAGTCGTGCCTGGTGAAGGGACCACAGAGTGGGTATCTGAGAAGTGGATGATTAGCCATAAAAGGCTCAACACAGCACTGCTCTCCCATCCCCTTAATAGGGAAGGACTGCATTCCCCAAACTGCTGAGTATGGCCTGATCTCATGGGCCACCCGGGATGTGCGGGAGAGAACACGCATTGTTCCCACCCAGACTTCCCATGTATCCCAGTGCCATGACCAGCGATGGAACCCCAATCACAACTGCTTTCCCACAAGTCTGAAGTTTCAGTTAGCTACTCAGTAGCAACTCCTGCAGTTTGCCAGGGCAGCCAGGAAACACGGGAGGACCCTCTACGTCCAGGCATGCACAGACGGGGCCTCTGCCTGGAGTGCATGGAGTGTTCTGTAGAACTCAGCTCTGGCATTTTACCCACATGCATTCATGACTCACAGAGCTTAAGGAACATTCAGTACTGAACCCGGCAACAGCAACTTCATCTCCAGTCAACTCATCCCAAGCCCCGGCCAGCCATTTTCGTGTGGCTCACTGTGGTCCATGGGAAGGATGTTTTCTGGCGGACAAAATATATTTTTCCCTGTATGGTATGAACTGGCAAGGTGGCATGGCCAACCTGGTTAAAAAAACTCCTGCGACATAAGCCACCAGGGGCCCCCGGTGGTCTCAGGGAAAACAGTCATCAGGTCACCTTCCCAGGCTGCACACAGTATTAGTTCTCCTTTTCCACCGTCGCTCTGATTTCCAGGCTCTCACAGACGGCAAATACACATCAAAACCCCACAAAGCTACAAAGAGGGAAATAGGAGTGTGTGCTTTAAGTGTTCATAAAAATATACAATTTACACATAGCTGCATCTATCTAGCTTAGTCTGCAGGAACTTAGCTCTTCTGTTTATATAAAATACTCTAGCCCTAAAAGGCTGCTTGTTTTCAAACAGCACAGTGACATTTTCCAGGGAGAGGGGCTGGGGCCAGTCCATACAGTACTGTGCAGGAAGTGTCGGGAGGCACTGGTAACCGAGAAGATGCTCAAAACATCTTCAGTTGCCAAATGGAGACATATGTTTTGCAAAAAGAAAAAAAAAAAGGCTTGCCTATGGAACAATTGAAAATAACATCTCGGAGCCTTTCACAAATGCCACCCAAAAGTTGGCAGAAAACAGAAAAGAAGAAAATACATTTTCTAGTAGTTTCATTAAATGCTTTTTTGCCTCCCACCAGACTGCTAGTCTTTCAGCTGCCTTAGAGCTTATTAAAGCGGAGGTGGTAGGGCTTGATGCTTGGAACAAAACTCCAAGGCAAGACAAGAGAAAGCCAAAGAGATTCCAGTCTTCCAAAAATTAAAGAGGAGCGTGCTAGGGATGAAGGGAAAAATATGCAGGAGAGAGGCCCATGATTAACCATCACTTGCTAAAACAAATCCGAGAGCCTTACCTACCTGGCATACTAAATATCTACAGTTGAAAACACTCCTCATCTAATACATATACCTAAATAAAAGTTCTAAAAGCTAAAAAATTTTAACTGGCTCCTTCTGGGTTTCTTAAACAATCACATACGCAGTAAGCAGAATGAAACTATATTATCACCCAAGAATGATAATTTTGGTTAAGAGAGACCAAACACTGGTGAGAACGGATGCGCTGCCCCTAAGTAGGAATGGGGTTGACAAAGCTTGCATATCAAGGACACACACTTATGGGCATGACTCTGGAGGAAACCCAGAGCTCACTGCTGTGCACTGGGTGGGTGGGTAGGTGGGGGATTCCACAGTGAGGTTCATACAGTGTAAGTCACAGCAATGGCAGACCCTGATGCCTATGACACCAAGTCCGCAGGTAGGCATCAATCCAGCGAATTCTATATAACTCTCAAGTGGCCATGATTTGATGTAGGGGTGGCTTATTCACAGCAGAAGGTGGGGGGGGGGTGGGGAGTGTGGGAAGCACTGCTTGTTTGACAGAGAAAGTAACTGAACACAATGTAGAGGTGCTGCGAGCGTTCACTGGTCGGGGCAGGCAGATGTCAAGGTCTTTCTGGTCTGTGAGGGTGTCGCAAACACTTGCTCTTCAGACGGGGTGGGCCACAGGAGACAGAGGTAGAAGGGGGAAGACAGACAGAGAGAGACAGCTGATCCCATTCATAATGGCTGGGCACATTGGTACAGATTTGTAAGGACAATTAAATGGCCACCTAAACTCAAGCTAAATTTTGTACTGGCGATTCTTCAGAGTGGTAGGTTAAAAAAAAAAAGTTTGAAAATGGAGAAACTAGGTACCACATTTGCCAGTCTATCTAAAGCACGGCCCTGATCTAGAACTCTCCCCCGCAACCAGAGTAAGTTTTTGCAATGACCATGAGACCAGTGTACAATAAAGCAGTGTTAGCGTTTTGCAGCTTTCAAAGCTATATCTTGTACAGAGGCATATGCGGTCCGAGTCCACCAGTGGATAGAAGAGTCTTTCGGCTCGCAGGCTTCCCAGGCTGCAGCTCTGTTTAAGTGAAATCCAGCTGTGACCCAGTGTGCTCGCCCACCAAAGACCCTCTGGTGAAACGCAAGTGAATGACAGTGCAGCTGTTTCCACGAAGCCAGCCCAGACACTTCTCTTCCCTACCCTGGACCTCAGGACAAGGGGCTCCCACATGATGTGTGGACCCACCTGAATACAGAGTCTCAATAAATTAACAAAGTAACACAAACAAATTCTCCCCATTTGTACACCCAACACCTTCATAGAAACTAAATCCGAACAAAATATCAAAGTTGAGCATACTTCAAGGAGAAGGGATCCCACCCCTCATTCTTTTGCAGTTTTTATTAAATACATTTCTGTGTCTTAGAAAAATAAAAAGAATGGCCAATTTATTGAAACAAAACTATCTCACAGACTTAAAAGCATGCCCAGCAAGCACAGCCCTGTAAGACTACATTAATGTCAAAATCAAAGCAATTTGGCTACTAAAAATCAACCTGGCTTGAAGTTCACAGTTGATGACTACAAAATTTATTCATTCCTTTTTTTGTTTTTGTTTTTTTTGTTTTTGTTTTTGTTTTTGGCCCATATAAAAATAACATATTGCAACTCAAAGTGCATCTTTTAAAATAAACCATCAACTATCTTTATCAAATAAAATATTGACACCATTTGGTTTCTAGTGAGGAAAGCTCTTTCAGGCTATCACCATGGGGACGTCATCTGAAAATCCAGTGATCATAGGAGCATCTTCATCATCTTCCCCTGAAGACAAAAAGAGCCAGGCTTGGTGAGTGCCAACACACTTCTGCTCAGCCCACATCCCATTTCCCTGCTCGCGGCCTAACCCTATCACAACTCCCAGTTAGGGAAGTCAGCATCGCAGCCAGGTAGGCACAGCAGGCAGAGATCTAAACCCAGGCCAGCCACCCTCTGTCCTCTTGGGTCATCAATGGGTGACCTACCTTAGTGTAAGGGTAACTTGTACTCAGTTAAACAAAGAAAGTAAAGCATTTAAGAAGAAAAATCCCAACGCCTACCTACCCAAAGGCTAAATAGATGGTTTGGCTTCTCCAACTGGAGTCATTTCCACCCTACCACAGCCCAGTGGATTGCACTGTTTGCATTCTCTTCTGAATCCAAACTGCTCTACGGGAAAGACTCCCCAGGAAGGAAAAAGTTTGCAGGGCCTAAAGGATTGTAAGAACCAGTTCCCAGACTGTAGTCTTCTCTTGGCAGCACCCGATGCAACCCAGTACTGATCTGCACTGGTGTTCACTGCAAGACACTCTCTGTCCCTGATAGCAGAAGCATGGAAGCCATTTCATCCATGCAAAGCACTTGCTGATTAAGAAAGAAAAGGAAACCGAGAAGCAACGGGAACAGCTAGTAGCAATTTGGGAATAAACAGGGATGCATCAATACGATTTTTAATAAAAAATAATGACTATAGAAAACATAAATGTGCAAACTCACATTTTTCAGCATTGAGTTTGGCAACTATTTTATCATGCGCACTTTTATTAAGTGGTCAGCAAAGCTGTATTAGTGTTAAGGAATTGCAGGGTGTGAAGATTTCTAAAGGGGATAAAAGGATTTCTTTTTTTTTTCCTGTGACATTACTATTTTATTTTATTTATTTTATTGGCTTTTTTGCTACAGTTTATTTGGCACTGGGGATAAAAGGATTTCCTTCCTTTTCCCATGCTACCTGTTTTTGACAGCATTTAAAAATGGCTGGTGAGGCGGTGCTAGCAATCAAAAGGAGAAACACGTAGGATGGAAAGGGCATCTTTGGATAGAAGTCAACCTGGAAAACATTATTTATTTGTTTATTTTTTAAAGTACAGCCCAATTTAAAGGGCAGAATTACAAACACAGAGAGAAGGAGAGACATATTGTTCTGCTGGCTGACTCCCTCTAGGCTCTAGCCAGTAGCCTGCAATGCCATCTGGATCTTTGGGTGGCAGGGACACAAATGCTTGGGTCATCCTCTGCTGTGTTCCCAGGTGCATCAGAGAGGAAATCAGAACTAGGCTGGAAGCAGAGCAGCCAGAGCTCGGACTGGCCCTCCCACGGGATGCTGGCATTGCAGGCACTGTGCCACAACGCCAGCACCAGGGAAGCACTACTGCTCATCTTGACTACTTTTACCCAGAGATGTCAGAATTCAGGAGTGCCAGGGGTGAAAGAGGAGTTGACAGTGCTGGGGTTTGATACTATGGACCCTCCAAAGCCCAGGGGCCTCTTTAGCCTTCTTATGCCAGCCAAGCTCCTGACAATTCTTCTAAAACGTACTCCACTGTTTCAGGCCAGACTACTACTGAATATTACTGAATACTGATGAAGAGTACATGGTATCTTCACCTAGGAACATCTCAAAACGCTAAGGGCTCCAACCATGTTAGCTCAAAACTGTGAAATCGGTATATCTGAGTGACCCCTCAGGCCTGCGAAGGACGTCCTTCTGATTGAGGTTCCTGGCTTTGTGAGGATCTGCCCAGGCTGAAGGAATTGACTTACCCAGGTCATCGCCAGAGGAGAAGATTGCTGAGCCCAGTCTGGAGCTGTAGTGGCTATTGGCGAAAGCGGTGAAGCTACTCTGCAGCCTCCGATGCTTTGTGTACAGGATGGCAAACCCGACCCCCAGGCTAAGCAGTATCAGGAACAGGATGGGCACCACCACGGCAGCCACATCGGTAGACTTGGCAGTCTGCATTGCCGATGCATCTCCACCTGTGGACACAAAATTCCCATCCATGAGCCTCCTAACTGAGGGCAGGAGAGTGCACCGAGTACTTTCTTAAGGCCCTACCCACTCACCCCAAAAGCTGATTCACATGCGCTCCCCAAATCTCCTCTCTGCTGTGGCAAGTTCCTGCACGTGTGCAATGCCTGAATGTTTCCCAATTGCTCCCTATGTGCTGAAAGACCATGGGCCTTGTGCATGCAAATACGGTAATTACGTTAGAGTCCTAATCACTGCCTTGTTGGTTATTTAGATCATCTCTTGGAAGGCAGACCTTTGTTGCCATATCAACATTGATTTCATTAGCATTATTACTTAAGACCACTTGCGTGCCTTACATAAGAGGATGTGAAATCAGACCACTAATTAACAAGATTGCAATTATTTCCCCCTACTTGGCACCAAAGTCATTCTGAACTGCAATTACCTGAAGCTCCATTAAGTGATACAAATGAGATTCCTTTACTACAATACTGACTTAACTCATCAAGTTTTATGAGGTTTTTCACTTAGTAAAAAGAGAGAAAACTTTCGTATACATTCAACATTTTTAAAAGCTCTTCGCAAAGCCATTTAGATGCCTCTAACCCCCCTCTAGCCCCCTAGCCCATCTTTACAAACCAATGTTGGCTTTGTGATGATACATTGGGACCACGAGCACTCTCGCAGGTAAAGTCAACCCCATTTCCCACCCTGGTGGGACCGTGTGTGCAGAGGGGCAGACATTTATGTGAAAACTCCTGGGGAAAAGATGAAAGTGGAGGCAGATAAAATGGAACTCAGCTTTTATCAAAGGAAGTGGTCAGGGTGGGAAAGCAGCGCAGGCACAGCCTCTGCTCACTCAAGCTTACTGCTAGCTTGGGCTTGACCCTGCCAGTGGCCCTCATGAAGAAGGACCAGAGAGTGGCCACTTCTTGCAAGCCTAATCTAGCAATTCAATATTTATGTCTGTATTAAAATTTCTTCTATTATTTCCTTGCCAGAAAAAAAAATCCTCTAGCAAGATCTTCCTTATGTGTCCCAGCCTACCCCGGCTATACAATGGTCAATGAAAGTACTGTTCACTTCTGGAACATGAGATGATAGCAAGGAATGCGTGATCTCCCAACAAGCTCGGGTTCATCAGGGCAGCTGGTAAGCCTCCCCATAGCACTGCTTCTCGTATTTCTTAGAAGTTGCTAACCTGGCCCCGGCGCGGTGGCGCAAGTGGTTAAACGTCCTCGCCTTGCACGCCCGGGATCCCATATGGGCGCCGGTTCTAATCCCGGCAGCCCCGCTTCCCTTCCAGCTCCCTGCCTGTGGCCTGGGAAAGCAGTCGAGGACAGCCCAAAGCTTTGGGAACCTGCACCCGCGTGGGAGACCCGGAAGAGGCTCCTGGCTTCGGATCGGCATAGTATCGGCCCGTTGCGCTCACTTGGGGAGTGAATCATCGGACGGAAGATCTTCCTCTCTGTCTCTCCTCTCTGTATATCCGCCTTTCCAATAAAAATATAATAAAAATAAATCTTTAAAAAAAAAAAAAAAAAAAAAAAAAAGAAGTTGCTAACCAACTATGCTTACAAAATGCTCTCTTTAGGAAACACAGGAATGACAGGAGTTCGGTTTTCTGTAGAACCTTGTCAGAACGAACCTTTGCTCTAGCCTGATGCTCCAAAGGGAGGCGGGAGGAAATGTTTTCTTCATCAGGGGTGCCACGCTTAAGTATTGGGCACTAGCACATCCTGGGAAGAATTGTGCGATGGAACATTTAACAGTACAAGATTCTGCCCCCGTTACATTTGGCTGGGAGTCAATGGAAGTAAAAAGACTGGTATGAAAATGGTTGTTGAAATCCTGGTCAACCAACTGTGATAAAAGCAGACCTTCTGTGTAAATGGGTCACCTTCTGCTTTTCTGTGGCCCACCACTGACCCCTGTGAGTGTCTACAAGACACAGATCTCAAGTTCAAGGTCTGACCAGGAGGCTGACAGTGAAGAGCAAGGGGAGGGTAAGTGTCGTCACCTGGTAATTTGGAGAAGGTCTGCTAATGGGGAAAATCACAGGGTGTAGAGGCATGGGTGAGGCTCTGAGAAGTCTTATCCAAATCAACTGAAATCCCTCGTTAGCCTCATGTTTCCCAAAGGGCCAAAATCTTGCTTGCACTTTATGTGTGGAATATGGTCATCACATTATGCCAGCTACCCATACCATGTCCTGGATTACAGAATATTCTTTCAGTTGTTTGTTAGTGCCTGATTACATCGAATGCCTGTGATCATCTACTGTGCTGGAAAAAATTGATAATACGCCTTAGAAAGACCCATGCACACAGAATCACATGGCAGTTGTGCTCTTCCTTGGACCCGAAGACAAAGACCAGCAGCGAGGGCGACTCACCAGAGCCCAGCTCGTCATACAGCAGGATGGCAGGCTCCCCGCAGATCTGGCTGCCAAAAAGGCACCTCGCCTGCACAGTGAACGTGTAATTATGACCCAGCTTCAGGTTAGAAATTTTAAAGAAATTGTCAGTTGTATTCCCGAGGTATGCGGTGACATTCATGGCACTGTCAAACATGTGTATCTCGTAGCCCTGCAAACAAAGACAAGATTACTCAAAATGTTGAATGAGAGGAACAAGACGACTTCCATTACTGTTCCAACTTAAGTGAGCTCCTTATAGCAGGCTTCCATTGATGATGCTAAAGCATGCTGGGCCTTTTCACCACAAAGGTTCTAGACTCAGGAAATAGGGATGGTCCCATCCTCACACCTCAAAGCCTAACCAGGCCCTCTGCAAGCTGCAGAGTGGAAGCATGAAGCACAGTCCTACAGGGAGCCACCTTAATAAATACATGTCAAAGGGCTGCTCTGTGTCCGCTGACCTCACACAGTATGAAACGCCATGAAGCATCACAACCACTCAGTGACAGTTTGTGAGACTGGTTTGACTAATACCAAACCCTGGCTGCAGTGCACTCCAGCAATGAGTAAGAAAACGGGACTTATGATTGGAAAGGAGGGGATATTTCTCCTAGGAACAGTATGTACGAACACACTGTCAGCTCACTTCCTATCTCCTGGCTTTCCAGCTCTTCCCAAAACTGAACTTAGCCCCCAACCAATCTGGCCTTGAAATAAAAAGCATGCCAGTAGGCTCAGGCTCCTATTTACTGGAAGAAAGGATGAAATCATTTTCCTAGACTATCTCAGACAGAGTCCTATTCCTTGGACTGGCCAAGCCACACTTGGGCACATCAACCTGCCCCGGGATGCTGGCTGGGATTATAATCAGCTTCTTTGCTCACCTCCAGGTTTTCCAGAGTCAGAGCTAGCAAACCCCACTCCTGTTCCTCCCATCTCCAGAAGACTCTACTCTTACTATCTTTCTCCACATTCTGGGCTTCACTGCAGAATCACAGTCTCTTGACAGCTATTCTATTGGGCTGTCCATTCTGTGAACTCCAAGTTGTGCAGGAAGGAAGAGGGTCACACTCCACCCACACCAGAGCCTTCCCCCACCGCTGACTGGCAATCCCAACCTGAAAGCTGGGCTTCTGCCACCATATACCTGCCAGGAATCCCAGTCTAGCACTCTTTTATAAGCTAGCAGTGGTCATTTTCTACCCAGGATATATTTGGTAAAGGATGCTTATAAAATACACCAATATATAAAGAAAACAATGCGAATGAGAGAGGCATGTGTTAGCCATTTAAGCTGTTCGCTCTCTAGCACCCAGCACGTGTTGTGCTGAGGGTAAAATCTGAGAACTGCTGGGTCAAAGAGTGGTCAGTGCTTTTGTACATATCACCACACAGCCCCACAGAAGGCTGAACCAACTTATTTTTTCTGAATGCATACTCCCCTAACCCTTGTGTATATTCTTAAGACTCAAGTCTTGGCAGATTCAGTGTGCAAGTGCCCTGTCTTTATTATTGAGACTACTTAAGGTCAAACTTTCTTCCTTTTGCTTACTGCTTTGCTATTGGTTGCTTTGTCATCCATAGCTTTCCCAACAGCAGAATCTTGCTCTTCTGGATTAATTCGAAAGCTTTTTAAAAAGTGAGGATATTAATCACTTATATGTCATGGTGAGGAGAGCTACAAGAATTCTCACAGGGAGCAAGTATTTTCTGATTTCCTTGAGGGGGCTTGTCCCATTACACCATGTCTGTCTGGAACCCTCGGGCCTTCCCTACAGGTCTTACTCCTCCAGGAAGTAAGGGGGCTCACGACATCCATGTTGAGCCAACTGTTGCTGCCAATAAAACCAAGACACTTCCCCTCAAAATTCTTTTCACCCTAGGGTGGCAAAATCTAGTCTCCAGTCATTTCCTCCCCCATCTCCTGCGGTGACATAGTATCAAGGTGCCTTAAACAAATTCAAGGGAGTCTAAGCCCACAGACTATTCCCTGACCCCCGCACTTCTAATCCCCTACAAATAAAATGGTGAGTTTGGCATTGGAGTGAGCTACTTGTAGCTTGGCTGCCCAATACAAAAGCGACGGCCAGGCCCTTGAAGGGCTTGAAGGGAGAGGTGTGGCTCTCGGGTACCAACACTGAGCCCTTCTCAGTTTCTGGACACACTGCTAGGGCAGCAGTCTACCTCCCCGTCGGCAGTGGAAGACAAGTTCAAGATTGGAAAGTATCTACTGCAGCGATTCTCTTCTTTAATGGGCAGGATAAACATCTCGCTAATTAGCAATCCCACAGAAAATGGTCCTTTAATTCTCAAGTTCACTTCCGTGCCCTTATTCCTTCTTTCTTCTTCTTCTTTTTTTTTTTTTACACTATCTATGCCAGCATGCTGTTAACAAGCTCATCTCTGAAATAGCATTTCAATTAGATTTCCAAAGTCACCGAGCATGAGGGGGAGACTCACCCTGCTTTCATTAAAATGCTTTTCCTTTAAAGCTAGGCTTTTCCAAAATAGAAGAACGTGGTCATTTTCTGTTATGATTTTTAAGGCATCAGGTGCTGATAATGGTACTGAAAATTAAAGATGAGATTGGATGCAGTTAGTGGATGTGCAGCTGAACGTCCGTATTCTTGTCTATCAGAGAGCAGTATATGACACTCGCCTCGGAGGACAGGATAAAACCCCCAACTGCTCAGCCTGGCATCTGCACAGGCAGGTACTCTAAGTTGTTCTTTGAATACCTTTAACCAAGAAATCTTGTGGACAGTCTCAAATTTAAACCCCTGGTCCCCAAATTGGTAAGAAACCAATAGCGTGCAGAGGAGGTGGTGACAGTGGGGGAACAAGATGGGATCAGGAATGCTGCTTGAAGGTGGCACTGAAATGACAACAGTGGACTGTCCACTTCCATGCCCACACTACCAACCTGCTGAGGCTGGGTCTCCTGTACTTATCTCCCAACACTGCCTACTGCTGTCCGAGCGAGCTTACTGCCTGTTTTCTGTGCCTGAGTCTGGCTGCCCTTCAGCCTGCTGCCCAGCTGCTGGGCTCCCTCCATATCTACATGCCAGATGGTCACGCTGAAATTCTGTGACTTCAGTCCAGGTCTTCGCAATGCTTAGCCTTACTGAAAAATACTGCTTATTTCCTAATTCCTGCTCTTCTTCCTTACTAATGTTAAATCCAGCTTGGGTAGGAGCAAGGCAGTGTTTCGCCTGGCAGATATGACACTAAGTTAGCTTCCTGTGGAGGAGCTGGAGAGGAACCAAGACTGAGAGAATATGGAAAATGAGAGCCACGTGTCAGCCCAGTGTCCCATAGCCACCATACTGCAGAGCAGAGACAGGCAGCCCAGCACTGCTCTGCCTCGGCCTGGCCCTCAAGGAAGCATTCTCATGTGCTGCGGTTCCCAGCTGAGAACTCTCGGGGAGAATTCTAGTAGCATCCTGGGGGGGGGGGGCAAGCCATGGGAGAAGGCCTCCAGGTCTCCCTCCTGCTTACCGGTGGTGATTTTGATACTGGTATCTTTACTCATGTTCCCCAGCTGCACAATGATGTTGTACTTTCCTCCAGGCTCCAACTTGCTCAGGGTATACTCCACAGTGCTATTGCGGGACTTGACTTTGTAGCTCCTGTCCACCTTCCGAATGAGATCTTTGATGGTGATGGCATAGAACTAAGACAAGGAAATGGACACCACCGTGATCATCACAAATTTGGCACTTTGTACTCTTTGTAGTCCAACAGGAAATAAAGTAAACATAAGTCCTCCTTTAGGATCCATGGGGGATAGGCTCTAGGTCATCAACCCCAGGACACCCCAACCTGTGGATGCTCACGTCCTTTACGTAAAAGGACACAGTATTCACCCATTATCTCTGCACAGCCTCAAGAACACTTTCAATGCCCCTTAGGTCACTTACAATTCCTGTTATTATGTAAATCCTTCTTAAGGAGTTGTTTTTCTGTATTGCTCAGACAATAATGACAAAAGAAAAGTGCATACATGTTTACTATAGATAGAATTTTGTTTCAAATATTTTCTATCAGGTTGGTTGATTCTGCAGGTGTCATCTGTGATACATGTGACTGTTGGCCTGTCGGGGCTATGAACCACAACCGCAAAGTTCCGAGCCCTGCCTCACAAAACTCTGAACTTCGCAGAACTCTGTCTTCGCAAATGCTTTGGGGCTTTTATTAAAACAAAAATAACCCTTGGCATGGTACAATTGATCAACTGGCTAATCCTTTTCTGACAGCCAATGGCATCCCGTATGGGCACTGGCTCGTGTCCTGGCTGTTCCACTTCCCATCCAGCTCCTTTGCTTATGGTCTGTGAAAGCAGCAGAGGATGGCACAAAGCCTTGGGACCCTGAACCTGTGTGGGAGACCCAGAAGAAGCTCCTGGCTCCTGGCTTTGGATTGGCTCAGCTGTAGCCATTGCAGCCACTTGGGGAGTGAACCAGAAGATGGAAGACTTCTCTGTCTCTCCTTCTCTGCCTTTCCAATAAAAATAAACTTTTTTTTCTTAATAAGCCTCTAGGGAAGGTATATTCACTGAGACATGGGAAAGTAGTGCAAGCACAGAGATCAAAACTCAGAATTCACCTCCTCCAGCTTCACCTACCACCCTCTGTGGGCTTCGGCAGCAGGGAGGCAATGAACTCGTTCTCTCTTGGGCTGATCCTCACAGGCAAACAATAAGAGACATGTGAGAAGTGCAGTGCGCATCAACATTGGGAAGAATTCAAGAGGGTCACCAGCAAGCCAGCCACACGCCATGGAGAGGCGGGGAGTGGGAGCAGAGGTGAGAGCTGCTCTGCACAAGGACAAGCACCGGATGTTTTCTCAGATCAGTGCCCCTTTCTTCAGGGCAGGGCTCAGCAACCCTTTTAAAAAGGATCCAGATGTCATGTGTTTGAGGTCCTGAGGGTCAGGGAGTTTCAACCACAGCTCAGCTCTACTGTTTGTAGCATGACAATAGTCATGCTTACATGTGCACTAACAGGTTTGCCAGTAGCTCCTGGGGAGGCATTTGGTCTGGTGGTCAAGTAGGCCGTCTTGCACACTGAAGTCCCTGGGTTCAAGCCCTGCCTGCAGCTGAATGGCAATGCAGACCCTGGAAGGCAGCAGGGATGGCTTGGCTCCCGGGATTGAGCTCCTGTTATCTGTGTGGGCCGAGTTCCTTCCTCAGCCTCTGCTTTGGCCCAGTCCCAGCCACTGCAGACTTTTAGAGAGTGAACCAGTAGATGGGAATTCTCTTTGCCTCCCAAATAAATGAATAGTCTTAAACAAAAGAGGTAATGGGCTGGATCTGGGCTACAAGTCTTTGTCTTCTGACTTTAGTTTACAGAGTAAAAAAGTACGAACAGCAGAGAAGGAAAAACTCACAGCCCCTAACAGGTGGGAAAACCAAGTACCAGAGGACCACATCTCTACCCAGTTTAGGGGAGGCACCTTCTACTGAGCTCCAGCTTCCTAGCCCATGAGAAGACCCCTGCCACCCCAACCCACTCGAATCCCTTTCCCCTGCGAGTGATGAAATCCGCCAAACGTGCCGAAAATGATCAAGGTGGCTTGCGCCCAGCTGCTTACCAGGTCCTGGTCAGGAGAGTCATAGGGCGACTCCCACTTGATGACAGCCGAGGTTTTGTCTGTGTGAACTGCGTGCAGGTGCCGAGGAGGAAGCCTGCTGTCTGGGATCATCTTCACAACAACATAGTCTGAGGATGGCCCTTGGTAGGGTCTTACCACCCGGACCTAAGGCCCACACACAGGGAAACAGTGGCACATGGCTCAGGCAGCTAGTACTAATCGATGCCTTTGACAAACAGTGACACACATACACAATGGAAATCCAGTTTGTACAAATGATGTGAAACATAAAATCATTCCTCACTCACCCCAGATCATTTTCCAAGAAATCCACTGGTAAAACAGTTTTTAGTGCTTCCTTCCAGAAACGGATATGTAAGGACAGACGTGTGTGTGTGTGTAAATTTACACATACACACAAATGCATGTTTAGGGTGAATGTGGACAACCTATTTTTTGGAAGCATTTTTACATATGTGAGAAACAGCACAGCTCTTACCATGTTCTTGGTTCCTTTCTCTCAATGTAACTTAGTGTATGTATCAGTACACTGTGGGCTTTTCTCCTTTTGGGGGTTGCCACTGCACGCATGCACTAACCATAGTGGGATTCCCTTGAGAAACATGCAGGGTGCTTCATACATTTTGCATCACAATAACATACCCAGAATCTTTCCCTATACATATACTAGTGCGCATGTAAAAGGACGTGGTATAGCTCCTGGGAGAGGAATCCCACCAAAGCTTTGGAGCTGTCTGGACTTGTGACCCATCTGACAAGTCATCAGATCTCCGCACCAAGGCTGTAAGTGGCTGTTCATTGAGTGTTTCATCCAAGACCCTAATGCTAACATACAGAACATTTTATCCTGCCACACATCCACCCTGAAGCCCTACCTATGCTTGGCTCTGCAGGGTGCTAGGAATTGAGAGAGACCCTGTACAAACAGAAGCTCCTCTGGACTCACTGGTGTGAGAAACTTACCAGGAACAAATACTGCTCATCCTTACCGACGATCACGGTTGCATTGTGCAGTGGAGTGGTCAAGCTGGTTGGGTTGCGGTAGAGGTCCAGGAAGGATGTGGCATAGAAAATACCATATACCTGTTAAAAGTGGATGAGGGGTGAAGACATCAGCTCATGAACTGCAGATCTCATTTTCTTGAAATCCCCAACAGAAGACCCTGGCCATGATTCACTTCACAAGAACTCAAAGTCTGTCATCACTGCATCTTACACAGACATGCACAGAGAAGGCACCTAGTGCCAGAAGCGGCATGTGTACCTGCAAGCATAAATGTGATTCAGCCAATGTTCTCAGAGTTCATTCTTAAGGGCAGATGGACACAGAAGAAACACACACACGATCATGAATTAACAAGTCAGAAACAAAGAGCTTTGCATGCTAACGTAAGGGCTGTGCCATGAGTCAGAGAAAAGAAGAAGCTAAGCAGGGTAGGGGTGGTTCTGCCACTTTGGGCAGGGAGCTGAGTGGACATCCTGAGCAATGCAGAGGGTGTGTGGACTGGGAAGATCTCTGAATCATGTCGGGGAAGCCTAGGAGGGCAGACACTGTGAGCTGATCATCAGATGCTCATTTTCTTTCTCTCTTCCTGGAACCATGGCTATTAGTAGGAATTTCTGCCTGGAAAATAAGAGGCTTGGAGATGCCATGTGACAAGGTTCTAGCTAAGGACAGGAAAGCAGAAGTCACATGTGGGGACACCTCAAAAGGCAGTGGAGGACCAGACAACTTCTTTTGTTCCTCCTCCTGCCTGTGGCAATGGCTGTAACTCCAGGAGGACTCTTAGATCACAAAATGACCTTGAAGATGGATGTCAGAGGCTAAAAATGACACAGCCAAGCTCCTAGATCCCATCATGCAGCTTTGGCACAAACCTTGGACTGATGAACTCCATACGTTTTTAGCGGAGAGGGAAACAGACTGTTCCAAGGCACTTCAGAGAGCCATTCTTCACCAAACAAGGGGATAAACATGGGGAAGCCAAGAAGCAGGAGATGAAGAGCAAAGGATGATGGGAGGGTAGGCACAGAGGCGGCTTCTTTGCAAAGGAGAATCAGAGTTTGTCCTAAGAGAGCAGCTGAGCAAGTACCACAGGGTTTAAGAACTGCCTGGGTCCACTAGCGCCCTGGGCACTGACAAGGGCTTGATCAAGGATATGCAAAGGGGTGCCCAGGTCCATTCCCAGTGCCAGAGTGACTTGCTCATATGCTGCTCCGTAGCTGGGAGGAGCACTGAAAGCTGAGCACTGAACAAAGACCAGAGCAGGCCTGCAGGGGCTGATGACCTGGGAGGCATGGGGGAAGACAGCAGTTAAGGGCCTCACCGGGGTCAGAAAGCAACTGTACCTGGAGCAGGAATTGGGCAGCAGGGGAGGCACAAGGCATGAGATAACAGCACGTAATAATAGCTTCCTAATCCTCTGCCTGCATTGCTGGCATCCCATATGGGTACCAATTCATATCCTGGTAAAATGGGAATATTTATCCTATAGCACTGACTAAAGGATTCAGGGGCAGAATGTATTCAGAGATTTTTTTACACTGTTCCTGACATACAGGGAATACTTCGTCAATCCTTCCTCTTCACCGCAGGTCTTACAAACCACTACTTGAAAACCTTGACTATTACTCCATGAATCAGTCCACCCATACGCCCACTGGAAACATGCACGGAAGACAAGACAGGTTAGTTCTTTCATTCAAGAATCACTTAAGATTTGCTAACTTCTGGTTTGGGGTTAGTTCTATACACTATTCCACTTGGGTAACCCAGAAAACAATCTTTCCCTTCATATGAGGGGTAAGATCAAGAACAGAAAATCTCAAATGACATATAGCTGCTACATAAAAAAACATGATGCCCTATGTCACCAACTACAAACATTTGGAGAGTTCATGAGGGAAAGAGCAGGATGAAAGGACCAAGATTTGCTGGCATAGCAGACAGAGGGCAGGACTCGTGGGTAGACAAAGAGCATATTCAAGGAGCAGAGGCAGAGGGAGGGTGGCCAAGCTCTTGGTAAGACCAATCTAAAGGCAAGAAAACAAACCCCAAACTCAAACTACGTCACATACACACACAAGACAGACCTACAGACAAGTGCAGCAGTGATAGTAGAATGAATTAAGGGACACACTTGGAAAGAACAACCTGAGAAGGTATCCTGTGGTTGGGACAAACAGAAAGGGCCTGGAGTGGTTGGGGATGAGACTCAGATAGGGAACTCACTGTTGGTGCTGTCAGCCCCTCAGGAAGGCCACAAGCCAAGGTGAGTCACTGCACAGAGGAATAAGCCATCATCGCATGCACAGTCAAGCAATGACAAAAAGCAGGAGGTTCTACTGCTGAGCGAGCAGGGCACGTGTGGAAGGGGACATTGGGGCTGGGAGGTTAGGTGCCTCCAGAAGCTAACTGTGAACTGACCAGGCTGGTAGCTTCTTTTTGCAATGAGAGGACAAAAGGCAGCCATAAAGAAAGCTTCTACACTGCTCAGAGGCCCTGTCCTGGGGGAGACTACACTGTTTATGATGGTCTTTCTGGCTGACTCACCACATTCCTGGGGCCAGTCCAGGTGCATTCCACCGCAGTCTGATTGACAGCCTTGGCCTTGAGGCTAGGAGCAGGTGGGCGAACCCCTCTGGTTGTGACATGCTCAAATGACAGAGGACTATCGCCCAAGTCAGTCTTAGCCCAGGCGGAAATCTCATAGGATGTCTGTGCTGTCAGATTGCCAACTGTGAAAACAGGATGAGAAGAGGCCGGGGTAAGCTAGGGGTGTCAGGCGAGAACACGTGTCTCAGTATGCTCGCGGCAGTTTTTTTGATGGTGTAATCTCCCAGTTTCAATGGAGCCCACATGTTACAAAAGTTTGATCAGTTGGCCACGTAGGGTGTAATACTACCAGAGACACTGACATAACAAGAACCTTAAGAAGCATGCTCTTCTATGCACTTATTTCCTGAAATCAGAGAGCAGACTCAAAAACATAGGTACTGAAGATACTCCTCACTGTGTGTGGTACAGTAGAAATGAAATGTTCCTCGTGTGGGAATCTAGCAACAGGGCACTCAATCATGAACTTGTGTTCCATGATCTACTATGTGGTCACTAAACAAGTTACCAAGAACATTTAATGATTCTGGAAAATTCTCATGATTATATGTTAAGTGAAAAGGGGAATCCTATAAACCTACGTATATTAGTACTATTCTGATTTTTGCAAAACTGAAAAAAAATGTAAAGAGAGCAATGAACAGAAACCTAGGGACATCTGAAATACAGTAGTGAAACGGCAGGAAATTTTAATTTTCATGTTCACGTTTTTGTTTCCTATACTTTTCTAAGCGGGGGAAATGTCACTAAAATTAAGAGAGGCATAATGGAGGGGGATGCTAAGAGTCACAAGGACCGGGGGCTGAAGGTCTGACTCTGCTCGGTGGTTGGATATCCTCTGCTAAAGCATGTAGCTTCTCGATTGCCTTGTTTGCAAGATGGAGAAACATACAGCACTTACAGCAGCTGGCTGTTGCTGGGATTAAAAAAGAAATTGCTTCTCAAGTGCCTGGCATGCTGCCTAGCATTGCACCAGCCCTGAACAGATTTCAGTCAACCTTTGTTCTTGACTCCACCACTTGCCCGGGTCTGACAATGAGGCAATGACATCCCAGGCTTTGGGATCTGGAGGATGTGGGTCCCAATCTGGGTCCTGCTGCACTGAGGAAATTATTTACTCCATGAATTTCAATTTACAATCCTGCAAATGGTGTGCACATCACTGAATCCGGACGGGTGAAGTAAAGTCGTACAAACTGCCTGGCACACACGGTTGCTTTAATCTCATGTGACCTCTTTGGGTAAATCATTTCACCTACCAGTCCTGCGGTTTCAAAAACAATACAAAACAAAGAGATAACAAAGGAATACTTGAAGTTTCTATTGCATGAGGCTCAACAGGATGGAATGAAACAGGATCAGAAGTACTTTGCAATCAGGCTGGAAATGGGGACAGAAGCACCACTCTCCTGCACTACTCTCAGCATTCAGCATGTCAACTTTGAGCTGATCTTCAGATCTCAGATTGATAATTAAGTCTCTTGGCCATGATGTCAAATGGATTGGACCACTTTCTGCCTTAGTTTGCCTTCAACATTTAGTGAGTGCCTATTATGCATGTGGTCATGGGTTACCTCTTATGAGCAAAGGAGTGTACCAGGCTGGAAATGAGAACTGGGGAACTAAATCCAGGACCTCTGCAAGAATCTCAAGAACCATATGTTCAGCATTGCTCAGACCTCATTCCAGCTTTTCTTCTCTTAAGGCCTTTGAGACTTCCACTAAGGGACATCACATGATGGGGAGGGCGGGGTGCAGCCTTGAGGAGCCACCCAGCAATTCCCTGTAATGCAGGTGAAGGGCACATGTCTAAAACCCTCAGTGGACAAGAACCTGTGTGTGCACAATGGCCCCCAAAGAAGACTTCTTGTCCTCCCAGGAACTATTCACACCGTATCAACTGCCATTAAAGTGTCATTCTGGCCTTACACCTCCCCAGCCCACACCAGCCAGCTCCAAGTTGTTACCTTTATGGGACAGTATGCTCCCTTGGAAATTCATGGTTTTCTTCTCTTGTTTGTGGGCATCAAATGCCCAGAAAAGGTTCACCACGTAGCCATTCACCTGCCAAGAGCCAAGAAACATGTCACGTGAAGATCTGACCATCCTGGAAATGCCAAATGCAAGAGGTAGAATGGAGGACGCATCTGTTTCCTGTTGCTCCCTCAAGCATTTCATTTCTTAGGATGGCTGAGTTATGCTTATTTTGGTTTGTGAACAAGGTCTGTTTGTGCTGCCATTAAGTAATAACTATACTTCATGTGTCTTATTTTTCTATTTATTTGAAAAACAGAAATTTTCCATCTACTAGTTCATTCCCCAAATGCCAGCAACAGCCAGGTCTGGGTCATGCTGAAAACAGGAACCTGGGACTCAATTGGGTCTCACACATAGGTGGTAAAGCCCTAATCACTGGGATCCAATACCTGCTGCCTCTTGGATCTGCATCAGCAGGAAGCTCAACTGGGAGTGGAGCTGGGGCACAGACCCAGTCACTGCAATATGCGCTATGAGTGTTCAAAGCAGTGTCTTGACTAGAGCACCAAATATTTACCTCCTATGTAATTTAAAACAAATGTGAGAGGCTGGTGTTGTGGCACTGTAGGTAAAGCTGCCACCCGACATGAGGTAGCATCCCATATGACCACTGGTTTCTGTCCTGGCTACTCCACTTTCAAGCCAGCTACCTGCTAACAGCCTGGAAAAAGCAATGGAAAATTCCTCTAGGGCTTGGGCCCCGACACCCATGTGAGAGACCCAGATGAAACTCCTGGCGTTGGTCTGGCCCAGTGCTGGCTATGGTAGCCATCTGAGGAGTAAACCAGTGGATGGAAGACCTCTTTCTCTTTCTCTCTCTGTGTAACTCTGACTTCCAAAATAAACAAATAGATCTTTAAAAAAAAAACAAGGAAAAACAAATGTGAGACCATTTTAGAATATACATACTCAGCAAAACAAAAATATCAATGTAAACTAAAGGGCATTGATTAATTAATAAAGGTAAGAGGAAAAATGAAAATGATTAAGGATTTATCTTTTTCAAATAGTCTCCACAGCCAAGTGCAAGAAATCAACACAAAGTAAGGGCAGTGAGACTGCATGGTCTAACATTGATAAATGCATCTATACATCCAGAAACACTGCCCTGCCCAAGTGCTGAGCTCACAGAAGCTGGGACCTAGAGATCCTTAATTAGGAAAAAAAAATCAAAATAAAAGTATTATCAAGATCAAAGACTATGGACAAGAACCATGTTGAGGCCATTTGTTGGGGAATATACTCTCTCTGAAGTCGGGGGGTGACACTAAATCATAGTTAAGTAAATGACACAAGAACTTTGAGTGCAATTTGACCTAGCACAAACCCAGAGGAAGAATGGAATGGGTCAGGAAAGAATATGATGGGAAGTGGATCATCACTCATCCCGTGGACAAGAATCTTCCATACAGAGGGGCCGAGCAAGGGACGGATGGGGCTGCAAGAGGAGCCTGGGGTGGAAATAAGACGGGTATGTTTTCAAGATGCCTGACTCTCCCACAAAAAGGTTGCTCTTCCACTGTGAGAACCTCTGCATTAGCGCTCAGCACCAGGAAATCCAATAAAGCTGAAAATTACAGGGCAGACATACTCTGTTAACACCAACTCTTTATTTGCACTGTAGCTGTGAACCATTTAATTATATGGTTAAAGAAAAAAAAAAGGCACCAGGCTGAGGCAGAATAATTACATGTGGAGACTCAAGTTGTTCTTCGTCGGGGAAGAAATCCAACGAGTTCTGGTATTTCAGCTTTGCTAGAATCAGCTCGCTGGTTCTGGACTAAGCCGTATCAGTCCCCTGACAAAGTCAAGTCCCTCCGCAATGGTTAGCTCACACATTCCACATTACCTTGATGTTCCCATTCACGGTCAGGGTAAAACTCAGAGAATTTTCATCATAGCTGTCAATGTGGATATTGGGCGGTGGGATCACTGAAAACAAACAGGAATTCAAAAAGAGAAATGACAAGATGAAAAGTAAAGCAGGCAGGACTTCACAGCGCTCAACTCAATAGACAAAGCGATCATTCAGTTGGGGAAGAAAGGGCATTTCTTTGGCAGTTTTTCCCTTTTCTATCTCTTTTACCCTGTTTTCCTGCGGCTGAGGTTGGGCCCACAGTTGTTTGGTGCATACAAAACTATCTTGGCTCAGTCAGCCACACTGGCAATTAGGTCGAGCAGAAAAGTTCCATTTCGTAAACGTCCCCAAACACCCCGGCTTAGCTGGTTCTTAAAGGTGCAGAGATAATTTAAAGTGCCACTTTTACTGGCTCTAAGCTCCAGCATTTTCAAATACTGGCACTAAGTCCCAGTACTCTCAAGCCTTTTTCTGGAGGTGGACTATACATCCTAAATGCGCATGGGGCAAAGTGGAAAGCAGCTGACCCCTTCAAGGAATTGAAATTCCTCTTCTCCAGGACCTAAGAGCTCGGTAGCCTGGTGCAGGTTATTGATGTTCCCTGAGCCAAGAGGCATTGTCCACACTTTACAGAGCTGGGACAGTTCGTGAAAATAAAGTTCCTGCCTTTCCCAGCATTCAACTTGCATTCTCCTCGTCTCCCTTTCCGTATTGGGCAGACTAAAGACTTAGCGAGTAACTGGTGTCTCCTGAAAACTGAAGCTCAAGCTCAGAGTGGCGGGGCAAAGAGAGAATGATCTAGAACAAAGACTCCTCTCTGTAAAAGCAATGAAAAAGGCAGGAGTTAAGGGGTGAGGCTTCCGCTAGTCATCTTAAAGCTCTGCTCCCAAGAAAACTCATGTAGCGTGGGAGAGCATAGACAGTTGGACTCAACAGGGTATGTATTAACCGAAGAGAAGAATTCAACCACTTCTTTATCAGACCCTCAGTACATGTATCCCCTACACAGATAGGAGCAGAGGCTCAATGGACTGGTTAAAATTTGGTGATAGGGCCTGGCGTGATAGCGTAACGGCTAAACTCCTCACCTTGAAAGTGCTGGGATCCCATATGGGCTCCTATTCTAATCCCAGCAACTCCACTTCCCATCTAGCTTGTGGCCTGGGAAAGCAGTTGAGGATGGCCCAAAGCTTTGGGACCCTGCACCCACATGGGAGACCCGGAAGAGGCTCATGGCTTCAGATTGGCTCAGCTCCCGCCATTGCAGCCACTTGATGAGTGAACCATTGGACGGAAGACCTTCCTCTCTGTCTCTCCTCCTCTCTGTATATCTGCCTTTCCAATAAAAAAATAAATAAAATCATTTAAAAAAAAATTGGTGATACAATAACTGTGTCAAGATCTGGAGGGGCCCCTCTGGCAGGTGATAAACTTTGTAATAAAGCCAGGATTGAGGAACTCTCGACTGGAAAAGGAAAGGGACTCTAAGGCTCCAAGCAGCCAACGAGCAAAATGTAATGCAGTGTTCTGTAGTCCAGGGAAGGCCTACTTGAGTTCTGCTCCTGGCAATCCGGGGCAGGTCACAGCGATCTCTAATCCCCAGGATTTGACACAAAGTACGATAATACTAACAGGAGTTATAGCACTAAAAAGAGACCGACTTGTATAGAACAAGTGCAGGGCTCGGGTGTGTAGGAAGTGCTCAGTGGCTGATGGCTTCTCTCACTTCCTCTATGAATTTACTGCACTCACTGCTTAGCCTCATACCTCTGGCCGATGCTATGCTTATCCTCTATCTCTTTCTGTTATTACCAAGCCAGCTTAGAAATATTTCATCCCAGGCATGTTCTGAGAAAGGACAGCTTTCTTCTGCTCTTTCCCCACTTACAAAGATGTGAGGAGCTGACGGTCATCAAAATCGCCAAAGAAACAGTGACCACCCAGTTTTTTCAAGCACAGACGTGACCTGACTTGTGCTTACGGGATTTAAGGTACATACGTTTAGTTGACTTTCCAAACTTACTTCTTTTTGTTATGGGTGGATGGTCTTTTTCCCCAGATTTTAAAGGAAGGTGTGCCAAAACAATGAAAAACTCCAGGAGAATGGGAATTGAGTAGACCTTCTCTGACACCTGCAAGTATTCTAACCCCACGGACAGAGGAGCAGCACTGGGTGTGGCTGACTCTTGCCTTGACCTTAATGATTCCAGGTTATAGAGGTCACTGGAGGTGACCATTCATGACCCACAGCTTATTCCTCACTTCAAGTACAATCCATCAGCCAGGATCAATGCCACACAGTGTTCTCCTGTTTGTAATATATCTGTAAGTCCAGAAACACAGAAACCAAAGTTCCCAGTGCCAAGGCTGAGATCAGGACACGCACTCAGAAACATGAGTGGCCGGCCAGTAGTCCCTCACCCAAAGGGAGACAGAACTCTTTCCTGTAATGGCCTCCACGTACTTGTTCATCAGCTCTTTCTTTAGTTCCCACTAGAAACCAGTGAGAGAGTAAAGAAAAACAGATCAGACTTCTGCCCTGGCAAAGCACACATGCAAGAGGATTAAGTCAGCTTCCCTGGCAAGCAGAGTGGCCCAGAGGACCACGTGGTTCTCAGCCCGGTGGGAAGCATGTAGCACAATGGTTAAGAGCATAGGCTGTGGAGTTGAGCAGATTGGGACACAGTCCCAGATCTGTTGTTGAGTGATGGTATGCCGTAGGGCAAATGACATCACCTCTTTCCAGTTCCTTAATTGTCCCTGTGGTTGTTCTAAGGGTTCAGCGAGAGGAGCTGATGCAGGCAAAGCAGTGAGCACTGCAGAGTGCCCGGGTATTAGCTCTAGTGCCAGCAACTCTACCTACATGTGGTGGGCTGGTACCCCTCAGAGAGGAACCCAGTGCCAGCAAGATGCTATTCAGGGCACCACAAAGGAGCATCACCACAGCGTCTCCATCTTCTGTGAGAAGGAAGCACTCCTTGTATTTGTGAAAATGTGCATGCACACAGAGGCAGGTGTGTGATAGCCTCCTGAATGAATTCTTTGCATGTTTGCACTGGAAGACATAGACTCAGTAGTCACCCAGAAAGACTTCACGCCTAAAGCCCTGTTGGTGGGCACTCAGCAATGTGCATGTGTGCGGCAGAAGGGAGTTCTGTGACTTTTCCAATCAGTACTTCTCTACTTTGTAGTCACTCAAAGTTGCCTCACAGGGTTTTTATGGCCTCTAAGTTTGCAAAGGTTGGAATCATTTACCTTTTCCTTTTATGGTGGTAATGGATTTGGAATCGCTCCAGTTTCCTATCCCACGACTAGTCACCGCAGCCACCTTTTCAAATCAGAATGTAAATTAGTGTGAAATAAAAGAAAACACACCATACAGTAAGAATTTTGAGTGAGTTCAAGGTATGAGATCTTGGCAATAAATAAGGAAAAAATTATAAGAAGTGACCTAGAATATGCAGAGGCCCCAGCAACTAACATAAAAGGGGAAAAAGACACAGTGAAGGTGCTTGGTGCAGGGATGCTAGCAGCACTAACAGACCAAAATTGCTCCTGACGGACAAATGTCAATATTCTTCAAAAGGGAGGGCATGTGTGAATGTGTCATATATACACATACATATACAAAACGAGTATTAAGGAAATGATCAGTGTATGTGATTTTCTGGGTCAAGTGCACTTAATGGTCTCAATGACCATTTGTACAACACTTTGTACAAAACCTATTTTGTTTCTGTTAGCAGAATTAACAATTCATTTCACAGGAATGTCATTTACAAATGCCACTTTTTATAGCTCTGCCTCATCCTGTAGTTCAAGATAAGCAGAAAAGAAATGGGTACAGAAGTACAGGTGCTGGCAAGCAGACAGAATATTGGGGTTACTAGCAGGCACAGCAGCATTATCAATTCTCAGGTATCCACATGCCAGCTCCTCCCGGGGTGAGAAGTTGGGCATTTGGCAGATGCTAATATGCGTCCCACACAGATAGGCACAGGGTTCTCAGAAAGGCAACCACCTTGCTAAGGCCTGAGACCGTGCAGGCAGTCAGAACAACTGTGGTACTCACTCTGATGGTGTACAGTGCGTTGACCACCAAGTTCTTTATTTCTGTTGAATTACTAGCAGCTCTTTGGGAGGTCCACATCTTGGAACCACTCCTGCTACACTCTACCTAAAGTGAGGGGGGAAAAATACCAATAACAGATCATCTCAAATTGTGGTGGGGCGCAGCTAGTACCTTACAAAAAGACGGGAGAAGAAAGGGCAAAGTAGGGGCACCAAGTTCTAATGGATGATGGTTCCTTCACCATAAAATCATGCAAAACCAACTCCTAGCCATACGGAACAACCAGGAAGCACCCAGCACCGCAGCTCACACACTAGCTCCTGTCAGACACTCACAATGTATTCACGAACGAGGCCGTGAGTGTGGAGAGGAGGGGTCCAGTGAGCCACGATCACACCTTCTTCTTCACTGTGCAGTGACAGCTGGAGATTCTGAGGGGCATCTGGCACTAGAAGAGAGACAATTCGAAGTCGGATCACCCTGCTGACAGACGACGCGATCTCATATACAGAAAACTTTCTAAAGACATCACCAAAAAATTGTTAAGATCAATAAACTCAATAAAGTTTCAGGATGTGAGCTCGACACACAAAAGTTGGGAGCATGTCTATATACCAATAATGAACTAGCTGAAAAAAAAAATGAAGAAAGCAAACTCCACTAATAGTTACACAAACTATTGAAAATTTTGACAGAGTTGAAAGACTCTTTCATGAAAATTACAAAAGTACTGATGAAACAAATTAAAGAGGGCACACACAAAAAATGAAAAGACAGGCGATATTCATGAATTGTAAAGAATAATATTGTTAAAATATTCACACTACCCAAAATGATCTATACAATCAATGTAATCTCTATGAAATAAATACAAGACCTTGCTCACAAAAATCAAAAACACTAAAATTTGCATGGAATCCTAAAACGGCCCATATAAGCCAAAGCAATTTTGCAATGGGGAAGAAAGGAACTGGAAGCATGCCTACAGCGCCATGACAGAATTTAATAGCACGATGTTGGACTTGTGACTTGTTACTGAGGACTACACTATTATAATAATATAGGAGAAAACAATGTGTGTGTGTGTGGGGGGGTTGGTGAAGAAGGGTAGGGCGTGGACTCCCTGTGCCTATAGAATAGTATCATAAAAAATAAAAAGAAAAGAAAATAAAAAGAATTGGAAGCATTATACTACCTGATTTCAAAATATACTAAAAGGCTATAGCAAATGAGGCCCACATTATGATTCAGTGGATTATTGCCTCTGCTTGCCAATTAGCACTCCCTACTAGAGCCCTGATTTCGAGTCGCAGCTGTTCCGCTTCTGACTCAGCACCCTGCTACCGTGCTTCAGATAGCAACGGGAGATGACTCAGGTACTTTGGTCTCTGCCTCCCACATGGAGGATGAAGATGGAGCTGCTGGTTCCTGGCTTTGGCCTGAATGTTATGGCCATAAACCAGCAGGTGGAAGATCTTTCTCCCTATCCTGCTCTCTCCCTCTCTCTCATTTTGCCTTTCAAATAATATAAGGACCAGTGTTGTGGTATAGTTAGTTAAGCTTCCATCTGTGACAGCAGAATCCCATCTGCATGCCAGTTTGAGTCCTAGTTGTTCTACCTGTCATCCAGTTTTCAGCTAACATAACATGAAAAGTAAAAGATCACATCTACATTTGAGACCTGGAAGGAATGGTAAGCTCCTGGCTTCAGCATGAGCTTACTATGGTCATTGTAGAACTGGGGATTGAACCAGTGGATTGAGAACTCTCTCTCTCTCCTCACCCTGCCGTGTGTGTGTGTGTGTGTGTGTGTGTGTATGTATGCATCCTTCCCTCTGTAACTCTATCTTTCATAGAATTTTTAAAAATATTTGTTTACTTTTTATTGGAAACGCAGAATTATACAGAGAAGCAGAGACGGAGAGAAGGATCTTCTGTCAGCTGGTTTACTCTCCAAGTGACTGCAATGGCTGGAGCCAAGCTGAGCGAAAGCCAGGAGCCTGAGGTTTCTTCCTGGTCTTGCACATGGGTGCAGGATCCCAAAGCTTTGGGCCATCCTCTACTGCCTTCCCAGGCAGCCAGGACATGAACATGCATCCGCACTGAGATCCTAGCAGTTGCAAGTCTAGGATTTGGCCACTAGGCTACTGCACAAAGACAATCAATCTCTCTCTCTTCCTCTCTCTCTCTCACATACATGGGAGAAAGTGCAATCTTTCCAACAAATATGCTGAGAAAACTGGGTTTCCACAGGCAGAAGAGTGACACTAGACCCTTTCTCAGAGCATATGCAAATAACTCAAGAACGGAACAAAAATGTGGTAAGACCCCAACGATAAAGCTAGTAGAAGCAAACAGGAGCAATGTTTCAGAAAATTAACCCAGGCAAAGATTTCTTGGATATGATCCAAAAGCACAGGAGCAGAAGCAAAATTTGACAAATATGACTTCCTAAACTTCAAAGCTCTGCTCAGCAAAGGAAATATTCATCCTACAAATGGCAGAGAATATTTGTAACCCATCCATTTATAAGGGATTTATGCTCAGAACAACAATCAATCATACATACATAAATCTCATCCCAATTAGAATGGCTTTTCTAGAAAAGCAAAAAGTAAGAAACTCTAGTGAGGATTCAGAGAAAAGGGGTGCTCCCTTACACCACTGGTAGACAAGTCAATTACATCAGCCATTATGGAAAACACTTATCAAACTAGGATGAAATTGATCATATGACCCAGTAATTTCACTACTGGGCAAACATTCAAAGGAAATAAACCAGTAACCTAAAAAGATCTGCAATTCCATGTTTACTTCAGCACCGTTCACCACAGCCAAGCTATGCAATCAACCTAGGTGTCTACCCAAGCCTGAACAGATAAATAAAATGCACTAGGTATACACAATAGATTGTTTAGCCATAAAAAGAATGAAATTCTGTCATTTATAGCAACATGGAGGGTATTATCTGAGATGAAATAAGTCAGCCATGGAAAGGCAAATCCGGCATGCTCACATTTGTATATGGAAGCTAACAAAGTTGGTCTTGTAGTGCCAGAGAGTAGAAAAATGGTTACTAGAGGCAGAGAACAGTGGGAGTGGGAAGAAAAAAAGGAGAAAGGATAGTCAATGTGCACCATGGTGTAACTGGACAGGAAAAGTAACTACCAAAGTGACATAGCACGATAAGTTACATATGATTGACAATAATGAATGATTCCAAATAGATGGTAGAAAGGATTTTGGAAAAAAAAATGATAAATGCTTGAGATCATTAAGATGCCAGTTACCCTGGTCTATCATCACAGACCATAGATATGTATGGATTAAACTATCCCATGGTACCTACTATGTATGATCATTATATAGTAAAATGTCTTTCAGTATGTGTATGTCTTTTGAAGAATCAACTTGAAGTTAAATTTTATCTATACGTTGGCCAAAGGGGATAATATTCTTGAGACAAGAATCTTGAGCCTGATTGGGATCTATCTACTAGAAAAGCTGGTGGTTGGGTCTTCATTGTCAAGGCACCCTTCCTCTTCTTCCAGGAGGCACAACGGGCTCTTCACCCATCAGAGTCTCATGTAAATCTGTGACTCACCAGGGTGAAGGAGGCACTCCCTTGCACAGGCTGAGCCACAGCTGCCCCTGGGACTTTGTCACTGAGATGCTAATTGTCAATGACAGCACCTGCTAATCTCAACCTCTTTTAGAATAAAACAGAGGATCATGGACATCCCTCCTGAGGAGTAAGACTAATTTTCTCAATCACAGAAATCCTATATCCAAATGAATATGATCACTTTCAAGGCAGATTTCTTAATTAATTTAGTGCTAGCCTTTTCAAAATACTTTGAGAAATGGGGGAAAAAATGACTGGAATAAGTTTAAAGTCACCCATGTCAACTGCTTTGAAAAAACAAGGCAGGGAACTTTCTTAAACACATGAATTTAGTAAAGTTCATAAAAACTTAACCACAGAACTACACCTGATCTTAGCCAAAAGGCCGAGAACCAATTAACCACAGAACTAAACTAATGAAATATTTAGTTTACAGAAAATGCATATCATAGATTTTTAAGAACTTCTGTACTACAATTAACTCATCTTTTAACTCCCTTTTCCATGAACTTTCTAAAGTCCTTCATCTTTTAATGATAATGGGTTTAAAAGCACCAAGTACTGCAAAATATTTAGAGAAGGAAGTTAGAGACAAAAACTACACAAGAAATGCAAAACAAGGCAATGAAGCAGAAATTCTGAAATCAATTTGTTTTGATGGGGGGTAGTTATGGAACCCAGATCTTTTCATGTGGGCCAACAGCATCTTCTTTTCTTTAATGTTTATTTATATTCATCTACCTGACAGGCAGAGAGAGACAGACAATGAAAGAAAGGCCACAGACAGACAGAAATCTCCCATACACTGATTCACTTCTTAAATGCCTGCAGAGTGAGGACTGGACCAGGCTGAAGCCAGGATCCCAGAACTCCACCCAGGTCTCCCACATGGAGAGCAGGGATGTCACCCATGCCGTCCAGGATACATGCGCAGGAAGCTGGGCAGGGTGCAGAATATCCAGGACTCAATCAGGCACTCTGATATGAGGTGTGCCTCCATCTGCTGGATCACAATAATCATTCCTGAAATTAATTTCTTAAGATAGAAGAACATTCTCTTCCATCACAAGGAGAAATAGATGCTCAACAACTCTGGCAAGACCACAAAACACAGCCACAATACTTCTGCTTGTGTAAGTCACACGTAATTATGCTTCTACGTTCCCAGGCAGCATCACGAAAGTGCTCTAGAAATTCTGCATAAGGTCTTGCATATACCATAAGAATAAATCAGAGGGCCGGCACTGTGGCACAAGTTAAGCTGCCATCTGCAATGCCAGTATCCCATAGAGGTGCTAGGTCAAGTCCCAGCTATTCCACTTCCAATCCAGCTTCCTGCTCATGTTCCTGGGAAAGCATTAGAAGACAGTCAAGCCCTTGGGTTCCTGCATCCATGTGGGAGATCTAGATGAAGCTCCTGGCTACTAGCATGGCCCAGTCCTAGCCACTGCTGCCATTTGTGGAATAAACCAATGGATGGAAGATCTCTCTTTATCCCGCTCTTTCTTCTTCTCTCTGTAACTCTGCCTTTCAAATACACAAATAAATCTTCTAGAACTTTTAAAAATCGTGATACTTACATCCCTCTGGAGTCCTCAGCGTCACAAAGTCATTGGTGTTATGTACCTTGCTTAGACACTGAACCTGCACTTTAACCTGGTAGGTGGTATCTGGTTTCAATACTTTCAACACAGTGTTAGTCTTATTGCTGTGGGTCTCCAGAGTCTTCCACATGCTCTCTCCAACCACTCTGACCAAAAGAATAAGAATGTCGTCACATTGAAACAGGAGTGGTTAGATGTGTGACTACAGTCAAGAGCCACACTGTGCACCCCTCAAGAGAATTCATGGCACGTGCAAGGGCAATAAAGACGTTACTAGACCCACCTATAGTAGACATTGTATACGCAAGCAGCAGAGGGCATTTTTTTGGGCCGCATCCAGGTCAAAGTTACATTCCCCGAGAAGTCAGCTGTCCACTGAAGGTTCTGCACTTTGTATACAGTTAACTCATCTAGAAAGACAAAGGGAAAAACAAAGCAAGCCATCTCTAGCAAATCCTTGACTCTCAAAGGACCCAAGCAATGCCTTGCTTTTAAATAAAACCGAAGAGTCAGCAGGCCACAAGCACGGGAAAATATATCCCCCAAAGTGTGTAGTAGAAATTTTGTGTCTGATCTTTCCTGGGGCATTCTGGGTATTTTTCCTTGTTCTTTATTCCCAGCCTACCGAGTGTGATTTAATAGAGAATGACGATATGTACAAGGACAATGTCACTACAGGATCTGCTACTAAATGTACCCCTCAAAGAACTGTGGCGTCAACCCCACCACCAGCCTGGGGGCTGTGACTACACGAGAGTGCAGTATGAGGTGCGACACCTGTCAAAAAGAACTCTGAGACTAGCATTCCACCGACAAGAAGGAGGGAGCAGCCAGTTACAGAGTTTCGCCGATCCTCACTCACGGGATGGTCTAAATTTGGGAGTAAATCCATTTCATTTCATTCCAGACTGAAGAGATGTGCACAGCGTCCTTGGCCAGAAGTGACCTCCCTGCCCTGGGGACTCCGCCTGACAGGCGGGGCCGGCACTCACCACTGCAGTTCTTCTCATCACTCTCATCTGAGCAGTCCAGGAAGCCGTCACAGCGCTCCGAGAGCACGATGCAAGCCTCGCCATCCTCACACCTGAACTCCCAGCTCATGCAGGTCAAGGTACTGTGTGTGGCTGAAACACAAAGAACTTTCCTAAATCCTCAGGGAGACGGGCGGTGTTTTAGGGAAGACCGGATCTAGGTTTATTCATATTTAAGAAAAGCAGATTGCTGGAGGTGACACCTCCAAGAAGATGGTCTCTAGGTCTTACAGATATTCACTACATATTTCTAAAAGAACAAATGACACATACACAGGAGGTGATGATTTTTTCCTTAGGCATCATAAAGAGTCAATTAAACATGTTTTGCTCATTCACAAAATAGCTTTACCACACACATCCCTGCTATGTCACACCCAACCAGCATGCTAAGCAAAAGGGGATCATAATGACACAGATCCATGTGGCCACACGGTAATGAAGACTATGGTAATAAACATACAAGATCGCATCATGGGGGGTGTGCTCATGCAGAAATGCAGTACCGTGGTGGGGTACCATGCCCGCTTACACTGTGCCCAGCGGTGCCCGCTGGTACTGTGCCCTCCCACTACTCACGGCAATTGGCCTCATCCTGGCCGTCCTGGCAGTCCTGGTGGCCATCACAGCGCCTCCAGTTAGGGATACACTTCTTTGGCTGCTGGCACTCAAACTCAAATCGGTCACAACGTCCAAGCTGGGAGGGGGCGGATGTAGCAGTGGCATTGGCTAGAAGAAAAGAGTTTGAAGATTCACTTAGCATGGAGTATAGTGGGCGGCTACAGTCATCAACTTATGTATTAGGAGAAGACAAGGCTGTGGGAACTGCATCAGGGACCCAAAGACAAAAATCTGGATAAAGAAAGCAGACTGAACACACACATCCCTGCTCCCTCTTGGGCAGGACCCCGACGCCAGAGTCAAGAGACTGCTGTGAAAATGCCAGAGCGTGAGTTACGGGAAAGAGCGCAAAAGCTGGGGATCTGACAGCCACAAGACAGAGCCCAATGATGGAAGAGCCCAGAAAGGCTGTGTCACATCCCACATTGTCAGAGACCCAGCCAGACCGACACCAGGCAGCCTGCAAGACACTCCGCGACTGCTCCCTCTTGTCCAGGAGGGAAGGGCAGAAGGATGTTGAAGCAGCAGCTGTCTCCTGCTAGCGACAGCAAACAAGCACCTTGCCTTCCTCCCAACGGCAGATGGAACATGGGTGCCAAGACAGGGTAAGAGCTGAGAGTGAGCTCGTCCTTGTTCAGGCAAGACACTGCAGGCATCTTCTCTGGGAAACCAAGCCGCCTCAGACACAGACTGCAAAATTCCCCCCATTAGTTTAGAGCGGCTGAGCCATGTTAGCCCCCAGCCTTAAACACCAACGGTGGCACAAAATATAGCCCCTCTGCCTCAGGAAAAAAAAAAGTCAGCTGGAGGAAATAGACTTTGCAAAAGGAAAACTTCATAAACAAGCATTCTCAATACACCCAAAAAGGAACAAGGCTTATGAATTGGTGAAGAATGAGATACTACAAACCGGGAAAAGCTCCTAAAAAGAGAGCTGGGATGACCCCAATGAAAAGATCTCCAGGGACAGTCACAAGATCAAGTTAGGCAAATACCTCCCGAAATGGGAAACAAAGATACATGAAAAAAAATTAGAAATTACGTGCTTTTAAAAACTGTAGCAGGAAGGACCTGACCAGCAGAGTCATTACATGAATGCTGAGTTACAAAGAGGGAAAAATGGGTTGGTAGAGGAGAGAATCAATATGCTCAGTGACGTATTTCAAGAAAAACTCCTCCAAGTAAAATACAGAAATTTCCATAATAATAATAATAATAAAAGGCCCTGGGTAACCATCACCCTGGATAGAAAGCACTGCAAAGCAAAGAGTGAAGAAGTGGCAGAGAGCCAAAAGCAGGTTACACACAGAAGATCAGCTTAAGACAGCTGCAGATTCCCCAAAGCCGGCTCAACGACAAAGGCAGAGACTTCAAAATGGTGGAGAAAAATTACTCACAGCCAGCGCTCAAGTCCAGATACCAAGGGACTCCGAAGACACGAGTAAAGTCTCAACTACACTTATCCCATGAACTCTTTTCAGGAACTTTCTTGAAAATGGGCTATTCCAAATTATGAGATCGAATTTTAAGAAAAAAGGGGAAGAAGGAGGGAAGGAGAGAGGGCAGGAAGGGCAGATGCAGAGGGAAAAGTAAAGTAGGATATAGCATGCAAAGCTCCAACACAAGAGGCCCTCTCAGAAGACACCTGTGTCCCCCGCGGGAGTGACTGGTACCCATCACAGCCAGCAAGTTCAAGAGACAAAAGTGCTGAGGGGGGCTGTCACAGCGTCACCTGTCAGAGGGTGTGCTCCACCCAAGCCAGGGTGGAAACCGAGAAGAGCAGAGAGCATTCATGGGACACCAGCTCTTCGGCGATTATCACGGCAGACTGAACTGAGGATTCAAAGTACTACCTAGCATGATAACAGGAAATCCACACCGCTACTGTGAAAAAAAAAAAATCTATGAAATCATCAGGAAATAATAAAGGGCCAATCATTAAGAGGACAGTAGAAAAGGTCAATGAAGACAGGAAAAGAGACAGAGATTAATCAGGAGTCCGTGACCGCTCCGTGGAGGCAAGACGAGAGAGGGAGGATCAAACCCCACTTGTTCAAAGCAGAAGTCTCAACCTTCAGGGAAACAAAGCATTAGAATTTGTCATTTTTACAAACACCCTGGGTGTTCCCACTCCGTGCTGCCTTCACATCACAATTTGATCAAGGTGTCTTTTGCTCAGAAATCCACACGTCTCTGCGCCCTGACGCTGCGTGAGCTTCACGCACAGCGAGAGGAGGGCAAGAGTGAAGGTACGGGCGTTCCTAAGAAGGACAAAAACCTCACTGCAGGCTTGCAGGCGGGGCGAGAGCAAGCTGGCAGCTGTGCTGGCACACAGGGGGAGCCCAGGAGAAATGAGCTCACACAGGGCTGGGGAGCAAGGACTGCGTCCCAAGCGAGCCTCTAGGTGAGAGGGCCTGTGATGGCCAACAGAGAAGCCAAAGGGACAGTCACAGAAGAGGAAACTCAGACTGGGGGCCAAGAAGCTTCCTGGCATATGCTCCCACGACAAGTGGGTTTGCAACAGACTTCCATTTCAGAGAAGGCACAGCCTCCCCACCTCTGCTCCGGCTGCACCTGAGCCAGCCAGGGTGCAGGGTTCCTTTCTTCTCGTTTTTAAATTGTTCAAGTATATTTATTAGTTACCATGATATAATTTTGTAGGCTTAGGGGTCCTTTCTCCCCTCTTCCCTACCTCCCGCCTCATTCCCCCTCAACTTTGTTCCCTGAATTATTACAGTTGTATAGTTCCTTAGTAACAGTAATAAGGTTAACTTTCTGCTATTTAAATGTATCATGACATTTGGTGCAGTAGCCTAATAGCTAAAGTGATCGCCTTGCATGCAGCAAGATCCCATATGGGCGCCGGTTCATATCCCGACAGCCCCGCTTCCCATCCAGCTCCCTGCTTGTGGCCTGGGAAAGCAGTTGAGGATGACCCAAACCCTTGGGACCCTGCACCCATGTGTGAGAGACCCTGAAGAGGCTCCTGGCTCCCGGCTTCAGACTGGCTCAGCTCCAGCCATTGCAACCACTTGGGGAGTAAATCAGCAGAGGGAAGATCTTCCTCTCTGTCTCTCCTCCTCTCTGTATATCTGACTTTCTAATAAAAATAAACAAATCTTAAAAAAGCAAAATAAATGTATCATGACATGGCAAGTATAGACAAAGGTAGAAAAAAATTCAGTTATCATACTATACAGGTATATTGACATGTTTCATTGAGAATCCTATTTTTATTTGGAAGTAGAGACATGTACTACAATTTAGTTTATCTGTGAGAATAAATGAATATATTTGATTACATCTATTTATTTTGTGTTTTGCATAAATACCACCTTATATCACAGAGAATGTATGATATTTGTCCTCTTAGGACTGGCATATTTCACTAATAATGATGGTCTCCAGTTAGGACCATTTTATTGCAAGTGGTAGAATGTCAAGGCCTACCTCAGCATCCCGCAGCGTGCTTACTACGCTGCCCTTCAAGCTGCCTCTTGGATCAGCCACTAGATGGCAGTGCCCACCCTCCTTTCACCAGGACAGGCCTGACACCTGGCAAGCAGGAAAAGCCGCCCATCTCCCCATCATTCCAAGTGTAATTTCCCACTGAGAGGGAGGAAAGGTGACCCGATTACAGCAGGGTGGGAAGTGGAGTGGCTGGCCTTTCCCTGCAGAAGGATCACAGGGCAGCGACAGAAGAAAAGACATTTGCCTTCTAAGTGTCCCTGAGTCTGGGAAGAGGGGCCGGGAGTTTCTCTGCCCTGGAGGTGCACAGTTGGTAAACGAGGAGGTTGACCACAGAGTATCATTCCAGCTAGGCCAGGGCAGCTGCTCGTGGGTGCCACACTGGCCCCCATCCTCAAGGGGTCCTTCCTGCAACAGCAGATGTCAAGGGACAGGATGGGGTTGGGACTCACCGAATGAGGGGCAGGCTTCCTCGTCAGATCCATCTGCACAATCTCGGTACCCGTCACAAACCCAGGTGTCTATCACGCAGGCCCCACCACTGCAGCGGTAATAATTGGGCAGACACGTGGAAGGTGCAGGTGTCGGAGATGGGAAGATATGCGAATCTGAAAAAAAAAAACAAACCAAGCATTAGAAGAAGCTGATCTCAGACCGAAACGCAGCCTACACGGTGTAGGTGTCTCAGCGCCCCAGAAGGAGGCCAGTGCCAGGCCCCGCTCTGCAAATGTGGAGTAGAACACACTGCATTCTTCCTTTTGGGGGGACCCGCTCTACTACACGTGCTGCAGTGAACTCCGGCTAATATTTTATTTTCTTAATTTTCATTTTAATCTCCAGAGTCAGCAATGGACAGTAAGCTCGCATCAGTTGGCTTATTGCCCTCACGGCCTGCAAGAGGGCTGGGTGAGGACGGGTCAGGGGAGAACACCGCCTCTCCCAAGGCAGTGGCAGAAATCCAACGACTTGAGCCAACACTGCTGCTTTCCATGGTCTGCCTTCGCAGCGGGCAAAAACCAGGAGCTGGAGGTAGGCATGCAACCCAGACACGTTCACATGGGACATCTATGCTGTGAGCACCTGGCCAAATGCCAACTCCAGCCTAGCAGGAAAACTGCTATTACTTTTGCAGGAACCTGCTGGAAGGCACACGGTGGCTAAGAGAATTCCCACCGAGGTCAAACACTATTCTGGTAAAATGAATCACAAACTCGGTCTGGAGACGAGAATGCTAAAAAGGAAAAGGGCAAGGACCTCGACGCCTATGAAATGTATCAAGGCATACCAGGCCCTGGGCACCTTGGTACAGTGGGTGCAGGTGGGGTCTGAAAGTCCACATTCGTAATAGGAGATGCAGATACTGCCACACTGTAAGTTTCTACACTTTTTATTGTGCCTGCAATGGTATGAGCAAACTTAGAAATGGCAGAACCCACACCTTAAAACAGCAGAGATAGACAGAAAACAAAACAAAAACCCCTGGAATCACATCCCACCAATTCCAAGACTGTATGATATGAGTCAGGCACTGCAGAGACAAGGTAAGACCTTGGAAGGAGAACAGGAGGGTCTTAGTTGCTTGTCACCTGGCTGGACCGGCACAAAGGACCCTCTTACCTCCACAGTCCCTCTCGTCGGACCAGTCTCCACAGTCATTCTCCCTGTCACATTTCCACCTGTTGGGGATGCAGTGGCCATTGTCACAGTGGAACTGGAAGTAGCGGGAGCAGTTGGGGGCTTCCGTGGGGTTTTCTAGGAAAGATAATCACACAATCAGTCACTTCCCTGGCACATTTCTCTGTGCATCCTGCTCGAAACCTTAGTCCCAGGACAACCTGCACTGCCTTCCCCATGGCAGCACCATGGCCCACGTGTGCACAAAAATAGTCACAGACTTGGCCCATTTGTTCTGGTCTCCACTTCCAAATCCTGAGACTGATCGTCTCACTCTGTTCTGTGACATTTTACAAAGGGATGGCCTCAACGCTGATGAAGACTTGATGGTGACAACAACATCTTTGCTATATGGTCTGTGACTTTGGGGGATTGGGGAGCACACTCTGTCACATTTTCCATAATTCTATTCCCAGTAATTTCTATGCATAATGTGGCCTTGCCCACTGAGAAAAGAAGGGGACATGAAAACAAAACAAAACATAACCCAGTTCCTGAGCATCAGCATCTACTAGGCAGCAGTTTCAGGACTCAGCTCTTCCTGGGGGGATTCAGGAATTGGTAGCAACTGCGACTAAGGAAGGAAAGGCAAGCCTTCCCCGGGTAGTGCTGACTGGTGGCTCCACTGTGGGAGTCGCGGTTGTTGAAGGCGGATCTGAGCTCTGCTTACCACAGTTGGCTTCATCCGAGTAATCGCCGCAGTCGTCCATCCCATCGCACTTCCAGATCAAGCTGATGCACACACCATTCTGACACTGGAACCCAAACTCATCACAGACCTTATGGAACTCGGGATCTTGGGCTGCATGGGGAACAGTCGCCTGTTAGGCCAGACCACCTACAGCCCCTTGGCAGACAGGGCTGGAGGCAGCGAGGGGAAAAGGACAAAGCCCCCTACTCAAGGGTAGTCTGGCTGGATGACTCCTTGGAGCAAAACCCGTACACGTCCACCAACAACCAAGAAGCGAGGTCCTTCTCAGATGAGGAAAGCTTAGCTACTCAACTACGATCTGTAACCTGATGGGAGTTCAGCCAGGGATGGCCAAACCTCTGTGCCCATGGGTGACCTCCCCCGGCAACCCATCCCACTCACAGCATCCTGCAAAGGCTGGGTCCTCATCGGAGCCGTCGCGGCACTGGATGATCCCGTCACACACCATGGAGTGGAACAGGCACTGCTGACGGTTCTTGCACACAAAGTCCATGAAGCGCGTGCAGAGGGGCTCTGAATGGGAGCAGGGGACAGTGGAGGGCCATGAAGACTCAGGCAGTAGCTAGAGCCGCCACTCGCTGGGCACACACCCTGTACCAAGCCCACAGCTAAGACCCTGGATGCAAAGTGTACTGTCAGACTCTCACAACATTGTGAGAGCTCTCAGAGACCTGGTTTTCACAAAAAGAAAATGGGAAATGACAGCGCTCGGCTGTCTTCCAAGAGCACACAGCCAAGGGAGCGAACTGCCCCATCTCAAAGCCATGATCTCCATCGCTAGTGATCTGACACCGATTCTGACAGCACTTTTCTATAAGGAACCAGTGTTGTAGATAGAACTGTGTCTCTCCACAATGCAAAGCTGAAGCCCTAACTCCAAATGTGTTTGGGACAGGAACTTTAAAGGAGTTATGAGGGTTGCATGAGGTCATGGGCCAGGGCCCTAATCCAACTGGAAGACTTGAAAGGCAAATGCAGACAAAAGGCCTGGTGAAGATACAGCAGGAAGATGGCTTTGGGGCTTCATCTACAAGCCATACTTGAATTTTAGTTTTACCCCCGGATCTTTGACCTGCTGACTCACCGTGCCATTTGGACTTGTCAGTTTCTTAATCACATATGCCATGCCAATCAGTCTGTGTATGTCTTTCTTTCTCTCTCTCTCTCACGTGCACACACACAATCAATTTTTTTTCCTCTGCAGAACCTTGACTAGTGAAATGAGAGCAAAGTCGTTAGGCTCTGTGGGCCAGCCAGCCTCTGAACTACTTTGCCACAAGGGTGTGAGAGCCACCAGGTATGAGAGCCACAGACAGACAGCCATTTCTGCTATCAGAAACCAGGTCACCAAATCTCAAAACTGACTCTGGGCCACATTTCACCCACAGGCCAACTTGCCACCCCTGCACCAATAAACTCACTACCATCCCGGAATGCTGCAGAAACTCCCAACACGCAAGGGCACTCCAGTTAATGCACTCAAGATCCTGAGCGCCAGCTCTCTCAGTTCATCTAGGGCTATTTGGATGTAGGACAGCCTGTGATGCAAGACACTCTTTCTGGGTCCAAAGGAAACCAGGGATCTAGAGGGTCACCTGACCCCAATAATGTTTTCCTGAGCAGCACTGGGTGGTATCAGCTAAACCCAGCAGATGCCTCCAAATCAAAGCAGCTGATCAACTCATAGGACATAACACACACTGCTACAAGAATATTCACTGGCACATCAAGTGGTCCATGATTCCCACCCCACCCAGCCCTGCAACTCTCCTTGTCATCATCAGCCCCAGGCGCTCTGATCAAGACTCAGAATCAGGACATGGAATCAAAAAGACCGAGTCTAACGGGCACAGCCAGCAAGGGCCTCCATGCACTCTGGAGCCGGGAGCGGACTCACCACAGTGCTGCTCGTCTGAGCCATCGGAGCAGTCGTGCAGACCGTCACAGTGCTTGGTGGTTGGGATGCAGGTGCCGTTTGGGCAGCGAAATCCATTGCACTTCTTCTCTGAAAAGTGAGTCAGTGAAAGAGAAGAATGACAAATAGGAATCAGGCATGTGCACATTGAGGATGAGGTGATACTCCGGGACAACCCCAGGGCTATTTGACCATTGCTAGGAACATTACAAATGTAGTTACTGTGTGATTCCGCTTGCAGAAGTACCGTCTGCTTACAGGACTGAAAATTAAATAATGTCGGTACAAAGCTACAACCTGTACTCAACACAAGCACACATGTTACCTAACACCGTGACAGATGGCAAACCCCCGCCACGCCCATCTATCAGGGCCTGCTGAATCAGTATCGTCTGTACGCTGGGACACCACACAGGTGGAAGAGACTGAAGAAGTGCTCTATACGAAAACTTACATGCTAGAGATCAAGTCAGGGGAACATGAGAAACACAAGATACAAAGCAATATTCATGCTATATGATGTGAGTATAATACAACAAGAATACAGGTAAAGTTCGAACGTAAATGTACAAAAATATTCAGGAAACATTTACAATCACAGTTTATTATGAAGACAGAGAGGAAACTGGGCAGGGGAAAGGAAAAATTTCTACTGAACATGTTTTTATATTTTTTTTTCCATCTTGAACCGCACTACCTGTTCAAAGCAGAAGGATTTAATTATTTTTACAAAGCAAAGCTTTAAGGGCCGGCCCTGCGGTATAGTTGGTAAAACCACCATCTACAGCACTATGTCCCTCCTAGGTGCCAATTCAAATTCCAGCTGATTCACTTTGAATCCAGCTTCGTGTGATGACCTAGGAAAGCAGCAGAGGATGGTCCAAGTGCTTGGGACCCTGCATATAGGTGGGAGACAAAGAAGAATCCTTTGGCTCCTGGCTTCCAAGCAGCTCAGCTCCAGCCACTGCAGCATTTGAGGAGTGAGTCAGTGGATGGCAGATCTCTCTCGATCTCTTTCCCTCTCTCCTTGAAGATCTCTACCTATCTTTCTGTAACCCTCTTAAGTAAATAAAATGTAAACTAAAAGTAAATAAATGAATCTTGAAAGGAAAGGAAAAAGCTCTAGTGCACAGAAAAAAAGCAGGACATGAATCCTGATGATGAAGTCCAGTTTTTTAAAGCTTCTTAAATGACTCGCCACTTTAAGTCTTCAAGAAGTGTAAAGCGGAACTCCCTGGGAGAAAGCTTGCCTACACGTGCTAAGGGCTGAGAGCTCAGAGCCAGTTCCGCATGCACAGAGGGAGAAGGGACATGTCCTGATGCTCCACTGCAACGCCCCGGCTTGGTCACCCTTCTCCTAGGCAGAGGCTCTTCCAGACACCAGTAAGTACTTTTCTACTTACTAGTTGTTGAGTTCTTTATCAAGTGGAAGGGGAAGCCTGTGACTATGAATAAACTAGAAGCATTTCATTGTACAAAGTACATTAAAAAATAAGAAAGGAAGGTGGGCACACAGGCTGGAGGAAGGCTAGGATGGGAAGTATAACTACGCTCCTAAATCTGCATATATGAAACACAAAATCTGTTCCCTTTATTTAAACAAAATGTTTTAAAAACTCAGTGCCAAGCCCGGTGAGATAGCCTAGTGGCTACCTCCTTGCCTTGCATCCACCAGGAGCCCATATGGGCACTATTTTGTATTCCAGTTTCTCCACTTCCCATCCAGCTCCCTGCCTGTGGCCTGGGAAAGCAGTTGAGGATGACCCAAAGCCTTGGGGCTCTGCACTTGTGTGAGAGACCCTGAAGAGGCTCCTGGCTTAAGATCAGTTCAGCTCTAGCTAGTGCAGCCATTTGGGGAACAAATCATTGGACAGAAGATCTTCCTCTCTGTATTTCCTTCTCTCTGTGTATCTGCCTTTCCAGTAAAATGAATAAACATATCATAGATCTTAAAAAAAAAACATCAGTGCCAACAGGACAGTCTTAGCCGTCACAAGTCCCACTTCGGGTAGATTGGGTAGAAAGACAAAGAAAAACGGGTTTTAATGCTGTTGAAAGTCATCATTCATAAGAAATGTGTGGAGGACATCAAACAGAAATAGCAAATTAGCACCATGACTCAACTGATATGATTAATTTGATCCAGTAAAAATAGGTTACTTTTAAAAAGATATAAATCAAAGGGCTGTTATGGTGGGTTAAGCTGCTGCCTGTGATGCTGGCAGCCCCTATCTGGGCACTGGCTGGAGTCCCAGCTGCTCTACTTCCGGTCCAGTTCTCTGCTCCTGTGCCTGGGAAGGCCGTACAAGATTGTCCAAGGACTTGGGCCATTGCCACCAGTGTTGTGGAAAACCTGGAGGGCTTTCCGGCTTCCAATTTCCGCTTGGCCCAGCCCCGGCTGTTGTGGTCATGTGCACAGTGAACCAGTGGATGCAAGATCTCCCTCCGTCCCGCTCACTCTTTGAAATAAAAAAAAAAAAAAAAATTCTAAAAAGGTATCGACTAAAACGGCATGAGACAAACACACTCATTCAATTAAAAAATAACACTCCCCCCCTGCCAAAAAAAAAAAAAAAACCCTGTATCTAGGGAGAGGAGGGGAGCAGGCAGCATGTCTCTGGTGCAGACACACTGGGGATTTTCCAGCTGATCTGGAAACTCCGATCAGCGATCAGAACTTCTCTCCCCACAACATCCCAGCTGGATGAGTAGATCCTACAACATGTCTGCCAGGAAACACAAGCCTGCATGTCCAAGGACATGAACGGTTGGCAATGCTGTGACTGTGTACAATGAAAAGCACTCATACGGACGACCAGACAGCATGAATATGCATCTCCATGAATATGCTAATTACAGAAAAAACAAATACATGGACACATTGCTTTATTTTATTACAAATAAAATAAAATGTTATTTGCAAAGCACATTTACACACAGTGAAAATTCTATCCTCTGGTTCACCACACCAATGGCCACAACAGGCAGAGCTGGCCCAGTCCAAACCCAGGGGGCCGGAAGCTTCCTCTGGGTCACCCGCATGGGTGCAGGGGTCCAAGGACTTCAGCAATGTTCTGCTGCCTTCCCAGGCCACAAGACGGGTGCTGGATTGGAAGTGGAGCAGCTGGAACCTAAACCAGTGCCCTTTGAGACGCAGGCACTGCAGGTGGAGACTTAGCCTACTACACCATGGTGCCAGCCCTTGAAAATAGTTTTAGTACTACATCAGGAAAGCAGAGTGTATGAAGCATCAGAATCACACGAAACTCTAGAATGCTCAGCCAAAGGATATGGACAGAACAGCTCAAAAACCGTTTGGTGCTGAAAGGGTATTTTCTATGTTCCGTCTGCGAGGCACGCCATTTGCTTGCCTGAGAAATGAGAGCACAAGGCTGGCCCCAGCACATCATATGGCAACACAGCGTGGAGAGTGGGTGGGCTTGCTGAGTTGTCAGGGAGGAAACACGGGCAGAGCGGAACAGGTTTTCACATCCTGGCCCATCTGCTGCCTCTTTTCCTGAACAGAAAACCCTGGGGAAGCTCCATGCAGGAGCTATCGCAAGTCTCTTTACCGCAGTTGGCTGGATCCTCATCGGAGCCATCCTGGCAATCGGCATCACCGTCGCACGCCCACCGCTGCGGGATGCAATGCCCATTGCGGCACTGGAAGTTGGAGGCCTCGCAGGTGTGAGAGATGGCTGCCAGGGAGAGAGAAGGCAGACGAGTTACATGTCTGGGGAAACGGGGGAGATACCCGCTGCTGGCACCTCCCTGCTTCTCCTCAGCCATGCCAGCTCCTCCAGTGGGCAGCGACTCGGGTCTGTGGGTGACACAGCATGACACAAGCTACATACAGGTGCACATACATGCACCTGTTGAGAAACCACTCATTCTTTACAGTTGATGAGATATTACTTACCTCTCACCATTGAGAAACGGGCTAGAGAGATTAAGAAAGTTACAATGAACAGCACCAGGCTGCCTGAGTCCAGAGCCTGATTTTTTCCCCCTACAATACCACACTACTTCCTCTTCTTAAATAAAGTTTTTTACCCATGGTACGAATTAAGGAGAGCTTGATGTTCGCTTAGCCTACTGAGCTCTAAACGCATTGCAGACAATGTGATACAAGGAGCCTTCAAAACTCTGTAATGCCATGGCTCCACCAAGGGTTAAAAATAATACAAAAAACTCAAGACACGCAAACCTACAAGATGCATTCCAACCTACCACGAAATCAGGCTCCGTGAAATAGAACTGTCTATGCAGAGAGAAGCAACGCTCTGCTAACAGCGCCCCTCACAGTCTCCAAAGGGGACGCACATGCTAATCAGCAGTCACTGAGCAGCCTCACTGGCACTCATTTCTGACACTGATGCCATCATTGAGGAACATCGCGAAACGGCAAGTCAAGGACAAATCGGGATGCAGCGTACCTGCCTCAGGCCCAACCAGCACTCATAGCTGCCTTAGCAACTGCCCTTCCCCTTGCTCCTGGAAAGCAGCTGGCCTCAGCACACAGCTGAGAGGCAGCAGGCCCGACCTTGTTGATTGACAGTGAAGGGCCCGTCCCTTAACTGCAGGGGAAGCTTGCAACTGTGAAACAGCAATGGGCCCTGTGTATGAGCGCATTTTGTTTCTTAAGAAACATTCAATTATGCGTGCCTGCAATGAATGTAAATCACAGGCACAATGAGAGATTAATAATAAAACAGAAATGTTAGAGCAATAGAGTGGAATAGGAGCATTTTAAAATCTATCAGTGTTTTATTTCTGGAATTTTCTTTTTTAATTTTTTTTAGTTTTACTTATTTTTATTATTATCATTATATGATACAGTTCCATAGGCCCTGGGATTTCCATTAACCCCTCCTTTACTTCCCTCCCCACTCACTGAGTTCTCCTATATCATCACTATAGTATAGTTCTCCATACACAGCCATTATGTCCATCATTGCAGACATGGACAATAACAGAGAGTCCAGCATCCTATTGTCAACATATAGTAAACAATTTCAGTGGGAGTCCATCTTTGTCTGGAAGAGTAGAGATGCATACTGCATTGTAATCTCACATCTGAATAAACAGTTTCCATGACACAGTTACTGTACATTCCCTTAAATGAAAAAGCCACATTATAAAATCAACAGCAGGAAGAAAAATAGAAATTTACAATGCCATGAAGTTAAATAGCATGCTATTAGATATGATAGCCTCCATTACATAGTTATTATACATCCTTTTAAATGGAAAGCCACAAAACATAATCAACAACAGGAAGAAAAAAAATTAACAATACCATAAAGTTAAACAACATGCCACTGAATGACTGATGTGTCGCTGAAAAAAATGAAAAAGAAAAAATCAAGAATCTTCTTTTTTTTTTTTAAAGATTTATTTCTATTATTTTTTTATTGGAAAGGCGGATATACAGAGAGGAGAGACAGAGAGGAAGATCTTCCGTCCGATGATTCACTCCCCAAGTGAGCACAACGGGCCGATACTATGCCAGTCCGAAGCCAGGAGCCTCTTCCGGGTCTCCCATGCGGGTGCAGGTTCCCAAAGCTTTGGGCCGTCCTCGACTGCCCTCCAAGGCCACAGGCAGGGAGCTGGAAGGGAAGCGGGGCTGCCGGGATTAGAACCGGCACCCATATGGGATCCCGGGCGTGCTAGGTGAGGACCTTTAACCACTTGCGCCACCGCGCCGGGCCCAAGAATCTTCTTGAAGGATGCTACTGTATGATGTATGAGTCACTGAAGAATTTAATCAGAAAAAAAGGGTTTTGAAGAAACGAAACTAACAAAAAAACATCAAAAACCATGAGATATAGTTTCTGCTGATCTTTGTTGGTAAAATGTGTCTACTGAGGGCCTCAAATAGATGGGTTTTGTTTTTTAATCCAATCTACTAATCTATGATGTTTGATTGATGAGTTTAAGCCATTTACACTCAGGGTGAATACAAATAGGTGGTAATTTGGTCCTGTCATTTTAGCAATGGGTTGTTCATTGATTTAGTCTTCTATTATTTTACTGGGATGTTCTTCCCATTTGCCTTTGGTTTTGGTGGGCGCTATTCCTTTTCTCTGTCAAGAGAACAGCTGTAAGTATCATTTGTAGGGCAGGTTTGGAAGAGGCATATTCTCTTAACTTTTCTTTACTGTGGAAGAATTTTATTTCATTTTCCTATTTCATTTTTCACTTTATTTCATTTTCAAAGGAAAGCTTTGCTGGGTACATTATCCTGGGCTGACAATTTTTTGCTTTTAGAATCTGGAATATGTCACTCCATTCTCTTCTGGCCTGTAGTTTCCTGTGAGATCTCCTGTGAGTTTAATTGGCATTCCTTTATATGTAAGTTGGTTTTTTCATGTGCACATTTAAGGATCTTTTCCTTATGTTCAACTGAAGAGAGCTTGATTATCATGTCTTGGTGAAGATCGCTTTTGGTCAAGTCTGTTGGGAGTTCTGTGCCCCTCCTGGATGTTGTTTCCCAAGTCTTTCTCTAGATTAGGGAAATTTTCGTTTAATATTTCATTGACTACATTTATAAACCCAGCTTCTCTTTCTGCACCTTTTGGGACTCCCATAAGTCTTGTATTTGGCCTTTTAATTGTGTCTTTCAATTCTTGAATACTTTTTTTGGGGTCCTGATCCATGTCTGCTTCCAGCTTTTTGTTTGTTTCCCCCTGGTGACAGGAAGTATCTTCTAATTCTGAGATTCTTTCTTCTGCTTTCTTCATTCTGTTTTGAAGACTCTCCACCGTACTTTTAATTTGCTTCACTGTATTCTTCATTTCTGATAGATCAGCTTTCACTTGATTCATTTCCTGTGTGACACATTCTTTAAATTTCTTGAGTGGCTGCTTCACGTGCTTTCCATTGCTGATAAGAAGTTTTATAACAAGTGTTTTGAATTCTGTAGCCCACATTTTCTCCATGTCTTCCTCAGTTAACTCTGAGGTTGTCAAAGTCTTTTGCTCCTTTGCAGGGGAGTCTACTGTAATGTTCATTGTGCCTTTCTCTCTTCTTTTGCTCTTGGTCACTGTAATTCCGGTTATCAGATTCTTCTCCTTGGAGCAGGCTTCTAAGCTCTGTCACCCACAGGTCTACAGTTCAATTTTACTTATTACAGCTCTTTGTTTACTGTCACTTTTGCCACTCCCTCCAGCAAGTTCCAGGTCTGGGTTCTTATGTTAGATTTCCACCATGGTCTCCACAGCCCCAGCTCACTACTCTCTACCTCCTGTGATACTGTACTGAGGTTGCATTATCGTCTGTGCAACCTTTCTCCCACTTCTGGTTGGAGTAGTGCCCAGGATTAGAGAGACACCAGGTGTCCTATATAGCTAGGTTGTTCCTGGTGGTGATCTTGCTGCAACCTGTTGGCTGTTAGGTCTGAGGGCCACATGGACCTATTTTGACCTGTACAATGCTGTAGTCGGTATTATTTTCCTGTGGGACCAGCACAATGCATGGAATTCAGCAAGTTCTCGCCGAGGTCAGCACATGCGCAGCTCAGCGCTGTCCCCACAGTCTCAAAACTCTTGCCACACTATACAAAATGGAACCTGTACAACACTACTAGAGTTCTTAATCTCCTGGCTGTCAGGTGTGAGGGCTACCAGGACCTGTCTTGAGTGGAACCTGTAGGGTGCCACATTGCTGCAGTTCACTGAGTCAGAAATGAGTTCACTTCCAGCTCAGTGCATGGGTAGTCCTGCCACATAGCCCTTTCCTCCTTAAACAAAATGGTGCCCAATATGGCTCTACAGGCCAGACTGGGCTGTGAAATCCACCTGGTTCTGGCATCGCCCATCTGGGATCTGCTGCTCTGTCTCTGCTCCTGGTCAAATCAAACAAACCAGCAGGACGAGCAGTTCTTTGTCTGGGTTCACCTCCTGAGCTCCTGTTGCTTCCCACCTTGTTGCTGGTGGAGTTCTGGCTGCAAATAGAGTTCAGATCGCCACTTGCTGAATGCTGCTGGGGTATCAGTCACTGCAATGCCACACTGTGGTTTTCATCGCTTTCCTGTGTCTGACAGTCTCTGGGTACCCCTCTGCTGTTGCTCTGTCCTCTCCTGTTTCCTGGGATGTGCCCTCTCTGCTTCACATTGGCTAATATTTCTCCATCTGTTTAAACCTGTCCTTACCCTATTCCACCATCTTGATTCCTCCTACCCTGTTTCTGGAATTGTCCACTCCCTATGTTTGGTCTGTGGTAAACCAGGTAAGGAATAACCATGGACAGGTGGGAGGGGCCACTGTCACAGAGATGCTCTCTGTTAGTTTAACTCCAAGGACAAGACGTCCTCATAGTAGAAGACGGTAAAGCAAATGAATCAGGTTGTTGAGAGCAAATTATATATTTTCTTATTCAAATGTGACAGCTACCAGTGAATTGCTGAAGGATTGAGAAAATTGGCTTTCCATGTCTTCTAGAATTTCTACTGCATTGGAGGCTATTGTGCGCATAGTCAGAAATATGAAGTACCTGACTCTTCAGCCTACTTTAAAATGAGCACTCATCCATCCTTAGTGTCTTCTCATCTCTCCCAAGACCAAGGCTATATTTGACAGGATGTAAGTCTACAGGAAGTTCCCACAGGTCCAGCCTTTGGTACTCAGAATTCATTTAAAAAATCTTTTTACAACATACTGATCTCTGGTAAAGAGGAGTGAATGAATCGTGCATGTTCCATGAGCTTCTGCTCCAGTTACAGGCATCACCTGGAATACTTCTGATCTATTGGTGTCACAAGTCAGACAGCCTTTTTTTGGAAATTTCTCATCAAAGTCTTGTTTATACAAAATATAAAGTTACCTAAAATGATAATCATGGCCATCTACTCATTCAGATTACACTGAATTTAATGGAATGGAATGTTTAATTAAAAACATTTTCCGAGTCCTAGTGGAGCCTCCAAGGGGCAATGCCTGGAGGAGGTCACGTCTGAAGCCTCCAGACTCCATCACAGATGGGCTCATTTCAATGACTTCCAATCCAGAGATCACAAAAGAATAAAATGCAAACAAGTGTAATTTTCCTGGATCTCCCATCTCAGTACTTTATAAGCTGTCTGGTTCTGACTTGCTGGCATATCATGCTCAATAAATGTGTTTAATTGCAAAGATGATCTTTGTTATCCACAAGGGAGATCTGAACCAAGATCTAGGATCCCCATCTTAGCCTAGCCAGCCCCAGGTGTTGTAGGCATTCAAGAAGTAAAACAAGTGCTGGTGCAATGACTAAACTGGCTGATGCTGCAAATGCCAGCATCCCATGTGGGCACTGGTTCATGTCCCAGATGCTCCACTCTCATTCAGCTCCCTGTTTACGGCATGGGAAAGCAGCAAAGGAAGATAAAATTCCTTGGGACCCTGCACCCACAGGAGAGAAACAGAAGAAGCTCCCAGCATCAGATCAGATCAGTTCTGATGTGGTCATCTGGGGAGCAAACCTGTGGATGGACAATCTTACTTTCTGTTTCTCCTCTCTCTGTAAGCAGGCTTTTCTAATAAAAATTAGTAAATTGTTTTTTAAAGAAATAAAACAGAAGAGCGTGCTGTGCCTGTGTCCCCTTTTCCAATAAACAAAAATTTTAAAAAGCATAACGTAGCCATAAAAAGTTACATACCTTTGAATAAGTTTAGCAATTAGAAAACGACTCGTTTTAGAATTTTTTGAAGCGTAAAACTAAAATAATTAAGATTTAGTGTTTTAAAATACTAAGTATTTGTCTAGGTATTTTATATTGGAACTGTGGGCAGACTGGAACCAAAACAAGGTACCTATATATCAAAGAGGGGAGAAAGATATTAGGAATGCACATAAAAGACCTATAGATAATAGCTAAACCAACTCCGATGCACAGGCTCAAAACCAACGGGGTGTGGGGTAGGTTGGAGGGAATCAAAGAAACAGCTCCTCAAAACGCAAAAGCCAGAGGAGCTCAAGGTTGTTCACACAGAGCAGAGTGTGGATGGCAGGACAACGAGAGGTCAGCTGTGTCCAACCTATTTTCGTTGGCTATACAGCTAGCTTAATTTAATAGACCAGGAAACAGAGTGTCAGGCCCACATCAAAACAAGCTCACATCCGATCTCTGGCTATTGTGAGAGGACACAGAGGAAGAAACATCCTAGCAAGATCTGCACGTGTAGCCAGCAGAGCAAGAACCTGCAGTTTTCCCCAGTTCACCCTGCCAGAAGAAAACCAGAAGCAAAACCCAGAGTTCCTGACATGCCTGTTCACAGAAATGACGTTAAGAACTCAGGCCAAGAGACCGGCACATGCTGCTGCTGCTGCTACACAGCCAGAGTTTCAGTCATTCTGTAATGGACAAGCAGCAATGCCCAGTGCATCCTTCAAATTCATAAGCCACTTAGCCACCCAAACCACAAGTTCTCCAACAGCATTCCCAAGTCTCCTGGGATGAGGGTGATTTCTCTGCCAACCTTGGCTCTTTCTGCTTCTGCAGGCCCTTTCTTTGCAACAGCAACATTTTCGTCTGGCCTTTCCAGAGGCACAGGTATAAACAGTGGAAAAGGCACAGGAAGGATATGGGCAAACTCTACAGGGAACAAAACGTGGGAACACCACAGAATACCCTGTGCAACACATGGGATTCCAGGAGATCCTTCTAATGGAGAACAGACAGAACGAAGTAGCTGTGAGACTACCTGAGCCACCATTTAACTCTTCATGAAACTATCACCCTGGTCCCGATCAATGGTCCCGATCAACTTTAACAGATAGACTTGGTGCTTCTAAACTTGTTATTTTTTTTAAGAAATCTCACCCCAAATGGGCACAAATTTACATTTTCATTGACTTGGGAACCCCTCAGATGTTCCATTTGAAAGACATGAACCATTTCAGTGCTGCTCAAAGTAGCTCCCCATACTAGGGAGCTGATCTTTCAACTTCTGGCTTCTGGTCCTGCAGACAGGGGAAACTTGGGCCCCAATCTGAATGTGCCACAGCACTCAGAACAACACTGTTCAGCTCAGTGGATATTTTTCTTAGAAAGACTGTCTTCAGGAAGCTGAAACACATCCTGCCACAAGCTCCTCATCTCATCCTAGACCATCTTTCCAGGCAGTACTCATCTGGTTGACTTCTCCGGCCCAGGCTAGTCCTCAGGGTTTGCCCTCCGGGGGTATCCGAGCTAGGAGGCTCCCCAGTGCGTGGACAGGTGTGTGCTGCTGATGGCAGCCAGGGTGCACTGACCTGTGCAGTTGGTTTCATCAGACCAGTCCCTGCAGTCGTTGTCTCCGTCGCACACCCAGGAGGAGCGGATGCACATGCCGGAGCTGCAGTTGTATTCATCGCTCCGACACTGGTGCATTTCTGCAAGGGCAGGAACATCAGAGATGTGAAGATGAATGCCTGTTCAAGATCCTGGTCCTGGTGGCAAAGCTAGTAAGTTAGCAAACAGACCCACAACACTGATCAGCTGCCAATAGTGTGGACAAGGAGACGTTAAGCAGAGCAGTGAGGTCATTCAGGACAGTTGCCACTCTGGGTACTCATGAGATACCAGCACCCTCAGACTCTGAGCAGCTCCCTGCCTCACGGCAAGAACAGCACTATCCATGTTCCCCAACAGCCCTGTATGACGAGAGGAACGTAAAGAAGCATTGATTAAGGGCAGTAGCCCTTTCTAAACACAGAAGACTTCTGGAGACACAGCTGTGGTTTGAGGAAGGCAGAAACAAGTACAGATCATCATGCGATGATCTCAAGCCAGGGCAAGCAGGCCGGGTACAGCTGCTGCAATGCAGGAAACAGCTGGGGACTTTCTGTGGGCAGAGCTCCCATGCTGTTGAGGAACACAGGTCTCTGGAAGGTCAAGAGTCCCAAGGCAAAGGAAAGCAGCTGCACCAAGATATGAAAGCAGGCTGCACTGGCAGCACCTCTCCTTGGCTAGGGCCCAAGGGGCACCCCAAATAGCTGATGCTGAAACTGAGCCCCCATGGTGAGAGTACCAAGATGTGGGGACCCGAGGAGGGCATTTGACATGAGACAAGTGACCTTAGGGGGGTTGTGAAAAACCCACTCTCTCCTGCCATGGAAGGGCATACAGAAGGCTGTGTCTGCAAGGAAAGGGCCCTCATCAGACCAAAATCGACTGGCATCCTTGGACTTCCCACCTCCAGGATCACAAGCAACACATTCCTACCATGTTGAAATCTCCAGCTGAAGCATTTTGTCGCAACAGCCTGAACAGACCCAGAGGCACAATTTTTAAGTGGAACTTTCTGGAGCTGCAGAAGATAGATATAGCCACACCTGGGCCTGGGATATCTGTGCTGATTGCTATACTGAGGACACACACTGATAGTAAAGTTGGGGACTCAGACCACTCAACAGGAGAAAGCTTGGCGAATCAGGAAGAGGACCTGCTCAAAGAAGGGACTAGCTAAGGCTTTGGAACGGGCTCTGGATAAATTAGCATGAGTTGATCATGAATGCATGATTGAGGGAGATTGAAACTGCCAAATGGTCAAATGTGAATCCAGTAAGTTAGAAATACGAATTCATGTGGGGCTTCCTCACTACTAAGATGAAGCAAGCTGCACATGTCAGCCTTCAGGGAGGTGGAAGCCAAGGGGGAAAAAGTCATGAATTTCAAAGACAAATTATGGAATTAAAAAAAAAAATTGTTCCATGTGTGCCAGGGCAGGTGTATGTTCCATGTGCAGGTGGCCATGTACTTGTTCCTTGAGTTTATTTGTGTGAAAATGATTTGTGAACAGTCCTTGCTTCCCTCATTTCAATGCATGTGAATCAAGCCACCTGCTCATAAAGAAGCTAGCCCTGCCCATGTGCACATGCACAGCCTGGCTGGCAATGAACCTGCTGTTGTGGACATGGAGGGAGGGCTCAGCAGGGCCACCCCACTCATCACCATGTCTGGGTCAGTGTCTGGCCGCCATTCTCATTTCCCTTTCACAACTGTGGTTTCTGCAACACAGAGCATGATGCGTATTGAAGGATGTCTCCTTGGTTGATCTACAATCTTACATTTGGGGTCAGAGCTGATGGACTAAGGGAAGTCTTCATGAAGCTGACAGGACGGTACTACACACGGGAAATGGAGAGAAATTAGAAGACAGGAGGCATGGGTTCCAGTTTCCCATTCTGACACAAACTAATCATGCCACCTTAAATAAATTCCCTGACCTGTAGGGAACTGAGCCACTAAATACAGACACTAAAAGGCCTGGCCTAAGGAAGTCCTACCAGCCTTGCAATCATAACAGGCTACTTTTCTTGATGCAAAAAGTGTCATTCACAAAAAAAAAATGCTAATCAGTGCCTGTACCACCTGCTAAATTATAACAGCTTATTAAATTAGAATGGTTAAAATAAAAACAGCTTGTAATGGCATAGGTCTATTTCTTCAGGCTGTTAATCTTGCACCTGCTCTAAGATGTGGCCCGAGTGTGAACAGTTAGGAATTTGTTCAGAAATCTAACTTTCTTAGTCGTATTTCATGCTTACAAGCAGTAGCTTTGCAAGGTAAAGCAGGTAATTCTGCAAATTAGAAAACAAAAACAAACACAAGGAGATCAAACCGGAAATACGGCAGGGGAGCAGAGGGTAGACTAACTCCATGTTTTCCAACCATGAATTCAGTGTCCCATTAGCTCTAGATCAAACATTTCTAATGGAACTGAATCCTTATGAAAAACAGCAAACAAGGTCTCTTGGAACAAAATGGACAACATAAGTAACTCAACCCTCCTACGTGGGCAGAGGTAGCTATTCAACTGGAATAACTGAAGTCCCCAAACAGCCGGCAAAAAAGTCCCCATTTCCAGAAGCCCTACCCACTCATACAGCCCAGTGAGGTGTGGCGATCTCCACCTCCGCGATGGAGTTCCCAGATATGGTATGCCTTACCACAGTGACTTTCATCACTGTTGTCCCCGCAGTCATCCTCAAGGTCACATTTGTAGGAGAGTGGGATGCAGGTCCCTGACTCCTGGCAACGGAACTGGGTGTCCAGATCACAGATGGTGGTAGCTAAAATGGGGAAGAAAAACGACAATTAATATCCCCACTCCAAGACACACATATCCCACTGGAAAGCCAATTTGCTGACAGAAGGGAGCCGAGGGTAGCACAGAAATGAAACTTAGACTTAAGCAAGAGATAAACTGCATGAGTAGCTGAAATTGACAACCAAGAAGGATGGGGCATCTCTTGCTGGCAGTGGATGTCGGTGACCTCCAGATCAGCACAAGCTTGGGAAACAAAAAGTGTTGTCTGTGGGGAAGAGAGGGAACAGAGGGCCAGACGCACTCCTAGGAACTTTTCAACATGTGAAGGCTTGCAAATGCAAAGCTGTCTTTGCAGGCAAGTGGCAGAAATACCTTTATCTACAAAACTGTCATATTAGGGAGACCCATGCCCATGCAAGATGCTGGCACTTCACTGAGTGAGAAAGGCAGTGTCCATAGCAGGAACAAAACCTGGGTTTCAGAGACCAGTTCTACTTCCTCAGGCAATTCATTTTAGCCTCTCTGGGCCTCAGGTTCCTCAACAGCAACTTCAGAGTAAGGGGATGCAAGCTTGCAACTATAGTAAAAAACACTAGCTTGGGGTTTCAGGAGGCTGGCTTGTGGCACCGTGGGCTAAGCTGCCACCTTGGACATGGGCATTCCATATCAGAGTGCTGGGTCAAGTCCCCGCTGCCTTGCTAACGGTCTAGTCCACTGCAGAGCAGCAGCAGATGATCCAGACACTTGGGCCCTTGCTGTCCATCTGAATGACCCAGATGGAGTGTGTGACTCCTGGTTTCGGTCTGGACTAACCCTGGCTATTGCGGCAATTTGAGAATTGACTCAACCAATAGAAGATCTCCTAGCTCTACTTTTCAAGTAAATAAACACATTGTTTTTACAAAACTGTATTTAGATCTTGATTCTATTAACTTCAATCTATCTACCCCTATACATTCTGTGCTCCCATTCCGTCTATTGTAAAATAGAAGGAATTCATACTCAGCAGCATGTTTACGAAATAATAATAAAAAATAAGCTCAGGGCCAGAACCCATAAAATATGACAAAAATAGAATGGGCTCCAAACAAATGTCACTTCCCCTCCTCATCCCTGCTTGTGCTGCTGTGGAGTCAGAACGAGCATAGAATTAGATTTTCTCCATCCTCTATAGACAGCAATTTCCTGGGCTTACACACAATCCCTCAAGAAAGAGCATCAGGGGAGCTGTGCAGAAGGTAGGCAGCTTCCCAGAGTGGCTGGGGGGAGGGAGGGTCCTGGCAGGAGGTGGGGTGTGGCAGCCCCCAATCCTGGCAAGGAATGAATGCCAATGGGCAGCATGGCTGGCAGGCAGCTGGCAGCCCTTATTGGGAGGCTCCATCTCTGCTCTGGAGTTGAGTTAGTGGTATAGGCAAGGGATGAATGCACAATGACAAAACCACAGGGGACTCGCACAGAAACCCCAGGGCCTGACAGCCACCCAGCTATGGGAGCGTGTCTCAAAGGATAGAAACTCACTGACAACAGCCCTGTCCTGGCGCCTTCATCAGCTCCTCCTTTCGCCCTGGTGACAGAGCATCTGGCTGAATTCCCATCAATAATCACAGCCTGGCCCCGTCCCTCAGCCCGGCCCTGTCCCACAGCCCTGCCTGTTGCTATCTTCATAAGCATCTTCCCTTACATCCCCTCCTTGACCAGGGATTCACATGTGAGGGCACAGAAAGGCTGCCTCTTGTCGGCTCAGGGTCTGTGCTGCTCTCCTCACTTCTGCCACATCCCGGGCAGGTCAAACTGAAAGCAGAAAGTGATCCTCAGGTTCTTCAGAGAGCCTAGCTCAGCTACATTCACACCAACCCAGGAGGAGGGCCAAGCTGGTGTCACACTTCTCTCAGAGCAGGATCTTAAGACTCTGCACGGAAGATCAACCTTCTTCTAGAGGGGGAAGCTGGCCACTGAGATAGTACGCTCCTCCAGAAAGATGAAATTTTGCACAAAACACAGAGCCAGCATGAGGTCTAGCTCACCCATGTATTAGAAGCAAAGCCCAGGGGCGAAGGGAGGTGGGGTACTGCTGCTGGTAGCCCTAGCTATTGGGCATGAAGTCATTTCATTTCTATTTCTCTGTTATCATCAAGCCTAATTACCTCTGGGCAATCTCCTCTCCTTACCTCCCCACGATGTAACAAACTCCTTTCCAATGTCTGAGTCAATGCTGCTACCAACATTGGCTAGCATTTTTTTAATAGAACTTTGACTATCATTTCTTCCTGAGACTCTGGTAGAAAGAAAAGGTTTTTTTATCAGCTTCCTCTCTTGAGAAAATACAAGAAACGTCAGCAGAGTTCCAAACCTGCCATTCATGGGACATGCAAAAGGCATCCCCATGGAAGCCAGGGAACAAATGATCATGCAAGGGCTCCCTAACGACATCCTCCCAGTCCATAAGGGCAGCGCAGAATATTGCCAGGCCCGGACAAATATAATGGGCAGGCATTTCTAAAGTTGGAGTGTCATGGGAACCTGGCACAGTCTAAGAGACTGGCTAAATTCCTCTGCCAGGAATGAGGTGAGCATCCAGAGCTCCCCATTTACCCGTCCTTACAGCACAATCTAGAAACAAGGTTCCCAGTTGCCAAAGGTAACAGCTGAACGAGGGGCCTCCCGATGTGGTGCCTGGCTTCCCTCCTTCTGCTCTTTATCCCTTCCAATTTGCTCTGCCCTTAATTCTGCAGTGTTTTTCCAATAACTTCAGTGGCTTCCTACGGCTTTCTCTCTCTCTTGCTTTTTTAAAAAAAGGTTTATTTATTGAAATGAAAAGCAGAGTTACAAAGAGAGATGGAGAAGCTGAGATCTTCCACTGGCTGCACTTGCTGGTTCACTCCTTAAATAACCAAAAACACACGGCTGTACCAGGACACAGTCAGGAACTAGGAACAGCACCCATGTCTCTTACATGTGAGTACAAGGGCCTGAATACTTGGGTCATCTTCCTCTGCTTTCCCACACACATCAGCAGAAAGCTGTACTGGAAGTGGAGCAGGCAGGACTCAAACCAGTGCTCATATGGGATGCTGGCATTGCAGGCAGTGCATTAATGTGCTGGACCCAATGGATCTTCTGATCAAGCTACCACAGTCCCTGCTGACTAGGGCCCTACTCGCCCATCTAACCTTCCCATGCCCCACTGTGTCTGCATTCTCTAGGAGTCACACAAGTCCTAACTCTACCATATTCACTCTGTCTTCCCTGTCTGCTTAGTGCACCCCCTACACAGCCCCTTCAAAGATCTGTAGTAGTGCCTACTCGAGATTGAGGTGGGTGTACTATCTAGTCACACAGCACTCCCACCCCCAGCACTCATCCCTGTACTGAAACTACTCTGTCACCTTCTTCCCCTAAAGACTGTAAACCACCAATACAGACCCAGGCCCAGCACAGAGTCCCAAAGGAAGCTACCCAATCCACACTTGTTGAGTGGCTGTGTGACTGGCAGCAAGGTAGAGTGTCTCCTTAGAGGTGAGGTCAGAGCTGCAGACATTAAGTGCAGACAGGGGAGAGCATTTGGCTTAGTACTTAAGAAGCAGTTTGGGATGTCCATATCCCAAGTCAGAGTGCCTGTGTTGGAGTCCCAGCTCCATTACTCACTCTAGGCTCCTGTTAACGTGCGCTCTAGGAGACAAAAGTAATGGTTCAAGTATTAGAGTGCCTCTCATGAATAAGAAAGACTCAGACGGAGTTCTAACTCCTGGCTCTGCCTGGTCCAGCTGCAGCCATGGTGGGCACTTAAGTCGTGAACCAGCAGATGAAAGATATCTCTTCTTCCCTCCCTGCCTCCGCTTCTGCCCCTCAAGGAAAGGGAAATAAATAAACAATTCCTAAAACAAACAAAAAAAAAACATGAAGATAGCTAAAATCTGCAGTTAATAAATTACCCATTATGAATATAAATATTTTAAATCTTGCGCAAGTCACATACTTTTAAATTCAGATGTTCTAGGTGGTCCTTGGAACCTAAACAGTCCATAGCTACAATCAGACCCACATTCCAGGGCAAATGACACATTATTCATAATTAAATTCCTCTTTTGAGTCTCCCAGGCAGATGACAACAACTAACTAGTGTAGCATACAAAGTAACACCTGTTTCTTAGCTCTGAATTTACAAACCAGAGAACGTCACCGGCCATTTGTCTGAAGGCATCCACTCTGCCACAGTGAGAAAGCCATGATTACAGCCTTCCTAGCCAATCAGCTTAGCTTCAGATTTAGAAACCTCTTGAAATGAGTAACCAGCTAGTCGATGTGGTTTGTATAGAAACAATAACGAAGTGATGTGTTTTCCCTGTCCTCCAGGCCCCAACAACTCAGACAGCCGATGGTTAGACCCAGGCTAGAGGGCTCCTGCCAGCAGCAGCCGCGCAGCCTCCTGGGTCAGCAGGAAGAGCAAGGTATGGCACAGGGGCCAAGCCAGCGGACTCACGGCAGTTTCTCTCGTCACTCATGTCTCCACAGTCGTTGTCGAAATCACACCACCAGATGCTGTTGATACAGTTCCCATTGCTGCAGCGGTACTGGTTGCGCAGACAGGTGTCTTCTGCCCATAGGGATAGTAGGGGAAGAAATAAAACCAGTATTACTCTTATGGCTGGACCACACTAACTTTCTCTTCCTTTCCTCAAACAACAAGCTGTCTCAGCTGGTAAAGAGGTGGGGCTGCCAAGCATATGTGCTTACAAGGAAAGAGTGGGCCAGTGTGGCTGCCCTCTTCCTCTCTAAACAAGACCGGTCAGACAGAGGATTAAGAGGTGGTTACGATGATGACAGCAATGTGGCATAGACAGGGTAGCGAAAGGAGCATCACCCATATTGTAAAAGGCTACTAACACTAACACAGAGGACTCCTGAGACAACAGCATCCACACAGTACTAAGCATAGATGCACAGTATATCTACAGCTATATCGTACACAGTTCTCTGAATCTGTGGGTTTCATATTCTTAGACTCAGATAACCACAAACCAAACTGCACTTCTGCTACACACGCATAGTCTTTTTTATTCTGATCATTATTCCTTAAACAGTGCGACAGCTAGCTGCACTGGAACAGCTTTGATAAGTAACCTAGAGCTGATTGAAACACACAGGAGAAAGGGGAGGGGTTACACACAAATACTATTCTGTGTAATGTAAGGGACTTGAGCAGTCATGGATTTTTATCACAATGGGTGGGGAAGGGTGTTTGAGACAACTCTCCCATATTCCAGAGACACTAAGAGAAAACTGTATACGGTTTTACACAGCCATGTATATTCAATCAAATGAGTTACTAAAATTTATTAAGCACTGTGGTATATAGCACGTTGTTACTGCCTGCAATGCAAGCTTCCCATATGAGCAGTGACTGGAGTCCAAACTGCTCCACTTTTGATCGAAATCTGTGCAAATGTAAACTGACAAAGCAGCAAACAGTGGTCCAAGTACCTGGGACCCGGCAACCCACATGGGAGACCCAGATGGAATTTTAGGTTCCTGGCATCAGCCTGGCCCAACCTAGCCATTGTGACCCTCTGGGGAGTGAAACAGCAGATAAGAAAAATATTCTGTCTTTCCCTCTGTCTCTTTAACTCTGCCTTTTAAATACAGAAAATTAATCTTTGATTTTATTAAGGGATTTTTCTGATTTCGTCAAAGCAGTGTTTACCCAGAAACAAAAATGTACTGTTTAGTAAACTGGGTCAAAATCACATGACTGATGGGTTTCTGCTTTGGATATCCAAGGATTTTGACAGAACACGAAGCCTTCTCTTTACTCTTGGAATTTAGTGTTGACTCCATTGCTTTCCAAACAACTTGAAGATGATACCCAGGGCCTGAAAGCAAAGCATTCTGTTTCTCAGAAAGGAAGTTTCATCACTTTTCCACTTGTGTTTCTTAAGAAAGCTGGACTATAAGGCTCCTATTGTATGTTTCCCTGCCCTGGACTCAGAGGCTGCTGAAAGAAACAAGCTTAGGATTACAAGGCAAATATGACCTTGGGGAGAAAAAAAAAAAAGCAAGGGTTCTGGCGCTGGGTCCAGGCACTTCCTGGCAAGGCCCCCTTTCTCAGGGTCATCTCACTGGCAAAAATAGGAGGCCAGGACTGGGAAGGGACAAGGGGAAAAGCTGGAGGGGAAGAACAGACTAAACAGGCTCTCAGAGAAAAATACCTAAGATCTACATATTCCGATTTCAATAGGTGGAGGGAAGAAGATGAGATTGCAATAGTCACTTGCTCACAGCTTGGAAGTCATGGCTTGAAACCTCCTGCAAACATTGAAAAGTTAGAAACATTTGGGGCTACAGGACAGTGAGTGGATTCTAAGTCAAGTCTGAAGGAGTCAGGTAAGTTTCTGACATCAGGTGGGTCCAATTGAAGACACAGAGAATGTGCTTGGGAGGGGCTGGCTAGGAGGAGAAGAGACAGGTGAAGCCACCGAAAGCCTGAACACTAAACCAAACGCCACATCTATCACTTTAAATGCACAGCTCAGGCCTGTTCTAATGGACAGCCATAGCCCTAAGAGCCCATACCACAGGATGTCTATAAGCATCCAGTGGATTTGATTTTTATCTTGGACTCTAACTCAAACAGGTTAGGAAACATGGAGCAGAGCCAAGGGCAGAAAAGAAAAAGGGACGCACCTTCTTTGACACAAGTGTTGTTCTTCAGCTCATAGCCCCGAGGGCAGTCACACATCAGAGCCCCAGAAGGAAGGACAGTGCTGGCCACGCCATCTGGACACCTGCAGCTCTTGCTGTTGTTGGCCTTGGGCAGGCAAAGCAGGCTGCATGGCTTGGGAACACAGGCATTACTTCCTGGAGAGAATACATGTGGGTTAATCTCACAGCATCTGGGTTAGTATGATGCACAGGAGGAGACCTCAGGAAACCTGTCTCTTCCTGAGAAGCTCAGAATGATGATGTGCCAGTAGCTGACCCTCACCCAGTCTGACCTGTCTCACAGGCTCACCTCCTTGGCACTGCCCTGGGGAAAAGCCGGACAACAGAGGTGCTTGCTGGAATGTGGAACTTGGCTACTGGAAATGAAGAAAGTGTCTATTACACAGTGTGTGTCAAAGGTGGCACGCGGCGAGCCAAAACTTCGTGCAAGTCAAAGACACAGGGAAACCAATTTGAGATTACACACAAGGTCAGCTCACAGAGAGAAAAGAGGACAGCACCGAGACAACCATGGGATGAGAAAGAAGGCTTTGCCGTCCGAGCTCCAGCGCCGCAAGCCTCACCCAGACGCCCATCCCGACTTTGGGCTCCTCACTACTTTTTCCTTGTTGTTCCAATTATCTCTCTTCACTTGAGCCAGCTAGAGAGGGCTCTTGTTCCTTAGGACTCAAAAACCCTTAATTAGCATATGCACTTGGGCTGGGACAAAACTCCAGGTGCCCCCTTCTCTATGCCTTTGTGCAGGAGCACAGCTAAAGAGCTAAATGAGGAACCAACCAGATTGCTCATCAGTTATAAACATGTAGTTAAATTCATATAAGAGCTGGAACATGTTCATCAGTGCCGTTCATACTTCCTTTTTCCCTGCTAATGGCCAACAGCCATAAAACTCACCTCCGTACTCGGAAGAGTCTGACAGGGATAGATGATAAACGTGGGCTTCCAGATCCTATACCCTCCCAGAACGGGACAGTGAGGATGCCCGCACTATTTCTTAACAGCCAAAAAGAAACAGCACTAATCTAGAGCAACACACGATCCAGAAAAAAAAATGGTAAAATGCACGTTACCTTCTTTTGCTTGTGGCTACTCACCACGAAGATGGAAAAGAAACAAAAAACTTTGACAATACTCCTCAGCTGCTGATTCCGTAGTTGTGTCATCTCCTAGGCAAGATCCTCCCACCCCCACTTAGTTATGGAAGTTAATTGACTTCCATGAAGCAAAGCTCACCTAAGCCATGTCTATCCTAGGCTGCTTGTTGGAATATGGGGTCCATGAATGACCCTAGAATTGACCCAGGGATAGAGGGGCTGTAAGGTAAAACATGTACTCTGTAAGTGTGTGTCAGCGCCCCCTCTGTTTTCAAGTGGTATTACAACTAAACACAAAAAGGACAATGCTACAGCTTTGAAACGAAAGTTAATCAGAACCACCAAACAGATGAAATATGCATGCTCAAAGAGATGCACTCACAAGACGAACATGGAAAAAGCTCCAGCAAACAACACAGTCTGCCACCACAGCTTCATTACAACAGTAGAACAACCTTGTCCTGAGCAGAAATCCCAGCCACCCTCACCAATCTGCTGCGCATACGCTGTTCTTTCAGCTCGGTTACATGAGGCACTGGCTACAAAGAGGGGAGGCAGAGCCAACAAGGATGCACCATGAATGACAGCACTTCCAGAAGGGTGTGGGACATGCTCTTTGTTTTTCAATGACAATATGTCACTGAGTGTTCCAAGAAACTGAGCAACAGAAACAGGGGTTATTTAAATATACTTAATGAAATCTTTCACAGAGATTGTGTCTAAAACACCATGAATGGCATTATCACACGAAGAACAAGTGTTCCTACCCAAACAAGCAAGACCCATACATACAGGATCTAAAAGAGGGTGTCCTGTTTCAGGAGAGTGACCCAAGTAAACAGGCATGAAAATTGAGAGATAAGGTATCCAGGAGCAAAGTCTACGTTGGGCCAGCTTAGTCACTGAGAGCAAAGGGAAGAGCAAAGGCAAGCGAGGGCAGGAGTATGTTGGCTAATATGAAGTCAGAAAACAGAAAATGGGAGAGTTGCATCCAAAAGAGCCTGGCGCAGGATGCAAGGAAAATTCAGCAGTTAGACACGCCACTGTCTTGCCAGGAAATGTGTGCCATACAAAACCTGCCATCCCTGCTGTGAAGAACAGACAAATGGGAGATGTCCCTCGGAAGACCGAATACCCTGCGCCATGATGTCTTCCTTCTCTGGAAAGAGTCTGAATATTTTCAGATACCCCCTCGGGAAAATTCCTCCAGAATCACATTGGGAGCCCAAAATGTTATATCACTGAAGGATCTATACACCCCAAGTGATGTCCACCCACCCTGCACTGTTTATAAGGCACACACAGTGCAGGCTCCCTAGGAGAACCACAGGGGCTCAGTAACACCACTAACTGAAATCGTCAGTCACTGAACAAAGCAACCTCTCGAAAGAGAGAACACATTTCCTGAAAAATAAACCCCAGCAACACTACTTGAAAGTCAGCCACATACGAAGTGTGTTCCCGGGGTGGGCACTGTGGCACCTCTTCACATGACTGTACTCCATCCTAGAGTGTTGATTCAAGTCCCACCTGCTTAGGTTCTGATCCAGCTTCCGCAGGTAGTAGCAGACAGCCCAAGCACTCAGGCACCTGCCACCTATCTGTGAGACCCAGCTGGTGTTTCGACCTTCTGGCTTCAACTTGACCCAGCCCTGACTGGGAGTGAAACAATGGCTGGAAGATTTTTTTCCCTTTCTTCCTCCTGCTCTTGTTCTACCTTTCAAGTTAATTGAATTAAAAAGAAGCATTCACTTATAAATAAATATCCCAAACTAGTAAATGCTCCATAAAAAAAAAAACCTTTTCATTACAAAGCAGCATCAATCAAAATCTGTTCTTCTAAATTGCTGCCATACGATCAAGGCATAAGAGATGACAGAAAGCCTAATGGTTTTACTGAGGTTCAAGCTTTGAAGTCAACTCACCTATGGTTCAAATTCCTACACTCATTATCGAACCTTTCATGTTCTCACCCATAGAAATAAGAATATTAATAGTATACATGGACCTGGGAAGATTAAGTGAGGTCGCAAAACCCCACAAAATACAACTGTATGATGCTAATCAACAGAACAACCCTTTCATACATGTAGCTATTAGCTTCATCACTCCTTTTATATTTGGAAACTATAAAGTCCTATATGCAACATTAGGAGCAGAGATTAATTGGCACCAGGGGTAACCAACATGCGTTGTGAATTTGCAACACCCTCTCAGTGTCCTAAAGAGGAATTCAGTTTAAGAAAAGCAAAGTCAAGGCCAAGAGGCTTACAGTGCACAGAAACATGAGGCTAAACTGATCTGTCTTACACACTTTTCTCCAACTTGTATCTGGCAGGAGCTCCCCTGAAGGTATTCTGCTTGCAACCAAGGCAGGATAAAAAGCTCCCAAAGGGCAGATGGGCAAAGGAACAAAGGAGGGCAACCACTGAATCAAAGCGATGGCCCAACGGATCCTGCACAGCCCACATCTGGGAGAACCAGCCTGCCCCCCTGGACGCAGCAATTCATTTGGAAGCTCACTCTTGCTTACAGGTATCAGAGTCAACTAGACCCATTCTTCTAGACTGGGAAATAACTGAGCAAACTGCTGGAAATCCATTCTGCATGCTAACAAGGTAGCTCAGTAGGGATGGGTAACATCCTGCCCACAGACACAGAGATCCCAGGTTTGAAGCTGTGACTTAAATAAAGATTCTCTCACCTCTCCAGTTTTAAAAAAGGCACCTCCTCTAACAGACTTTTCCCACTTGGTAGCGAAACTGGAACAACAACCCAGACCCAGACCCTACACCAGGGACAGCATTTTGGAAAAGCTAATTAATCCCCTAGATTTCCTTCCCTAATCTGTAAACCATGGATCATCACATTAGCCATTCTCTCTCGCAGTAAGCTGGTGAAATCAACAAGAGCAGCCTTAACGTTTGAAGAGTATGTTTGAGTCTTCTGAGAGTGTTTTCATGAACCTATCACAGCTCCCAAAGGGACAACAATGTTATCCGTTACCATGTTATTTCCCCCTGTCAATTGTCTCTTAGCACAGGTTTGGCCAAGAACCAAGAAACGGAATCACCATTCTAGTTCAGCTCAGAAGCCTAGTGGCTTGTCCATCAAGGCAAGTCAGGCGACCCAGGATGCCTAGTTAATCCTGCTGAGGTAAAGAAGACAATTCTTCAAGAGATGAGTCTTGGAAACGCCCTGCTCTTTGCACCCCCGCTCCCCCCAAAAAAAGATCAATTGCATGGTTGGGAAAGAAGCAGAAGGCAGTCCAGGAGTGTGGCTTTCTACTGAACAGTTCCAGCCACCTGAGCTAGCAGCTCAAAGTCCTGACCTGCAGATCTTGAAGCCCCACCCCACAGAACTTAAAACAGCAACTGTCCACAGCCACAGCAAGTCACCCTCTTCCTTGTCATCTCCTCTTTCTACAAGCATGAACTGAATATTTACAAAGTGTTAGACACTGTTAAAATGGAGGAGACATTAAAGTCAAAGTTCTCCTTCATGGGGGTCAATTAAAACAACACATAAAGACACCCAGCATTGCAACAGAGGGGGTAAAATAAAAGAGTGATGGGTCATCTGGGCAACCAGGGAATGAGGCAGGAGTCCTGCGAGGCAGCAACCACAGACCACCCCGCATGGCGCCATGCCCTGTCAGGGTGCCAAATGGGCATTAGGCACATGCTGGGACTCTCCCAGCTGCAAGAGTGGCCCTAACACCAATCAGTAAAGGGCCAAGGGCAGGAGGAGGGTGTAATTACCCACCAAGCACTAGCACTTGAGGCAGGCAAAACATGCTGTCTTCCAGCTGTTTGTGTATCATTAGAAAAGAAATTAAGATGTCATTAGGAAGAAATTAAATAATGTGCATGTTGTCGTGACAACAAAGGCGCAGGCTGCCAGAGGCTGCTAGAAGCAGAGATTGCCCACACGCAGCCCATTCCTTGAGATCAACTCGGCAGACACCGAGCAAGAGGCTCCACCTTACCGGTATTCTTCCCCTTGTAGAAAATCTTCATGTCCATCAGCCCTGTGAGCTGGCTGGCCAGAATCTCCATCTGGGAGCCGGTGTACTTAGAAGCTCGGAATATGCTGAGCTGTGACCAGTCATCCCAGTAAATCTCATTCTGAAAAAAACAAAAACAAAAAAAACCCACTGTTAGTGTAGTTCTTTAGTCCTTTACTGACACTGTCCTTTAGAACAAGAGTTCCTCCATGCAGGAGACAACTCTCATTTGCCAGCTGAATGGCCGGCCTCGTCAGGACTCCACTTCGATGCAAAAGTTGGTGACTTCATCCCAATCTCGCCAGTTAGCCACAAAGAAGGAGCTGCCTGGAATGAACCAGCTCAGAAGCATCAGAGTCATCCTGACCACAAGCTTCGGTTTGCACACTGCTTGCCAATGCAGGGATGGTTATCTTCATCATGTGGGTCTGTGTTGTCCAGATAGAGCAGAAGGTGGTGCTGAGTTCAACCTCAATCACCATGATACAGTGAAGTGCTGAATCTCACCCGCACAGGAGATGAAGAGAGCGCCTTGAAACGAGGCTGCCAACACTAAAGGGAGAACCTTTGCAATCACAAACAGAGGTGGAAGCCTGTGCCCCTGGTACCTCTGTGTGGCACTCCTCTGCATTGGCAGAGGGAAGGATCTCAAATCTAGAATTTAAGCTAAATTTCTATGAGCTGAACAGCATCTCTGTGAAAACACAAGAGTAACAGGCTCTGGACCCCAGCGTGCTCTTCATCTGCTTGGCAGGCTGACAGGTAAGGATACAGATAGACTCTCACCTTAAACACAGCAATGGCGTAGGGGTGTGGCAGCTTGTCCAGGATGACCGAGCGCTGCTGGCCGCTGAAGGTGATGCGCTCAATGCAGTCCAGATAGGCATCCGTCCAGTAGATCCACTGATCGTCCACCGAAATGCCATTGGGCCACTTCACATCCTCTGACACAAGGCGATAGGCAGCAGAACCATCCATGTTGCTCCGATAAATCCCAGGTTTCAGGTCTCCCCAGTCAGTCCAGAACATAATCCTGATCAAGACAGGGATTGCAACTCGTACCATCAAAGCTAGAGACACTGGACTCAAAGACCCCATGGGGAAGAGAGCCCTCTAGAACAACGAGGCCATCACAACCTTTAACTGCAATGCTTGAAACAACCTAATCCTCTGACCTAGGGATTCCTCAACTGGCATGTATCTACAGATGGACAAAATCAAATTATGCAATGAGAATGTGCAAGAAAATGTACATGTGTATATTAACCCTCACATTGCTGAATAGAGGAAGTGATCATTTCTTGCAAATGTCTTGTGCTAAAATGAGATAAATATTGATACGTCTTTCTCTTTTTAAAAAAACTACAGATTAGTAAACACACTCTGATTCTAACAATCACATACATTTGTGTTTTATGGATAATGCTTATACTGGGGTCTTCAAAAAGTTCACAGAGAAATTTTACCAAATATTATAAAAGTTATGAAAATCCTATGCATGGATTTCAGAATTATTTGCACAAACACAAACACCTTTCCTTCCACTGTCCACGAACTTTTTGATGTCCCCTCAAAATGGGCCAAAACAATTCTGAATGAGACACAAGAAACTATTGACCATCACTTCCACTAGGAAGCATTTGGCATGAAAGCTGAAGAATGTAAACACACGAAACATTTTCATTAACTCCTGTTCTTTTTTCAATACTTCCACCAGGTATGTGTAGTACTTCTAGAATTTTCTTTTCAAAAAACAGTGCTAATTCTCAGCCTTAAATGCTATGAGGGGCAAGGCTAGGAAGCCTAATGCAGAGTTTCCCTCTTTGTTATGTTTCTCTCAGTTAATGAACTAACAGAAATCACCACGTGCATACCTGAGCACTGCCTTGGGGATGCCCTCATAGCAGTCAAACACCCCACAGGTGGAAGACACAGGGATACCCCAAGAGCTTCTGAAGCTTTCTAATGAAGAGTGAAGGGAGTTACCTGACCGTGGTGGCTACACTAGGATTTCCAAAGTCTCCGTTAATACATGATTTCTACTACATATCAGATTGCATCTTGTGAGAATTCTTTGTAGTATTGGACTGGGGTTTCCTTATGCGAGAGAGACACACTTACCCCTCTTGGGGCACAAGGACCAAGGCCCGAGGCCGGTCAAGCATGGTAGAATTGACAACTGTGAGTCGGAAGTCACCATCTGGATTAGCTACCTGGTAAAGAGACAAGCAAAAGGACAGGATGGAGGAAACTCCTTGAAGGTTGTCATGGCCAAGGTCTCCTGCACAACCCTAGCCATAGACAAGCTCCCTCTTACACCTGCTTAATCCCTTGCAAAACCCAGCCAGAAAACTGTTCCCTCCTCTGGCTTAGGTGACAACTATCCTACTGCATGGCAGAGCACACAAAGACATGAGTCCCAAGTCCTAGGTGCAATCAGACCTGCAAAAAGGCTAGTTAAATATTCAATAATCCACATTAGCTTATTTAACTAGCTTTGCCACTCCACGATCATAGCCACCAAAGACTCCATACTATCCACAAATCAAAGTCTCCATATACCAGCCTTGAACTGCTAAGTCTACACAGTGACCCCATCCCTCCCTTGTTTCAAGTGGGCAAGCCATCTCCTAGTTCTGCCTAATGCTCCTGCCACATCCCATGACAGCCCTGCCTTCCCAACTGTCTTCTCAGTCCTGCAGACCACGATTTTGCTGGGGTAGACCCATTTATCTCCCTTTTGTTACCTTTGGTATACACAGTAGTAGTCAGTTGCTGAGAAGCAAAGCCACAGACAGGTGAAGTGAGGGATAGATAATGCTAATGGTAATCATGCCATCACCACCATCACTCTGATGACAGGACTCCTAGACTAACAGTGTTACAGCATTATTCCAATGCTGTGGCATTACCAATATTATTATTCTATGCTTCAGCCATGTATCCTGATGAAATCTCCGACGGACCCAGGAACCCTGTTCCGATATAGGCCCCTCCGTAGCAGCTCATCACATTGACACCATCCCCGTTTTAATCCCTTTTCCAGAGGTTCACTGATCCCAATCTCTGGAAATGTCCTAAATCATCTGACCCTCTGACTCCTACCTCTGTATCTACCTGGCTCAAAACCCAGGTGCTCCACCTGCTCACTTAATCAAGAGCAGCAGGAGAATTCACATACCTCAATCTTTTTCAAGCCTGCATCCACCCAGTAGAGTAACTGGCTGAGGGGTTCAAAAGCCAAAGCTTCTACGGTCTCCAGGTCAGAATTGATGATCACCTCTTGTCCTGTACTCCCATTCAAACAAAGGCGCTAAGGAGAGGACAAGAGCAATAAATGGTGTGAAATATTCAAACAACCTCCTTCCCAGTCAGTGTAGGGGCAGGAACCAACTTTATCCAACTGGTTGGACTAGAAGTGGGACAGGGCATTCTTTAACAGTTAGGCCTCCCAACTCAATCCCCAAATCTATTATGACTTCCTGTTTCAGATAGAACTGATATGCCTTCACAGTATCATTAGAAATACCACTAAACTACGTCCTGCATCACAAGAACGAGGCACAGACACTCATGAGTCTGCGTTTAAAATTAACTCAACTGACTGCTGCTGCTGTTAAGCACTTGTGTCTGCTTTCACCATCCTCCCACTGTTGAGAGACGTTCAGATGTCAGGTGCTACTGTTAAGACAACTACCCCACGCCTGGCCTAAATGCCTAGGCATTGTAAAATGTCTGCTGGGCTGAGAATCTAGACAAAGCAGGTTGGGTTTGCTTATCTGAAGGATGACATTAGACAAGGAATGAAGATAAGTGGTCCTTCTTTAAAATGCATGGGTTTCAGCACACATCTATCGACCTGGCCTGCTCAAGGATCTAAAATGCTGACTTTCTCGTTCTAGTCTGTATTCAGAACAGCTCAAGTAGATAATGGTGTGAGCTATGGTTCAGGCAAGCACTACTGGACCATGATTTGATAAAAGAGATGCTAAATAGGCAGTCGACACGATAGGAAATGACTTAAACTCCTACATAGCTAATCTCTAAATCCTAATTGAGGAAAAGGAGACCTCATTTACTAGCTAAGCAACAACACACAGCTTCCTTTATCCTTCCTATATAGATAAAGTTAACAGGAAAAGAAAGCATGCTTCATCTGGCAGCCCTGAGATGAGTTACCACTCACACACTCTAATCTGTTTCCTTAAGCCTTTCTGCTTAAAGTTCATTAGTACAGGACACTGACAAGGCACAGTCCCCAGGACAGACCAAAAGCTGACTCACCTGGATGATGTCCAAAGCCAGGTCAGACCAGTACAGGCAATTGTGCTCATAGTCAAAGTCCAAGGCCACTGCTGCCCGCAAGCCAGTGAGTGGCAACTGCTCCATGGTTCCTGAGGCCAGGTCGTAGCGGTGGATGGACTTTCTCATGGCATACAGGATGAATTCGTTCTCTTCTGCCAGACACACAACATACCCAACAGATCAGACCCAGGAGATGCAGCTGAGGTCACAACACATCTGGCCTACTCTTTTCTCACAGGTAAACTCTTTAGACCCATGGAGGGGTGGTAGGCCTGAGAGGCAGAGTAAATCATGTCAAAAAGCAAGGAATCAAAGACTCAAAAGGTGTGCAGTGGAGTCACATTCCAGCTTTCTGCACATGTCTTAACTCCAGCGGATTTATCTTTTCACCTGTAAGTACTCTACCTGCTGTGTTTTTTAAATCTGCAGAATGCACACTTCAGGAGATACACTGCTGAGCTCAGCTGAAAGGTGTCAAGTCACACTTTCCCAGCACAATGATTCCAGTCACCTAATTCTCCCTCATTATGATGGCATCATCCAACAGAGACCATCAGTGGCTGGAAGACTTGTAACTAAGTTTTCTTCCTGATTGACTCACTCACTCATGTTCTTCACCGTGGCAGATGGCAATCATTCCAACCTATTAAGATTCTTCAACTGGTAATACTACATCTCATCCAAATCATACACAAAATGTTTCACAACATCATTATCCCAACGACTCCTCGCACCTAGCAGATTCTTGTACAATGACTTAGTGTGAGGAAAGGCCTTGCTCAACCCTCTTAACAGCTGTGCAAAGCACGAATTATAATAACTATAATAACTCCCACTTGACAAATGCAAACACTGATACCAGGGAGGTTAAGTAACTCACTCCAGGTCATGAGGCCAGTGAGTGGTAGAACTGAGATCTGAACCCCAAGGCTATGCTTCAGTCACTGCACCATTCTGCCTCTCAGGATTAGACACCAATGTTATCATCTTTCAGGATTTAGAAACCTTGGCCCAGAGCACCTAACATCAGACAATCAGTACACTACAGGAAGCCCAGTGCTCTCCCTTGTCAAGTGAGGACACAGCTCCATCCACAGGCAGATCCTTCCACAGTGGAGGAGATGAGCAATGCTTTGGCATCTTTATCTGGTGCATCCACTCTAGCGTGCAGAGCTGCCTGGGGGTGGCTACCTGCAAGGGCATGGGAGTTCCACACTGCCCCATGCCCTGTGCATGTCATCATCAGAAGCCACATATATCCCTACCTACGTAACATCTTGTACAATAAGTTGGTAAACAAGCACCAACCCAGAGAAGCCTGGAGAGAACAAACAACACAGGTAAAACTCAGAGAAACTGTGGCCACATCAAGGAGGAGAAGGCTTTAGAGAAAGAAGCATTAGAAGAAGCTGGGCCCAGGCATGTCTCAGGGCACAATTCTGACTTTACCCAACTGCTACTTGTTGAGTCTGTGATCCTAACCAAATATTTGTTATTGCGTCATCTCCTTTGAGGGTTCACAGAAAAGTTATTTTTAAAAAATGCTCTTAAAGAAGAGCATCTATTTTTGACAGGATGTTGCATATGAGACCAAGATGCAAATGTGTATGCCTGGTTAGATGCCCAGGCTGCCTTATCATTCATTCCTTGAGAACATGCACTTAGGTACCTTCTGTATGAAAGTTTTTGTATAAATAATGCATCAAATGGTAAATGGAAGGGTAGGCATTTAGACATCATGTCTTGTATCAGAGTAAGCAGACTGCACAGCTAGCTTTGCTCATGACTGGAGGCAGTGGTGATAATTCAAGCATTTAGATGCCCAGACCATTCACACAGCAGATCTGGCCTGACTCCTGCTTCCCAGAGTCAGCATGGCTCAGTCCCAGCCATTGTAGGCATCTGGCAGATGAACCAGCAGGTGGGAGCTCTCTGTCTATCTCACTCTGTTTCTCTGACTCTCTCCCTAATCCATAACTCTACAGAAGTAAATACACCTAAAAGTTTTAAAACAGCAAAAAAAAAAAAAAAGTTAATGTGGCAAACAATTTAATACAGTAAAAGTTTGCCTTCTTTTTTCTTTAGTCTCATTTAACTTCAAAAATATACACATGATAACCAATTTTTCCTTTCTGTTTTCCAGAAAACCTTCCCACTGCAATTCTCAGGGAGGGAGGAGGTAGTCAAGAGGCAAAGGCTCCTGTAAGCTACGTTGCCAGAAGCAAGTCCTAGCCCCACATCTTTTTCCAGCACCTAGCAGGCTCATCCCAGTACTCACTTGTTCCTTCAAAGAAATGAGCACCCTACCACAGAGCCTACGCCAAGAAATACTTGGTTTAGGGTTAGGCACAGAGGAGCAAGTGTTTCAGGGCATACCTGGAAAAAGCACAGAACTCTTGGCTAACCCTGGCCAGACACTTCACAGCCTGGACATGTGTGTTTTTACAGTAATTGTAAAAGAAGAAAAATGACTGCATTTGTAAAGTCCTTCCAGATGCCGAGATGACCTCATCTCTACACAGATGTTATGGTTCCCATTAGCCCTGGGGAACCGTCTTTTCCTTTCTCTGTAAATTTCACCTACTATCCTGTGCCCTTTTTCCTTCTTTCACTTTCAGGAGGTGGCCTATATTGAAATGAGATTTCTCCACTTCATTGTCTGCTCAGTCTTTTCCTGTCAGTTTCCCATTCCTGCCAGTATACAAGGCTTTCAAATACAACCTGTTTTGTCCCTTGCTCATTACTTTACAAACATTAACTGCCAAAGTAGGCACTCCAGCCCTTTCAGGGCTATCGCACCAATCCCCAAACCAAACCCTTGTCAGTAAAAGTTCTTGTGAGAAGGAAATTTGGATATTATCTGCTCATTTGATGGAATCTGCGGGATTGGTGTTTTCTCTGCGAGACTCCACAGTGAGGTATGTTAATTACTGTGGTAATGATGGAAGATTAAATTAAGGGACTAACAAGCTTAGCGTGAGAAATGCCAAGGCAAGCAGGCAAGCCGTGAGCCCTGTCTGCAGAAGACAGCACACTTCCCCCAAGACTCGCAGAGTGCTGGGGCCGGTCCAGGACATGGCAGCAACAGCAGCACTGCTGTGGCAGGCAGCATCAAGTTCTTGCCTCCGTGGAGAGACATGGGATCTGTGAGCAGGAGGAAGAGCTCAGAGCAAATAAAGAAGGGCCCTCAGTGAATAAACTGAACAGTCAGAGCGGAGGTTAACACAAGCTCTACGGCAGGTAATAGAACCACAACATTATAAATACCAGAACACTTCGCAGCATCACTAAATCAACTTAAAACATGCCTGGAACAGGCTACATCTTTACAGCAGGTGTCATCACTCCATAGACATTTTTCTTCATGGGTAGGCATCCTGCTAACCTGAAACAATGAGAATGACTCTTTCATGTGAAGTCCAGTGACAAGCATGGGGCTCAGAGCCTAAATGTTAACTTTGTCATTTACTGGATCGGTGCCTCCTTAAGTAAATCCTTTACCTCTGTCCTGGAAAGCAACAGAAGACCCAGCTGAAGCCCTTGGCTCCTGACTTCAGCTTGATGCAGCCCCAGCTGCTGCAGCCACTTAGGGAATGAGCAGCAGACAGGTCTCTGTCTCTCCTCTCTTTGTAACTCTGCCTTTCAAATAAGCAAATCAATCATTAAAAAGTTGGAACCGATACTATCTGATTTATTGGGCTGATGAAAGGACTGCACTGGCAACACACAAGAACGTACATTAAAATCTGTAAAATTCCATTAAAACATAATTGTGACAAAACTGAAACAGACCACTTAGCTCCTTGCTGCCTCATAAGTGTTTTGATACTCAACTCTGATGAACAGATCAAGGAACATACACAGGACTGCAAACATCCCGCAGTGCCCCACAGCTAACAGCAACATATTTTCTGGGGAAATAATTCTCAATGAACAAAGGGAATGCCCTCAAAAAAAAAAAAAAACCTGAACCAATGCAAAATATTTTCCATTCCTATAAACAGAAAAGGCTATGCAAAAATCCAGTTTGGATACTGAGGCTAGGGAAAAGGGACCTCTGCAACGTCTCGGTGAGTTTTCTCTGCTAGGTTGGAAGAGCCAGGAGCCTGCAGCTGCGCTTCAACGTGAGCCAGAGGTCAAACGGGAGCACCGCCTCTCTTACCTGCCAGAGGACAGGGCACCAGTTCTCCTTCCAGTCGCGCCTCAACATCTCCTCCACTACAGGTGTCTCCAGAAATCTTCCGGTAGCTGTCACCCACCAAAGCAAGAGAGCAGAAACAACAGAGAAGAATCATGAAGGCACCCCAACCTGGAATCTATTTCCTGTACCCAGAAAACAGATTCCGTCTATTCATCTCCCAACAGATCTAGATGTAGGCCTGTTAGTCTTCCTGAGCCATTTTCACTATCATTCAGATCAAAGCAAGCCATCCAGTGCACAATCCTAGGCAAGATTTTTAAATACATTTCTTCCATAAATGCCTCTGCAGATGTTTCCTTCTGGAATTTATGAGTGGAGATGGTCCCAGAGTTGCAGAGAAGTTCACAGACTTAACACTTTTTTGATCACTGAATGTAGAAAAGTTTAAACGTTGCCCAGACTATGTGCAACCTGCTAACATGTAATTCTAGAACATGGTTTAGCAAGGCTTCCCAATAGCTCTCTGCTCTATCTAGAAGCATATTCCTGTGAGCCTGACATAGCAGCATCCCTGACACTCACCCTCTGGTTCGCCTGTAAGTAGAGCCCACGGGACACGGCACGGGAGGGGAGAATGACTGCCCAGAAAATCCCGGATCTGGAACACACACTTCTAACGACAAGTCTTCACTCATTCGGAAGCCAAAATCACTGAAAAGATAATTGGGCATTGTTAAGGTCATTGGTTCACACATTCCAGGCACTTCCACAGTAACTCTCGACTTTTACCATACTTTCTATCTCCTGTACTATGTTTACTTAACGCAGCCCTATAAAAGAACACTTATTTTTTTGCATTAAAATACACCTTCAACAGCGGCTTTCCATCAGCACTGCGACTGGAAAACCCTTATGATATTCCAAAAATATGCAAAATGCTGCAAATCATCATGTAGAAACCAAATAGTATTTTTAAAGATTTCTTTCTTTACTGAGTAGGCAGAATTACAGAGAAAGAGGGTCAAACAGAAAGATCTCCTATCTGCTGATTCATTCCTCCAGTGATAAGGGCTGATCAGGCCAAAGCCAGGAGCTGGGCCTTTCATCTGAATCCACACACAGTGCAGAGCTCAAGCACTTGGGCCATCTTCCTCTGGTTTTCCTAGGCCATTACCAGGGAGTTGGATTGGAAGTGGAGTAGACAGGAGACAAGCTGGCGGTCATGGAGGATGCTGGTATCACAGGCAATGGCTTTCCCTGCTATGCCACAACACTGTCCCCTCCTTCAAAAAATATTATTAAATATTAGTTATGTCCAATTCTAAGACTTTGGGCCTGCCTTCTCTTTGCAAAAAGAGATTAACAAATATGAAAGAATTACAAGCACCCAGTGACACCCCTTGCTGTTTCAGAACAATTAAGGGAGAAATTTAAAAGTATATTATTGTTTAAAATATTGTTTAAAATATTAAAGTATTCTGAATAAGGATTCAACATTGTGAAGACTGTTGACATATCATCTAAATCGGCTTGAGTGTCCCATCCTACAGCAATGTTCACTCAAGACTGCCTGTGAGCTGGGAGTCACCTCTGCCAAATCTCCCCACTCGTTGGGCAGCAGCTCAGAGTGGGCTACAGGAAGCCTCTGTGGAATCTTCTCAGCTCTGCTCTCAACTACATGATTTCTCTGAGTTCACCTGGCAGCTAGGACCGACACTTGGTGCAGTGGTACAACACCACGGAGGATGCCTGCACTCTGTGTCGGAGTGCCTGGGTTGCAGTTCCAGCTCCACTGCCCATTCCAGCTTCATGCTAAGGCACAACCAGAAAAGCAGCAGATGATGACAATGCCACCCACAAGGGAACACCAAATCAACTCTCTGCCTGGCTTCATCCTGGGAAATCCCTGACTACATTACATGTATTTGGGGAGTAAACCAGTGGATGGGAGGACACGCTCTCTCCCATTCAAATGAAAGAAATAAACACTTTAAAAACAATAAAATGCAGCTGTGTTATACACATCTCAAGACCCTATTCAAGCTTCAAATTCTATAATCCAAAGGGAGCTCAAGTGCTCTATCAGAGGAGCTTAGTTTACTCTAGTTAATTCGACAAAACACATATTAAATATTTCCTAAATAAAGTAATACAGACACAGGGCAAAGTAGTCTGTGTGTTTCACATCACAATCTACATTTTGCAATATATAGAGCACTGTTCAAAATACACTAATTTTATTGCTGCATCAAACTGCTCCCATTCACAAAATCAGTTCATGTTTGCCAAATGGCTGCTTTCATCTTTTTAGGGACTGGGCAGGGCATTGGCTAATCCCTCCTACACCTGAAACCACAAGGTACCCTTCTCAGACAGCTTTCTGCAGAGAGAGGTCATGGCCTGGAAGACTGAGAAACTCCAAGACCAGCTTCCTTCCCTCCCCAAAAGACATGGAGATTGCACAATGTATCCCACATGTCAAAGGAAATGCTGGCCCATAAAACCTTCAATTACACATCTCAGCATATACACTGTGTGTATACTCTCAGGGGTAGAATATAAAATACCCTGCTTATTAGGAGCCACAGTCAAGATTTTGAAAGTCCCATACCTTAGCAACACTGGGAAGCACAAATATGTAAAATTAAAAATGTTCCTGTGACCTGGGACTACCTGGGCCAGCAACTAGGTATCCTGGTGAAATCTGAAAGACTATTGAAACCACCTGATTTTCAAGTCAGCCATCAATTAGTAGAAGCTGAACCACAGGCAGACACTACAAACTCGGTTTCATCTTCATTTGAACTCCTGTCATCCATGCTGGGGCCATTTCCCTTCTCACTGTTATAGTTCAAGACCAAAGGACATTTTCAAGAGCCACAGCCTGGCTTTTTTTCAGTGGCCACAGGTTGTGTAGAGATAGCCCGAGGTCCACATCCTGTTATCACTTTCCTGGAACAATCATCCTACCATCTTATATAGCCTGCAGTATAATTTTTTTTTTCCTAATCTGTTCTATCCCTGGTTGGTTGCATTTAAGAAGGCAAAATCTGCGGGTGGAAGTCACCCATACAGATTGCATTAGACAAAGGGAGAGAAAGGAAACAAAAGCCTTTTTAGTGACTGATACCTCCACAGTGTCCATCTGTCCAGGGAGGACCACACAAGGCCAAGACTCCCCAGATGACCATGACAGCTCAGGAGACCAGAGCAAGGCAAAGAGCACTGGGCTAACCCCGCCACTCAGATACTTTTGCCATGACCTTGGAAGAGGAGACTAGCCTCTCTCGTCTAAGCTTTGGTATTCACAGCGCAGGCTGCAGAGCAATAGCACCCACGTGAAGGTTAGAAGAACGCCAGAACCCCCAGGGCAGAAGACCCAGGGACTGGTGCTCTGATGCACCTGCAATGCTGCCACCTGCAGTGCTGCTACCTGCTTCCTCTACTTCCCTGGAAGCTGGCCTGGGCACAGCAGAGTAGTTACAAGAGAGCACACAAGCCATAGAGGCAACGAGGTCTAAGACTCTGAATCCCTGTACAACCTTCTCATCTAGAACACATGAGAAGTTTCTGATTTAACCCAGGTAAGCATGGCTGCTGGAAGCAAACTGTAGATCTTTTGTGTCTCAGCACCGGCTCAAACTGAGCTCTGCCCCAGACCAACCTAGAACTACTGCCTGCTGGGTTAACAACTTTAAGAACTGTCAGAAACCCTGGTATGCGGTAACCACCTTCTCGCAGGAGAGCTCTCTTCTGACCATCAGCCCTTCTCAAAAGCTCTCCAAGGCCGCTCTTCCTTATAGAATAAGGTACACACATTCTTGGGTTCCTACTCCCAGTCAGCCTCCTCTCCACTCAGAACCGTATCTCACATACCCAGCAAAGCATCTAAACTAACCCAGCAACACTTTCCGGTCTCCATGTCGGCACACTGTTGGCTCAGGGTCACAGGGCACTCCCGCTGCACACTCACAGGCTGCCTTAAAGCAAACCTCAAACACTGCTTCTTCCAGAAACTTCCTGATCCCCAAACAGTAAACCACAGCCCCGCTCTTCCTTTCATTAATCAGAGTGCCCCTTCCAAGCACCTGCTGCTTTCTATCTCCTGTCAAAATTATTTCCTCCCATGCCACTTTTTCTACTTTCAGCATTCTCAGCAGGACCCTGGCTGCTTTGCTCAAGGAATAATGAATGATGCCAAAAATACACATACTAGCAAGCCCTTGTTTCAGACAAAGGTATAAATCCCCTTAGAAAAGGGATCAAAAGAAAAAGGAGTTAACCAGAACAGAAAATTCTGGAACTTCCATTCCTGAGCTGCTCTCCTAGACAGAAATGCTAGGGCTATTTATTGCTGAACAAACGGCTGCAGCTGCCCTGTGTGGTCACACCTCTACCACATTGCATGGCTGTACCAAGTAGGATAACCAGGGAGAAAACTGCCCAGCATTCCTGGCACATAAAAGATACTCAGTCATTGTTTGTTCCTTTCTGTTCTTGTCCTTAGCAGAAGGGTCCACGCCTTTGTCTTTTCCCCTTAAACTGCTAAATGAATAAAACACTTGGTGATGGTTCAACTACCGTAGAAGAACTCACCATTCATAGTCCTCCCGAGTGCAGGAGCAGTTGGACACGACTACCGGCCTGTCGAAGTCCTCTCCATTGAAGCACATGGCATGCGGGGTCCTCCTTTTGAAAACGGTCTTGTGTCCAAGCAAACATTCATTCCCCCGCTCATCCGACGGAGACCACAGCTTGTAGTCATTCTCTGTGCAGGGAACGCCTGGGGACAAGAAACCCAGTGCAGAGCATGAGAGGCAGGCCCCGACAGTATTTCCTGTCTCGCCATTTCCAGTCTATCTTGTTGACCTCACAAGCTGTTCCAAGCCCCCAGCTGACCGGTTATGAAGCTGGGCTGCCTCCACGCAAATAATTACCACCTGAAACCCAGATATCCATCCGAGAAAGCTGGGAAAGGGCGAGTCATCATTCAGCACCACGCGAGTTTCTGAATTAGTTTAGGACAGTCAGTAGTTCCCTTTAGAAACAGGCACCCAGAGGTATTTCTTTCCTCAGGCATTAGGAAAAGGTCGAGTCCTTTGACAGAGGTATCAGTCCCTGCCTGTTTCCTCAGGTGGTGTGGACACTGGGCAGTATGGCCCCCAAAGTAGTAGACAATCCACCTGCCCCACTTGAAGTTACAGGATTTTCATGAAAAGAAGGTGAGAGATGGCAAAACAACATGCATGGTCAGCCAACTTAGAAGTATAAGTAGTGTGTTAGCTACTTTCAGTGCAAAGTATGTCTGTTTATGTAGATCTTCTCTATTGGAAGGCTGCCAGGCTATCTAGCAGGTAGCATAAAAATATGCATAGGTTCATGCTTTTAAGGGTACACACAGAGAGTACAGATATTATCGTTCAAATTTGTCATTAAAGGTGTGACAGGCATGCTTATTTCTGGGTACACAGAGGAGGGGGGATAATAGTGCAAACATACTGCATCCTGAAACCTGAGAGGGATTTCAACCAGTGGAGACTGACAGGTGGAGAAGAGAAGGCACAGGAGTGTTCCAGACAGCTGGGATGATGCAGCCAAGGCAGAGGGCTGGGAATGGGCAGGTTAATGTGGGAAGGTAGGGAGAAGATGCCAGAAGTTCTCAGTCTCCCTGCCTCCTTGTATGTCCTGTGTCTAGCAGGTCGTGGAGAGAGTGTAGATTGCGAGATTGTAGATGGGACTGAGAGAATCCAGTGTCATGATGTACCCTGTCTTGCAGACAGTAAGGCACATTCACTGACCCCTGGAATTACTGATTTAGGAAAGTGTTTTTCATTCGTTCAAACACCCACTTTTTCAGTGGAGATAGAAGTTAAAACTACTATGTGCAGAGAACGCACAAGAAAATGAAGACTTACAGAATAAACACTGTCCTATTCAGAGAAGGCAGTCCATCTTAGTTCACTCCTGTGGGTTTCTCACTAACTTATAGGTGACCATCTCCTTCAATGGATCATGAATCATCCAAGTACCCAATATCTAAGCTGGGGCTCTGCCCACAAGAAGTCAATAAATATCCATGAGAAAGGGGCCAGGAGACAGCAGCTCACCCAAGGCGTCGGTGGCATTGACCTGGAGGATCAGCCAGCTGTGGACATTCTCTTTGTTGGAGCCGAAGATGGTGAAGACGGTGCTCTTCTCCCCGGGTTCCGTGAGGAGCCCGTACACAAACACTGGCTTCTCGGAGAAGGTGAATGCTTTCCAGGTCTCTCCTTCGTTGGTGCTGTACCTGCCCCAAGGCAAGCAAGGCATCCTTGAAATGAGAGGCTCCAAGACAAGGGTTTGAGAGCACAGTCACAGTAACAGCAACCAGGACTGCCTAGAAACACGGCCGATCTGAGACTGCCAGGAAGGAAGGACATCCCAGAATACAGTCATTTCAGAACGACACAGGAACCAGCCTGGTGGGACAGCTATCCACACTTAGAAAAATTTTATCACAAAAGAGAAAAATGATGGTAACAAATGTACCACTGATGGAAACAGGGCATGGGTTTCTGATGATAAGAGAACTGAAAAAGGGAAGGTTTTTTTCCTTATATTAATTAATATACAATACCACCTAATAAGGATTGAAAACAATAAAGGAGTGATAAAATTTGCCATTCTGTAATCCTCCAAAGTAATGACCAAATTCACCAGACGGCTAAAGCTACTTGAGAGACCAGAAAGTCCACAGAGCCTAAAGTCACTGTCCTATTCTCTACACAGGAGGTAGATGTAATTTTTTTAGTGGAAAACCTGACAGTTTTGTAACGTTAATCAAACTTGGTAACATCAGTCTCAGAGCAACCAAACATGATGTGTCTCCTTAACAAAGCATATAAGAGTGTACCACTTAGGGACTACTCCACAAGGCAAGGCATTTCCTATGATCACTGCCCTGCATTCTTCAAAGGCACCAAGGGCATGAAAATCAAAGAAACACAACCGACAGAAGGTTGTTTAATCGAGGAAGGTAAAGTATAAGCACATTTGTAATATGTAAATTCTACACAGGATTCTTCAGGATTAACAGAATTCTGAAATAAGAAAGGAAAGGAGCCAGATGCTAATATAGCAAAAGTGATAAAACAATTTATCAATAATCCTGAGTTCATGTGGATTTTCCAACATTATAATTATGACTTACTTATTAGAGATGGATGTTTAAATAGTAAGTTGTGAAGGGGTATGACATATGCAACTTTACTTTCCAAATACTAAAACAGTAGATGGATGGATAGAAACATAAGACAGATGATACAATCAAGGGAAGACGGAAAACTCCTAACAACTGGTTACTCTAGATGAAGATTATACATATACGCATCCTACCTTTAGTGATCTCAAAATTTAAAAAGTAAAACGATAGAACAGAACTGTTCTGAGAAACTTGTGAAAGCAAGGAAGCAAGTGCTTGTAAAAATAATCAGCACTTAAGTAACTTAACTAATTTTAAATTACCTCATGTATGGCAGACAAGGAAGAGGAAGAAGAGGAGGAAGAAGAAGAAATGGGGGAGGGCACAAAGGGAGAAAATAACATCTGTGTGATACCTGGCTTCCTCACCCAGCTGGCAAGGGGCTCAACATGGGAAATTACTTAGAACTTTCTTTAGAATAACAGGACCCTTGGGCCTCTCGCTAATTATGTACAAAACCATTTTCCCCACCTTTCTTAAGTTTACACAATTTTGTTTCTATTCTCTCTGGATTCTAATATTCAGAGAAAGTTTTTTGTAACATCATTCAATCCGAATACTTGTTCACTTATGGAGACTATTAAAACGGACACCTCTACAAGAAAGCTAGGAGTTAGAGTGAGCTGTGGAACTGTGCAGCAGTGAAGTAAATACCGCTGGGAGGCTAAGTCACCCCTTCTGCCACAAGTTCCCATCTGGCTGATAAGCTGTTGACTTGCACCAAGTTTGAAGCAGATATTTGGATAAGTGAAGTCATTCATTCTCCTGCTTGTACCAATGTGATGAGGCAAAAACTTAGTAACACTTTTAATGCAAACTGAATTTGCAGTGTTGGCTTATTAACCAGACATGATGGCAGGGATCTGCCTGCTCTGTGATAAAGCTAGAAGTCCATTTATTTGTACATTGCCAAGTTAATTCCTTTAAGAGTTCCGCAAACCCAAGATAACCTCAGGAAATGAATCACCTAAATTCTCAAGAGGTTCCTGGAGGATTCTGAAAATAACTTATTAATGAGGCTAACCAGCAGGTGCACATCCACATACAGCCTTGTATCTGAAGACAAAGTCCTCATTAGAAAACAGTGCTTTTTCAGAATTTTAAGGCAAAGGACGGGCACATTACCAACTGCAGCAGCTAAGAGAACATCTATTTTCAATTGAATTCTGAAACCTAAAGAAGAAACTGTGATGGTGAAGTGAAAGTGACAAAAATGTTTCAAGAAAACAAATCATTTCTTCTTTCTGTTCATAAACCTTGGAAGAGAATGAAGGACTTCAGCTTTGAAGAACAGAGAACTCAAGCCATTTGCATAAAATTATAGACATAATCTCACAGGCAAAAATTCTCCAGAGAATGCAAGGCCACATAATAATACTCATAGCATCATAATATAACCACAGATGCTGTAAGATGGGGCAATAGTGGGGATACCCAACTCATGGCACTACCAGGAGGCTGCACAGGAAGGTTCTTGTATACTCACAATTTTAAAGAATACATTCAAGATGAAAGTCATATGACCAAGAGCTAAAGATATTACAAAGCAGCAGTCATCTGTCATTCGCTAACTCTAGTTGTAATTCATCTAGGTGGGCAAAGTAGCCAGGTGATACAGTTGAAAATGAATCAAAACCTGTGTTTCAAGTTACCCAAACAACTGGTAAATTTATGTGAGGATGGGTTGGTTTCCTAGTAAGAATTCAGAAAAATTAAAAAATGGGATCACTATTCTGAGAGCCAACAAAACCAATAACAACATACATTATCAACGGAAAAACACACACACAAGAAAGTTAAATGGAAACTATCACAAAAATAAATTGAAGGGAAGCAGAAGATTTAAAGACAAAATGATTGCAAAGTCCTTTTAATGAGCTCTAGAAAAATTACGGAAAAGTTATCTTAAAGAACAGAAGAAAAGCCAACATCGTGCAACAGTATGCTAAGCCACCACTTGAGACACCTGCACCCAGATCAGAGTGCTGGCTACTCTGCACTTTCATTTCAGCTTCCTGCTAATGTGCCAGGGAGGTAACAGATGATGGTTCAAGGACTTGGGCTCCTACCACTCTTCTAACACTCCTAGCCAGAGATGTGGGTTCCTGCTTCCAGCCTGGCCTAGGACAGGCTACTGTGGGAATTTGGGAAACAGATGGAAGAGTCTCTCTCTCTCTCTCTCTCTCTCTCTCTCTCTCTCTCTCGCTCAGCCTTTCAAACATACAACTCTGTTCTACCAAAAAAAAAAAAAAAGAAGAAAAGGAAAAATATTTCTTTCTCCCTAAAGAAGAAAAGGTGATTTTCCAGCGCAAGGAGCACCTTGGCACAAAAAAAAAAAAAAAACCAGCCAGGGATAGGGTGCCTCTTGGAAGGTTTTAACAGACCAATTCTATTCCCTTTGCTCTTAGAAATTCTTGAAGAACAGGATGATGACATAGAACATTCTTTCTTCATGAAGATCTCAGATCACACGGCCAGATAAAATTCACTGCTCACACAACAAACCCCTAGAGTACTGACGGTGTGACTTCGGCTCACAGCAAGCCTCTGTCCCACAGTGCTCAGCGTGTCTGTTAGTGACCTGGGAAACAATCTGGAAGGTGAGTATACCAACTCTGTGCAGGGCATGCGGCAAGTCGGATAGATAATGGGGGTCAAAAACAGGATTCAGAATGCTTTCCTACAACAAAAGAACCTGCAAACAGAAAACTGAAAATCAAGATCCACAGGAAGTTAATAAAAATCTTACCTGCTCAGGTTTTTTTAAGATGGACCACAGCGGATCTTTATTAAGATCCATCAGAGAAATGGATATCTTAATTTCTTTTAAGTTGAACTCAGCCTAGTAATACACAATGCAAGATGGATAAATTTCAAAATATTTTATGTTGAGCAAAAGAAGTCAATTACAACATAAACACACAGAATTCTGGAAGAGGCAGAATTAGCCTTTAGTGATAAAAACGAAAGCAGAACAGCAGTTGCCTCTGACTGGATGGGAGTAGGGAGAATTGCCAGGGCAGGCACAGGTAGGTAGTTTCTGCTGTAAAGCAAAGCATCTACCCATCTTACACACATTCTTTAGAGCTGCCTATATAATGTGTATAAGATGTAAGCCTGATATCAATGATCCCTCAATCAGAATAAACCTTCATAGGAGGGGGACCAGCACTGTGGCACAATAGATTTGAGTCCTGGTTGCTCTGCTTCTGATGCAGCTCCCTGCTGATGAACCTAGAAAAGCAGCAGAAAATGGCTTAGATACTCAGGCCCCCTGCACCCATGTGGGAAGCTCAGAGGAAGTTCCTGGCTCTGGGCTTCAGACAATTCTAGTTCCATGCAGTTGCTTGGTGAGTGAACCGGTGAATGGATGTGTGCTTTCTCGCACACACACACACACACACACACACACACACACACACACACACTCTCTCTCTCTCTCTTTCCCTCCCTCTTCCTCTCTCTTTTCTTTCTCTGTAACTCTGCCTTTCAAATAAACAAATGAATACATATTTTTTAATTTAGCTAGTTTTATTTTTATTGGAAAGGCAGGTATACAGAGAGGGGAAGAGACAGAGAGGAAGATCCTCTGTCCAAAGATTCACTTCCTAAGCAGCCACAACGGCTGGAGCTGAGCCAATACAAAGCCAGGAGCCAGGAACTTCTTCCAGGTCTCCCACGTGGGTGCAGGGTCCTAAGGATTTGGGCTGTCCTTGACTGCTTTCCCAGGCCACAAGTAGGGAGCTGGACAGGAAGTGGGGTTGCCAGGATTAGAACCGGCACACATATGGGATCCTGGCATGTTCAAGGAGAGAACTTTAGCCATTATGCTATTGTGCCAGGTCCTAAATATTTTTTAAAGAAGAAAAAAAAAAACTTCATAGGAACGTTCCCTGTGCAATGGTTAGTAAAAATGATCAGTGCAGACTTGGGTTTTTAATTGCATGTCCAGATCCTGCAGATGCTCATTCCCACGCCCTCTGCCTGTCTCAAGCTATCAGAAGCGGATCCAGACCCACACATTAAGGTAGCCATGGTGGTGCAGGGATGGAGCTGCAACCCAGAAGGTAGGGTTCATGAATGTTATGGTGCATGAGAAAAGAAACTGGGAAGGTTTTGCGAAATAGCAGAGGTTAAGAGAACAAGGACAGGTACCTCAAATACTTGGAAACCTTTCTGTAGTGCCTATGTGTTCAGGGACCAGAACCATCCCTACCACACAGAAGTCAGAGTACAGAAATCTGGCCCCATTTTACCCAAGAATGGGCGTTCATAAATGAGTGAACCAATGAACAACATCATGCTTCAAAGTGAAACACAAGCACCTCTGGGGCCTGGCAAATCTCCCATGAAACAGAGCAGAGACTAGATGATTCTCTATCACAAAGGTCATATAGACATTCCTTGCACAGACCCATGGAAGGTGGAACTGGAGGACACAACGCATCTAGATGACTGCCGGATGTGCAGCAGTTCAACTTGCTCAAGTCTGCGTTCATCTCGGGGGTCTGCAAGTCTAATCCTCTCCCTCTGCTTTCCTAGCACTGCCAGGCTCACACCACCATCCTAGTCAGAGGGCATGACCTGTAAAGCATTCCATTAATGGTAGAGATTCCACACAGACTCATGCTGCCACATTCTAACTCTGGAGTGGCATTCCGACCTTGATTTAAGTCTCAGCCCCAATTTCACTGCATCCCAGAGGCCTTCCCATGGTCCAAGCTGGCCTTCAGTCTGACTCCCACTACACCTCAGGCTCACCTCTGCCTCACATCCTACTATACTGCTATGACCCAATTTTGTGTTTTCTATTAGCCAGCCATTCGTAATAGACAAAACCTCTTAACCACTTTTGTGTCCCTGGCATCTTTCCTGGCTTGCAAAAGGCGCATTAATCAGTGCTTGTAGGAGGCCATGAAATAAGCAGTACAGGGTTTTCCACTTTTTTGTGTGCGTTAACTCTGCCTCTCAGCTTTTTAACAATGGAAGGGTGGTAAGAACACCTGTTCCTCTACATCTTTAGAGACAGACGACACCACACAGAGGCCGCACTGTCTGTGTCAGCCACCAGCACAGACACCAGGAGCTAGCTCCCACAAACCTTAGCGCTGCCATCAGGTGAAGAGGTTAACTGCCATCTGCAACTGTGTGGCTTCTTCCAAAATGCATGTCCAGAGGAGACAGCTGCTCCGATGCAGGCATTCTTTGTAAGAGTTTTTGGGTTTTTTTTTTTGTTTTTGATTTTTGTTTTTGTTTCTGTTTTTGTTTTTTCAATCTTCCCAGAGAAAACCTTAGTGAAATTGAAAATGAAAAAACTCTCCTAACAAGTTCGATGCCTTGGGACAAGCCCAAAATATCATCAGGATCCACCAAAAGTATCATCCTGCTGACAAAGTGGTGAGAACAACAAACAGGGATCAACAAAACACAACAGCCCTTTCTCTGAAGAACCCTGATGACAGCCTCACCCCCTGAGCAGGCAGGCTTCGCAGCAGGGGCTGGATGCGTGTTTCTGTGAACCCCCCAATCAGGCTCTGATTTACTCATTTCAGACGTGTTGCCACAACAGCCAAACAAAGCATTCCAGCCCTTGCTCTCAGTTTCAATTAACAGTAACAAAGGTACCAGTCTCAGAAGAGAATCAAGGCAGAAGCTGAAACAAATAACAGTCAGCTCTTAGTTATCTGTGCTAATCAGTGACAGAAGAGACATGAATAATTCAAAAAATACACCAGCATGGAAAACAAAAGGCTTAGCTCCCTAACGAATGTAACAACTTTTGTCTCCAACACTTCTCACTGTAGAGGGGAAAGATTCCCCTCAGTTGGGCTCTCCTTTATAGAGACCGGGAAGAATCAAATCAAAATAAACTCCTCCTCTCAGTCTGCCCTGGCTCATTAATGTCACAGAACTTGCATGTGGGCCCAGCAGCTGTGAAAGGCCTTACTGCCCTCTGCCTCCTTGGTAACTAGCACATCTGGTTCACTGAAACCATGTAACACATGTTTGTGTAATTGACCTGAAATGATTCCCAACAAATCACATCATTTCCTGTGTGAAAGCTAAGATGGACTGGGTCATCTCAAATGCTAGCCACCAGACTTCACACCTCCAGGGAGTGCCCACTCCCATTTGTGCCCCATTTACATCAAGTACAACATTTGTGCCCACTCCCATTTGTGTCATTTACATCAAGTGCAACAGCAGTGGTCCCTCAGGAGGCTGTGCAACTGTCCCACAACCCAGTCCCTCCCAATTTCATTAATCAGTCCAAAACCAAAAAACTACAAGCAACCTCAGAAGTGTGAATGATCTAATTCTCAATCAAATATTTGTTAAATGCCTGCTAACCTGTAGAGAAAGAAATGCTTGTCTACAAAGACTTCACTAATAAGTGGATCAGTTCAAGCATGTCATAATAAAAAAGGCAACCAAGAAAGAAATGTGATCAATGCTAGTTCATCAGAGAGCCACCAAATGTGGTAAGACTCAGTGGAGAGAGATGTGATTGTGCCTAGGGAGACCAACAGTGACTACAGAAGAAACATAAATCTTGTGTTGTCAAAGGAGCCTCCACCTACCCAGGGGCATCACCACAAATCTCCACTGTGGCCTGAGGATGGGAGTATTATCTCCTGTTTCTCAGAGGCAAACAGCTCCGTGGGCAATACAGGCAGGAAATGCCAGGTGGCTACCCAGATCTAGGCCAGGCTCAGGCTGGCTGATATTTAGGACACAGGCACCTATCAGCAGGAAGCTTGTATCCATCCTCATATTTGCAAGTGCTACATCCAGACATCCCTCAAGGACCTATACAAACAGAAGAATGCTAGGATGGCCAGCATCCCCAAAGTCTACCCTCCTCCCCAAAATCTTTTTTTTTTTTTAATGCTGGGGGAGGATTATTAGGTATTTCTGGCAGCAGGTTTATTTTCTTGACTGTGTTTTGCTCCAGCTAGTGCAGAGTGACGCTGTGTTCCCTGAGCACACGAGCACCGACAGATGGTGTAAGAGGACTAGAATCACACTAACTCCTTCAGAGGAGCCAGCCTGGAATGCTAATATAATCTGCGGAGAAGTTAAACAAGGAAAATTAAGAACCCACTTGAATACCTGAAAGCGACACAAAGAAGAAAATGCATTCTTACGAAGGCAAACTATGCCCCATGCCTGTTTTTCATACACAGCTGTGTGCCACAGACTACAACTATTTGCTCACCTATCTTACACCTAGAGGATGAAGTCTTTAAGAACAGAGCACAGCATACAATTCCCCTGAACACACAATACCTGGCAGTTAGTGCCTGCTAACTGTGTGAGAGGGGAACTGAATGCAGGCTGCATATATTCTGATATAAACATAGGAAGCGCCATGCCTTGTGACTGTCCTCGGCTGAGTGGATAGGACTGAGCACTGTGACCTACCTCTCCTAACCATTGCTGACAGAGCAGGGACACACACCAGTAATGGGCTTCTCTCTGCTTCCTGGAAGCCAGACAGCTCTCCACACTGCAGATTAACCCACTAGGAGAAAGCCAGCTGCTAAGATCTGTTTCTTCCAAATGCCTATGTCTCTCTTTGCTGTGGGTCCTCATTCCAAAGGAAGCCCAGGAAACGAAGATTTCCTCCTTGTCTAAGCAAGATAACAGAAGTTCTCGCCACTTGTTCCAGCATCCATTAAACAGATTCAGCTCAACGATGGCCGGCTGCTCTAAGCTTTCATTAACCATTAGGTAATGCTGTCAAAACTAATCCGAAATAAGAAGTTGAGAGCGTAGACGTCTACTTACCCTTGGCATTTTTGCTTTGCAGAACAATATTTTTGCAAAGAGGACAGGACGTACTCTGAAGACCCAAAGCCACCACCAAACAAGAAGACCTTGAGCGTGCTACCTTACCTCATTGTGCCTCAGCCCTCTCTTCTGTAAAATGAAGCTCTTAATCCTAAATGCTAAACATCCCTTCCAGCCCAGGGACCCCCCAAAATGAAACGGCAGAAGTCACCTGATCACATTTTAAGTATACTATAATTGATATCACTCATGCCTAGGGACCATCAACTTTTTATCATGACGTATTATTATTCATATCAAGAGTAGAACTGTGGGGGTATGTCAACTTATATAAAGCAAACAAAAGCAAGTTGAAGAGTCTCTAACTTCTTAGTCATGAGGAATTCTTTCTATAGAAGATACCTTTCCAAATCAATAACATGATGTCACTTGTTCCTTATGATGCTTTCTGGAGACAGACAGGGCAGGTTGTTATTCTCATCTTACAGATCAGCTTAACTCATTTCCAGAAGTCGCACACTGTGTTGCCAACAACTCAGTGCTCCGAGAAATGTCTGGGAAAACTGTGTGCTGCTCAAACAAAAAGCTGAATCAGAAAAATCAGAGAAACACTTACTTCAGTTCGTTGGTTTCCATGCCCTGGGCAATGGCCATGATGATGCCACCATGGTCTCCCCATGTGTAGTAGTGAGGTCCAGGGAGTGCCTGGAGAGAAAGAGCTGATGGTGACGCCACTGCCTTGGAGAGAACTATCAGCACAGACAGACAGACAAACACACACACACACACACACACACACACACACACACACACACCTGCTACCTGGCTATTTTTTTTTTCAGTTTGGCACACAAACACTTTCATTATCTCATCTGTTCACACAATCCAGTTTTTAGATTCCAATTTCTTTTTTTCCAAATGAAGAAACAAAGGGTTAATATTAACATGGTACAATTATAAACAGCAGAGGTAAGACTCACGCCCAAAACTCTGGACCACAACCAACCAATGATTACAAGTTAACTTTGGGGGAAGATATTCAGCTTGGTGATTAAGATACACCCCACATGGAGGCACTCAGCCCTAGCTCCTAACTCCAGCTTCCTGTTGATGTGGACTCTGGGAAGCAGTGGTTATGACTCTGGCAATTGGGCTCCTGCCATTCATGTGGGAGACCTATATTGTAACTGCAGCTCCAAGCTATCAGCTCAGGGCAAGTGTTAGAAGGATCTGGGGAATTATGCAACAAAAGATAACACACATACTCTCTTTCTCTCATAAACAAATAAGCAAACAATGAATTAAAATTAACCTAGGAGTTCTCATCCTACTGTAGCAGTGAAAAGTCCCTAATTACAACTAAAAACTGGACAGAATACAGGAAACCAATGCTGGAGGATGCTGAAAAGTAAACAGCAGCAGGTAACAGATGGAGGAGACATAAAACCTGGAACAGCTCCCCACACAGCTCTATGTCCTGGACCAGCCTAGCCCCAAAGCAAAGTCCCACGGCATGCAGTCTCCATGCCAGCGAGAGAACTCTAACTTCAACAGAAACCACTCCTCCCAAAGTAACCAGAAGGAGGCACTGCATGCTCGGTGAATATGGACTCAGTCCCAGTAAGGAGGGTGTCAGATAAATAAATTCCCTAATTCTGTGCAGGAAGTCACATAGAGCTCAGCCTTATCCCTCAGCTGGCCGTGGCTGAATCGGGCCCAAATGGCACAGCGGAGCCTCAGCAGACAGCCTTGGCATTTGCGCTACCACCCAAGAGGAATAAGGCAGAGCATTCTGGTCAGAACTAAAACCAGCTGATTATCCTAAAACACAAACACCAACATCCTCCAGGAGAGTTAATCCCATCGATGTCCCTGGTGTGTCCTGGATACAAACCAAGTGCTCAACATCCAAAGTGCAAATGTACCTATAAACCAAGGTCATTGCCAGACAAAGACAACTGACAGGTAAGACCCCTAGATGACACAGCTATCAGAACTCTAAAACATCTGGCCTAACCGTGGTCCATGAGATATGGGGAAACACGTTTGGAATGAACCAAAGAAAAAAGCTATCCCCTGAAGAGGTAGAAACATAGAAAGAAAAGAAAGAAAAGAAAAAGAGAAAGAGAGAAAGAAAAGAAGACAAAGAAACTCAATTGAAATATTCCTGTAAAAAAAATACAACATCTGAAATAAGAAACTTAGTGACAAGTTCAACATTAGAATGGAAGTAACAAAGATATGAGTGAGCTAGAAAATAAATATGAATCAGTAAAAATGATCTACTCTAGGGTATGACATTGCAGCACAGCATATAAATCTGCTGCCTGTGGTGCTGGCATCCCATATAGACATCAGCTTGAGACCAGGCTACTCCACTTCCAATCCAGCTCCCTACTAATGCACATGGAAAAGCAGTGCAAGATGGAACAAGTACTTGGCACCTCCTTCTTTGTGGGGTATCTGGAAGAAGCTCCTGGCTCATGGCTTTAAACAGGCCCAGCTCGATCTAGCCACTGCAGCCAGTATAGAGTGAACCACTAGATGGAAGGACCCTTCTGTCTCTCCTCTCTTTCAAACAATAAACAAGAGAAATTGTCTATTCTAAAGAAAAAAAAAAGATATTTCTGAAAGTGACCAAAGAATTTACAGAGAAGAAAAAATGTGAGAAAATAATGTTGGCAACTTTTGCAGATTTGGAAAACCTAATTTTTTACATTCAAGATCAACATCCTTTCTCTTTGAATTTGGGATAGTTTGAGAAGACTTGGTGCTTGCCCTTTTTCTTAAATAAAAGTGAAAGAAACTGAAGAAGACACAAAAACATTCATGGATTGGAAGAATCAATATTAAAATGGCCTACAACCAAAAGCAATTTACAGATTCAATGCAACATCCGTCAAAACACCAAAAACAGGGGGGAAAGGTGGGTGATCAGGGTAGGAGGGAGTAGCTCTGAGTAGAGAGACAGCAGTGGGAGAAACACAGGTGCTATGCAGAGCTGGAGCAGCAAAATTTCTGTCATTAGATGAGCAGAGCTACTGGGAGGCCTGTGGAGGAAGGTGATGCTGCGTGGATGAGGCAAACCTGCTAAAAACACCCAAGGTTGCAACCCCCAGCCCTACTGGAGGGTGAGCAAAAGCAGGCTACAGGAAAACACCCTAACCCACAGACAACAGCCTTATGGATTTGCAGCTGACACAAAAGGAGCCAGAGCAGGAGGACTCCTGCAGGAGTCGCCCAAAGAAGGAGCACATGACAAAAAGCCACAAGACAAAGCACTGACTCCAAACCTGTGAAGGGAGGCAAAACTGAGGGGGATTCCACAGGCTGCTGATTGCCCCCAGGTCAGTGCATTCACCTCTTTGGGGAGCTTAGGAAACAAGCCACTGGGGACAGAACCAGCTAAGGGAGGGACCCAGGAAATGAAAGTGTAGTCCACTCCACACCCAGAGGGTCTACACCCTAAGCTCCCTGAGAGATAGCTGGACCACCCAAGAGGGGGATGATGGAACCTTAGGGGGTGCAGAGACTGGATTGTGATCAGATATTGAAGAGTAAGAATTAAAGGCAAAATGCATTCATGCAGGCAGTCATCAGGACCTGCTGTGCAGGTTCCAACACTCAAAAAGTACTAGCAAAACAGATGAGGGGAGTGAAGGTTGCCTTGGTAAAGACAAGCAACTCAAGCAAGTAGCAGCGCACGCACAAGCAGTGGGAACAGGCCAGATACGCACTTGAGTAGTCCCAGTGTTACAGGAGAGTCAGAGCAGTGAACACAACAAGCAGGTCAATAACAGCTTAGGTGCAGCCCTGGGAGAGGTGGGAAGGAGCAAAGCCACTGACCCACAAGAAGCTTTGCAGCACCCACAGGCAACAAGTGGATGAGACACAGTGCAGCACACATGATCAATACAACTCTGGCACCTGCCTCAATGCCTATTCCAAGATCCTCAGCACCAAGAGAAGAGCAGCCTGCAGTGTGCTCGGGGGCACCTTCCTGGAAGTCCCAGGCACACAGCAGGAGACTCTGTCACAAGGCAGCAACAAACTAAAGGTCTGTTTTAAAGTCCAGGGACTCTTCCCACCCCACCCCCCAAAAAAGGTGGAGGATGCACACTCCCTTGCCTCTATTTTCGAGAAGTCTCTCTACTGATCAGAAGAAGATTTGAGGTAAATCTGGCAAGAATCATTTGTCTCCAAGAGCAACAGTTACCCAAACAACTAAAGCAGAGAAAAAAACATTGAAGAGCAACAATGCAATTTAAAGTCATGGCAGTAGCCTCTCTGGTCCCAGGCACCACCAAAACCACTAGTAGGAGAAACTAGACAAAAAGGCAAACAAAAGCCTGGGAGCGTCCAGGGCTGAGAGAGGCAGCTGGGGCGGCACCAACTGTCAAGGCAGAAGCAGAACCAAAGCATGGGTGCCCAAGGCTGAAGGCAGAGAGACCAGCATAAGTGCCCAGGCATCATCCCAGATCAAGAACAAACAGGAAACCGGGTAAAGACCAACAAAACTGTGAGCAACACAACGTAGATTCTACCTGAAGAGAAAACCTGCAGAGCTGAGAGACAACGCACAAAGGTGACAGAAGAAACACAAATGAGCAAACCCAGGATTCCCTAAAAAATGAGTAGAAAACCATCTCAATGACAGAGTCACAGGATGAAGACCCTTAGGATTCCCCAGACAAGGAATTGTTTAGGGACAGCAAGAAACAAAGGAACAAATGTAATGAATATATTCCAAAGGAGCCACAAGCTTTAAAACAGAACCAAAGTGAAATACTTGAACTGAAGAACATAATAAAGCAAATAAAAAAAAAAAATAGGAAGCCTCACCAATAAAAGTAACAAGGCAGAAGAAAGAATTTCAGAGCCAGAAAACACCTCATTCAAGAACACACAATCAGAGCAAACATAAGGGTGACAGGAGTTCCTAAAGGTGTGGCAAGAGAAGCAGGATATATATATTCAACGAAATTTTAGAGACCTTCACAAACATTGAGAACATAGAGGAAAACCAAATGCAGAAAGGTCAGAAAACCCCAAGCAGATTCAAACAGAAACAAAACTTGACCTCAACACATCATACTCAAGCCCCCTTCAGCTGAACACAGAGAGAGAGAGAGACAGAGAGAGACAGAGAGAGAGAGAGACAGAGTGAGAATGAATCTGGCACTCAAGAAGAATCAGATAACATACAGGAGAACAGCCATCAGACTCACTGCTGACTCCTCAGAGAGGACACTTCAGGCCAGGAGAGAATGGAGGGACATATTTCAGATCATAAAACAAAAACTGCCAATCCAGAATAACATGCTCAGCAAAACTCTCACTTGTATTTGAAAAGGAAATATAATAAATCTGAAGCAAACATAAGCTCAAAGACATCACCCTACCAGACAAGCCATACAAACATTATTGAAAAACATGCTGAAGACTGGAAAAAAAAAGCTAACCATACCCAATGATGGGAAAAGAGTATAACTATCCCCCTCAAAAAAAAAAAATCACAAGAGAAACCTAAACCAAATAATAGGAAACACAATGCAAAAATGGCAGGACTAAATCACTTGCTGTCAGTATAAACCTTGAGCACAAATGGCTTAAATTCACCAATCAAAATACGCAGATTAGCAATCTGAATAAAAAAAATAAAATAAAAACGGAGGCCATCCTTCCAAACGCTTTTGTGGTGCCAA